GCTTTTTTTTTCACAATAATAAAAACATCGCAAAAATTTAAGAATTTACAGTATTCATCGAACCCTGTGTCTCGCATATATTTGCTGCTGTCAATGTCAAAAAATGATGTTGACTGCCAAATAACAAAGTATATTAATAAGAAAACAAAATGGAAAAAAACATAAATAAAAATGCTCCATTTTGCTATTGTTTTTTTTTAATATTATGAAAAAGCATCTGTCCAAGTTTCATAAAACTCCATGAAAGTTTGACGATGTTGTAATGTCTTAAAAAATAAACGACAGACTGTGTCTGTAAGCTGCAAAAAAGTCCAATTCACAGTAAATACACCAAATTAATAAGGAATTATTTTTGTTTCAAAATTGTGTTATGAATACTATCTTTTGATCATGACGAAGGTTTTGTCTATGTTTCGTAAAATTCCATGAAGGCTTGAAAAATAAATTTATGATTTATGTTTCACAGACTGAACATAAATTGTTATGACACAAAGGACACTAAAATGATAAAAGAATGTATTGAATGGCTCTGTCTCGCCGTCGCGACTTTCTTTGCAAGTGATAAAAACATACGGTTTATATAGTTTGACAAATTTTTCAATAGTCCATATGTTTATAAATCAAGATATAAATGATACTAACTGCAAGGCTCGTCAACTCAAATTATATATTGCAAAAAGACAGCTTTTTTATATGGCTTTCTCGTCCTGTTAGTCTTATACAGATACAATGGTATATTGATGTTAAATGTGCAGTTGCAAATAGTAACTTCGGAAAGTTGGGAGAGCCTATGATTTTGCTTTGGAAATAATAAATGTCGATATTTTTAACAATTTTGGACGAAAAATAGTTTGAGGGAAAACATTTTTATAAGAAAACAAGATTGCACACGCTGAAATGTCTCGCCTGATTTACTTATGATGGAACTCATGTTGGAAGCCTGCAATAAGAAGGTCAGTTTTACTACAAGTATCACCTAAAATTAACATTATCAATGATCCAAGAAAATCATCTTATACACCACATATATTGGTCCTATTGCTTATAGTACATGGGAAACAAACCAAGCCATATTACTTTAACATTGACAATTAAACCATGAAAATCATATGAACCCTACCAGACAGAAAAATGTTTACCTTACAATCATTCCATACATTAACGCAATTGACCTATTGTTTATATTATCTGATAAACTGACAATACCACGAACACTTACCATTGACCAATGAACCATGCAAATGGTCAAGGTCATGTGAATCCTATCTAACGGACATGTAGACTTTGCAAGGAAGTCATATACCAAATATAGTTTATCCTTTTACTTTTAATAAGTGTGTTTTTCACATGACAAAGCTATAATTTTTTTTCAAGCAGTCACTTAACAATGAAAATGAGGTGAAGGACAAAGGACATATGACAGACGGATACTTCGTAACATAAGGTATCTGCATATCAGCTTTCAAGCATCCAGGTCTTGTACCTTCTCAAATATATAGCTTTATGCAAACAGTTTACACCGTCGACGCCCCGCCGCCTCCGCCGAATTGTAATCTCTATGTCTCGCATTCTACGACTTTCAAAAATCTTTAGAACCACATCTTCATTGGCGAAAGCTTATCATTTGTGTTAAAAAATCTATATTATATTTAAACAATTTTAGAAAATTTAACACCGGAATAACTAGTATTATTGGTCTTCAACCTAATGGAAAATTCGCGATAGCCCTATTGAAGCGTTTAACTATGACCTAACATGATCAGTCAAATATGGGGTCTACATCTGTCAAGAGAATCTATTCATGCTGGAAGATCGTATATTGACCAAGAAATGTCACACCTTTTTGTGTATCGTTGGGTTACTGTCTCAGTAACGTATTACCCAAAAGCTTGTACTCATATAAAACAAAAATAAATTCATTGATCTGAGCTCAATGAACAGGTTGCTGTGTTTCTTTACAATTTTAACCCATGGTCGTATTAATCGAATACTATCGGCTGGAAATATTCTTACCAGCATGCCCTATTTACCTACGTGCCGTAAATAAACTCATCACAGATACCAGGATTAAATTTTGTACGCCAGTTGCGCGTTTCGTCTACAAAAGACAAGTGCACTCGAATCAAAAAAGGTTTTTTTAAGAAAACCAAACTAATTGCGAAGTTGGCGAGCATAAATTTCATTCAACTGTTTTGCAACGTTTTCGAAAATATAGGTATTCCAATCACGCTTTATGTTTATACCACTCGAACTTGGAACTTAATCATTTTGTATGTATAGACTTTTTTAATATTAATCATTTTTAATTATTCTTACTTATTTAGTAGTTTGAATCAGTTGTCAAGAGAAAATATGATCTTGCATTACAACTTTATTCAAATACATTATAAAGCTCAAACAATTTCACACACAGCAACTTTCCTTGCTTGATAGCATGTAACAAGAAACTGGTTACTGTTGGTCTTGTAACGTATAACCCATGGTTGTTCTATTCCGACACTATCGTATCAAATTATTCTTACCAGCTTGCCATCTTTCGTTAGTTGGTGTATATTTCACAATGAATATGCACAAATATACACATTCTCACTCTTGGGGTTTAAAGTTTATCATTTGTATACGTAAAGACTTTTGTTTCATTTACAAATTCTGGACACTTTATTTACTCCATCTCCACAGATACAATGTTTGCGGTCTTGTGAATAAATAAAATAGGTGTCCCCGTTTTTTACAGTTTGTTAATTTTTGCCACTAGTGGAAGACCTTACTACATGCAAGAATAATTTGTTTGTTGACATGACATACTCAATAAACTGGATATGCGTTCTTAATTTTACGGCACATTGTCATGTCATGCGTGTTGATGATAACAATATTATTCGCATTTGTTGATACTGAGACTATAGTGCCATTGATTTCTTCTATTTCGTATGGATTGTTTGATAGCTCAAGTTCTTTCCAGAAAGATCAATAACGTTAATTACATTTATTTTCGCAGTGTGAAAATTTACGTTCGTTCCGAAAGGTACTCCTATAACTGCGACTTTATCTGCAAATTCTTCTACTATATCATTAGTCTCTAGACGCATGGAAACATTCTTTATTTCGCTTATACCTTTTGTTAATACATCACCAATTTCACCTTATTTTCGTTAATTCTTTTCATTTCCAGTAAACACTGCAGTTTGGACCCATGTTGTAAACATGTATCAAATATAGTAGTATAGTTATCAGCAGTACTTTTCAGACACTTTTGTTTTGTTGACTTTTCGAAAAATTTCAGGCCTACTTCCTTCTTTGATTTGTTTATTTTGTAAGAATAGCTGCAGCCTCCTTTTTTGGAATTCGTTTGTAAGGTCTTTCCTGTTTTGTATTAATTCGGACAGCTGTTTGCTTGTTTCATTAAGTTCTGCAAACAATTCCATTGCTTTTTCAGATGTTTTAATACCTGAAGCCGTTGCCTCGATTGTTATGACTTATTTGCATTTTATTGTATTATTTACAATTCTGGACACTGTTTAATCAACCATTTTCAACATGAGGAAATGCCTGTATCAAGTCAGGAATATGACAGTGGTTTACCATTCGTTTGATGTGTTTGAGCTTTTTATTTTGCCATTCGATAAAGGACTTTCCGTTTTGAATTTTCCTTGGAGTTCGGTATTTTTGCTAATTTAATTTTTACTCCGTCTGCACAGATATAATGTTGCTCAATCGTTAATTTTCTTTGTTGTTTTTTTTTTTTAGTTTTCTGTGTTGTGACTTTAGTTTTCTATGTTGTATTTTGTAAACTGTTGTTTGTCTTTTGGTCTTTTTTTCTTTTTCTGCCATGGCGTTGTCAGTTTGTTTTCGACTTATGAGTTTGAATGTCCTTTTGGTATCTTTCGCCTCTCTTCCTTGCGATAAAGTGTCATACATTGTACATAAATGTTTAGAATGATCAACGCAGTACGCCTTCACAACTGCAGTATGATTCAGCTATGTGGCATGGGGCACCAATACCTATGTTACCTAACTTCTTTAAGCGAGACTCGCATTTTCAACTTTCTGGTAATAAGATAATGAATGGTTGCGACAACTTCTAAACGTACTTTGGACTGATCGATGCTGTAGAACATGTACATTAAATGTAAACAATAAACGCTTAAAAAATCTCTTGTGTTTTGTGAAGCTCTTATTTTTGTTCTTAGATAAGTATTTGTAACTTCTCCTGTTTTTCTCTACCAAGGGTACTTTGAAATCAAACAAAACTTGGGTAAATAACTGAAATATTAGTTGCTGAGTTGGTATTATTGCTGTTAAGGACTTACATTTAACAAAAAAATATTTTGTTCTTTAATCTATTTTAACTTTTATTTTATTTTTGTTTGAATTTTTTAGTCAGTTGTGTTGTATGTCTGTGATGTATGTTTACACAGTTTTGGCTGCTGGATCCCAATTATTGTCACACTAACTTATTATATTATCTGTTTGGGTTGCTAACCTGATTTTGCCAATATACCAGAACTACAAGCAACTGTCATCTAAGTGGGAGGTTTCGCTAGCTTTAAAACCAGGTTCAACCCCCCATTTTCTTCGGAATATACCTTTTCCAAGTCAGGAATATGTCAGTTGTTTTTCACATGTTCCGTTGATTGATAGCGTTTAATTTTGTCAGTTTGTATGGACTTCCCCCTTTTTGAATTTGCCTTGGAGTTCGGTATTTTTGTTATATTTTTTAAAGCATTTGAAGTTTAATACTTAGATAAATTACACTAAGGAACGAACAATCTTATATAGAATAGATTGGAAAATAAAGCTAAAATATGTAATTTGAGACAAATGTTTGATACATTATTAGTATCGTCTAATTCAATAATATCCAGTCTGTTATTGGTTACATACATCTTCCCTGCCCTTGGACAGACTGCAGCGAAATTGACACAAGATCTGCAGTCATCCAAAAACTGTTTGTATAAGCAGTTGGTTTTGCAATGACACAATTAACTATAAAAAATGAATACTACAAACGTTTTTAATAATGTCAAATGTTGATAATAGTATGAAAATAAAGAAAGAACACAAATATACGAAAACGTACAATTTAGGCAATATCTTGACTATAATAAAAAGAAGATTTGTAGTCAATGAGATTGATACCCAACTTCAAAATACATAAAAGACAGTTAGAGGTCTTCAAAAATAGTCGTCGGCTTTTCATTTTTTTTTCAATTTTGATTCAACACCGAATTACAAAAAATACAAAACGATTAAAAAATAAAATTGTCTTTATACTTCAACCCACCCCCTTTTCAATTTCGATCAGTTATATAACAAAAGTACATAACAGAACTTACAATAACAATCAGTGAAGAAAAAGCACATCAAGCATGAAAATAAAATAACAAAAACAATAAATAATAGACAATACCGTACCAAAAGAAGCTCAATGTGACTGAAAGCAAATTCAATGAGATTTACCTGACGATAAGCATAATCATGCCATCCTACACTGTAGAAACGGAGTAGATTTCATTTTTTGATAGAATACCTAAAAACTGATTCCAATCGACGTTTTAACACTAACTCAACCATTAACTTGCGATAGGTTCAAGGACAGATCGTTAAAAAACGATACTGATCTTGTAAACAACCGACAGAAAACATGCATTAACGAGAGGTATTATATACCACCGCTAGTGATTCAAACCAGTTAAGACGAATTAAATAGGGTACCTACGAAAATGCTTCTTAAAAATCACATTGTAATGGTGTAACTATATAAAACTATTTGGTATTATACATGTATATAAAAGGCTAATTGCGCAAAATTAACATTGCATTGTCATTCATATCATATTTCACGCGCAAACTCGTGCAATACATTCTTCTCGGGTCAATAGTACATCATATAGATCCAATAACCCTTGGATATGAGGTATGACGCATGCCAATTAGTCGTGTATCAACTCTAGACTGGTACAGGAAAAATTAAATTAATACACCAAATAAAATCAAAAATATTATGCTGACATGAACCATCTGCATTTCATTCTTTGTCTATTTTAACGATTTCAAAGGAGAAGAACTAGCAAGCAAACACGAAACCTACAATGTCAACTTTATATTTAGCCTTGAACAAAATTTACGTCAAATGTCATTGATTCAAAGAAAGAAAGAACCTAAGCCTAATATGCATAGTTTATGATTCAGCAAACTTTAAACTTCTAAAAGGAGAAAAATTTCTATAAGAAATCACGAGATCATTTTGAATCATCAGTTATGTAGCAACTTAAACATGACAAAAAACTTGTATATGTAACTGTTTCGGTTTCTGTGGAGTAACGAGATAACAAGCGAAGGACAAATCTGAAATATGACGTTGACCTTTCACCTTAATTTCAATTTCCTAGTTCTCATTGGCTAGCGGTTAATGAGTACAGAAAGATAAATAACTCTAATAATAAGTTATCGTATAACTTTGTTCGACATTGATTGAACAATTTTGAAGATGTCAAGAACAATAAGTTCAAAAAGATGTCGATAACTTTAACGGTTTAAAATGTGTAGCGATAACAAATATATCATTTTAGGATAGACAATACTCATTAAAAAAAGTGTTCGGATACGTAAGGTTAATAGCCGGGAAACAAAAAAACACAATTTAAAAAATAAAACACAGGAAGAAAACAAAAATAAGAACAATATCAAATTGTATGTGCAAGAAAAGATGAAAAGACTAAATGACCAGACAAAAAAACAATACTAATATTTAGAATGTAATTATTTTTTGTGTTATCTAAAAATGCGATTGAATGTACATTGCAATTATGAGAACTCGCATATAAATATTCTATTCCAATTTTGTGGACTAAATATGGTGTTACATTCCGTCACTTTTGTTGAAAACTCGTAACTAAAAATGGAAGCCTAAAACTTTACAATTGGAGAAGTCAGTCAAAGATGCCATCTACATCTGTCATGTATATCTGTCTATTGTATAAAACGGCATAGTGACTTCTAGATTTTGTGTCAATGGGGTGTGTTTTTTAACGACGTATAACCTACATCATTTATTATTTACATGGAAATAAATGTGTTCAAAGATCTAATCACTATTTTGTATCCTCCCTCCTGACACATTAAAAGTGTACACATTCTACATATATATACTGATCCTTTTTAAAATATTCTTTTCTGACATTTACATGAATCAGCTTTAATAAATAATTGTCTTACTTACTCAATTATTAGAATCTATCTACAAAACTACATTATAGAACAGAATAACTCTACTGAAGTATACATTACACTGCAATCTTCAAACTATTTCGCACACGACAACTTTCCCTGTTTGATAGCATGTGACAAAGAACTGGTTGCTGTCTTTCTTAAAACGTATTCCCCACGGTTGTTTTATTCCAATACTATCGGCTAGAATAATTTTTACCAGTTTGCCATCTGTAGTAAGTTGGTGTATATGTCCTGTAGAATATTCGCATAGATACACATTCCCATCATAGTCAATGTCTATACCTCTCGAACTTGAAGGTTTATCTTTTGTGTAAATAAAGGCTTTTCTATTATTTAGCATTCTGGACACTACCGACGTCCCATCAGCACAGATGTAATCATGACGGTTGTTTCCATATACAAAATAAGTGTCCCCGTTTGTTGTAACTTGTTCATTTTTTACCCCTGTGGAAGCGTTAATCCATGTTAAAGTACTGTTATATGCAAGAATAAATTCACCGTTTACATGACAGAATCCATGAACTGGATATGTATTGTCAATTTTACGGCAATGTGTCATTTTCTGGATATCGACAATAAACAATGTATATCCTTCTGTTGACACAGCAGCCATCGTGTCAGTCATTTGAGCTATATCGCAAGGTTTCTTCGGTAATGTTAGTTCTGCGAGACAGCTGCCGTTGTGATTATATTTCAAGACTTTATATAAATGACTGTGCGTAAAGATGAATTCATTTTTCATAAAAAGACCACTAACAAAGACGGAATAACCAGTAAGTTCAATAACTTTTATTACTTTTATTTTCCCCGTGTGAAAATCTACGGTTTTTCCGAACGATAATTTTGGACAACTTGGATGGGTTTTAACTAGTTCAACAACCCCAATAACTTCGACTCTTTTTTCAAAATTTTCTGCTATGTCATTTGCCTTTAGAAGCATAGAAATATTCTTTATTTCGCTTATACCTTTGATACATGCATCACCAAATTTTACCTTATTTTCGTTAATTTTATCAATTTCCAGTAAACACTGCTGTTCAGACCCATGTTGTAAACAGGTATCAAATAAAGCAATCCAATTGTCAATCTTATTCTTCAAATTTTCAATATCTGATGACTCTTCAGATAGTTTCAGAACTTCTTCTTTCTTGGATTTGATTATTTCCCCCTTTATTTGGGTTTCAATTTTGTTTAGGTGTTTAGAAATATTATCCTTTATGATACTGACTTTGATAAGAATAGCTTCAGCCTCTTTTTCGAAATCGGTCAAATGGTTTTTCCTGTTTTTTATCAAATCAGACAGCTGTTTGCTCGTTTCTTTAAGTTCTGATGACAATTCCATTGTTTTCGGTGATTTTTTTATTCCTGAAGCCGCCTTCTCGATTGTTATGACATCTTCGCATTTTCTGTGCGATAAAGTGGCACATAATGTACATAATGGTTTAGAATGATCAACACAGTAAGCCTTAATTACTTCCCCTGAATGTTCTACGCAATAAATTAACGAAGACGCGATTGTCGTTTCTCTGTTACTTGCAATGTCCTTCAGTGATAATAACGGGTGTTTTGCACTCATCTTAAAAGTTTTGTGACATTGTTCACAAGATTCACAAAACGCCTCTTCGCATACAATACACCAAGATAACGCTTTTTTAGATTTATTGTTCGCTTTACAAGAGTCGCATATTTTTTCGCTTCGTCTTATTGCTTGTCTATCCATCAATGAAGCAACGAAATGATTACCTGGTAGTTTTTCGGCCCAGGTCTCCGGATTACCTGTTGACTCTCCCATCAAAACATTCTGTCGACAAATCGGACACTTAAAGGTCGTTTTAGTTTTCTCCTTCCCCACGGTTGATAGAATGTAAGTGTTAATGCATGTCTTGCAGAACGTGTGGAGACAGGGTAAATATTTAGGCCCTGTAAAGACCTCTAAACAGATGGTACATGTCAATAAATCTTCAAAATGATCTGTTTTATCCAGTGCAATCGCCATTTTTGATGACTGGACTTTAAACTTCCTTGTCATATTAGATTGACATGTAGGTTATCTAAGATGTATATTAAAATACACCAGATAAATAAATTCAAACGACTTAGCCGTTATAATTTGAATTCCTAATATCTTCAACAGTACCCTATTATAATGTTTTGCTTTTCAAAAGTTATTCTCATTTTATATTATATCATCCTTTTCTATTATTTATTTATAATGCGAACAATCACTTCATTTCGTTATATTTTTCATGGAGGAAATTAAAGGGACTGTCACTATGCACAAAAATATCGGAACGTGTGCAAAATTTCTTTTTGACATTTATTTTGATATCAAAACGATGTCACTCGACACATAGCAATAATTTGATATTCAATTTTTAAATTCACACATCTCACTGAAAAGATATATAATCATAAACTAGACTTATCTTCTTTTCAGCTTGTCAGGTTTTTAGGGCCATGTGAGCTGTGTCATCATTTGGGTACATCGTTCTCCGTCTTTAATTATTACAAAGATTTGTTTATTTTGGCCCAACAACCAACATTGCAGCCATAGGTAAAAATTAATAGAATATCTGGGTTAAATGCATGGAAATCTCTTACATCTTCAAAACCATGAGAAATCGACGGTGTAAATACTTAAAAAATATCAGCATTTAAAGCTGGGCCACTTAAAACTATGACAGAAAAACAGAAAGACTGCAAACACTTATCATGATAAGCATTGAATTCAAGATCTACAAAGATCTACAAATATACCCTATGACTGATTCCACCAATTGACTCTTGATAGTATTTTTTTTCCCTCAATTGACCCAATTAAATAATGTAAGCATTTTTGCGTATTACCTTGAAAATTAAAACAGATAGAAACTGTTCAAAACAAAATTAGCACGCAATACAAGATTAACAAACGTGCTTATATAATTCGGACCATAAATCGAATATTTGCAAAAGTAATTGTCTCTTTATGAAAAATTTGTGTCTAAAATCTTGAACATTCTTATAGATAAACGGAAACTGCTCACAGCAAAAATGATCAGCACTACAATATCTACAAAAATGCAAAAATGGCTGACATTAGACTCATTATTTGGGTTATTGCCTTGAAATGTTGATTTTTGTTTTACTTATTTTGAAGTTTGTGCCTAATAATAAGATAAAATCACACAATTTTTACATATAAATTAAATTCCTGCCTTTGAATTTGCCTATTTTATCAGACATCTTGTTCGATCGATTTCTGCTGTTTTATTATTCAAGAGGGCGAAATATCCCCGTACTATCTCAATGTAGAAATATTATCGAAGATCGTATATCTGTGAGCATTTTTACTGTTTACATCTTTCCAACGATAGTTTTCAAAATATTTTTGTTTAATTCAAACAATTCAAATTTATCCTTATAAGTGGAGATAACCCAGATCATCAATTTTATAATCAAGTTAACGTCAATTTGTCTGTCTGATAGCAAAAAAAAATGATAAGTTGATCCAACTGGTTTTCTTTCTATTATTATATTTTAAAAGCATTTGAAAAGAGCAATCTTCTCATATTTCATTTCAAATTTCTGTCATTAATTTTTCGTTTTTTTCACAAAATAATTGTTGTTTTCCTGTAAAATCCTTACAGAATTTGTCAATTGTTCACAACTCGTAGAGTGATAACAAGCTCAGTGACTTGTACTTATTGTATTTGTTTTTTTCATTTTTTTTAAATAGCACAATATAACCATCATCTCGGCAAAGTATAAAAAACTAGTTGTCATTTTTTGCTTAGCCTCCCATACTAGCTTAAGCCATTGATTGACTATTTATATTGGGTTTTTGCCAATAATGGACCATGTTTAACAAATTTAGTATTTTCACTTATATTTTGAAAACTTTTACAGACAGGCAGAACCTGTAAACAGCAAAAAATTATTGGCAATACAAGATTTACAATCAAGTCACGTGAATGAAACTGACTTCTTACTAATTATTGGATGTATTGCCATTAATTGACTTTTTTACTCATTTTTTGCACTTTCAAAAACAGCGTTACCTTTGAAACCCTTTTACCGATTTAATGATTTATATCCAACAATCAACATGACCGTCATGATTGAAAATAAAACATACGGATAAATTCAAATAATTGTCTAATATTGAGAAAACTGCAGCAGATAGCGAACATTTGACAAGGACCAAAAATACACTGAAATCCTAATCTTGTATTTGTCCTTTAAAATAGTCATACGATTCCTTTTTAATATTTTGAGCTGTATTGATCAATTTTAATTTACTATAATTGTTTATGGGTAAAAATCATCAGTTCGAAAACAATAATGAAAAAAACTGTTAACAGCAAAACAAGCAAATTGAGTTCTTCAAATCATTTCATTGGTCGTTTATATTTTGATGACGGCTTAAAGGAGGGTCATTTCATTTTGCTTGGAAGGTTTTGTAAAGAATTTTTATCCTGCATAATATTATGTAAATTTCACTAAGACATATTTATGCCAGATGAGCGGTTCATATTTCCTAGAAGCTCCTTGATTTAGTTGTCCTTATTCGGATTTTCCACATTATTATAATTTGTGTGAAGCAGTAGCTTCTTTATTCTACTAGATTCTGTGTTATTTTGACAGGGATATAAAAATGTATGTCTTTGTCAGTTCTTGTTTCTTAGAGACAAAATTCGAATGCATTAACCCCTTAAATTACAAGAATATCTTACTTGGTGTTTAGAAACCTGAAGAAATGTCAAATCTAAATTGTTTGTCATATGGTATAGGCTTTCATTAACCGAAATAGACATCAGGTGACGAGATATATGTTCATTTATGCCATTTGAATTTGTATAAACATTTGTTTGCAGTTTGCAATTTTAATCAATTAGATTAGATATTGGACTTCAAGTTGAGCACTGTCTATCTGAAATAAAAGAGATCCATATTGAATCACTTGATTATTCATCGTGTCTTTCAATATTTGAGACTTAATTTGTAATGTGTACCTTACACGTAATGTGCCCCTCCTCCCTTCCACCCAAGTTATGAGGAAAAACGACTAAAATTGACACTGAATAAGTTTTACGGTCACCACCACGAATTGGTTTACCAATACGATGTGTCGGTGTCTCAACTCACGAGCGACATGATTTCGATGTCTTTGATCTTTATATACCAGTATAGTCGTCTGATCAGTAATTTGACCAATTGTATCCTATTTCCGATTGTGACATTTTTACTGAGTGTGAATTCGCATGGCGGGTGATGCATGCATAACATGAGACGTATGTCGTGTCGACACACCCGGTATCACTCTTTTTTTAGTTCAAGCGATTCCTTCGGTTTTTGTTTTTTATCTTGATTTGTCTCTTCTCAATCGATTTACGAGATTTTAACATCGGTAAACTACTGTCGCCTTACGTAACTCTACTAAACGGAGCTATTAATCAAGTAGAAATCGGGAAATTATCCGAAATACTCGTAGCTGAGTATTTTAGTCTGCTGTGGATAAAAAATGACTAGTTGAGATGGTTATGTTTTTTATTTATTTTAAGCGTTTGAAATTTGATAATTATATATAAAAAAGATTAAATCAGTAAAGAATAATCTTCTATAGACTATTTTGAAGTCTATGGCGATATAAACAAGATTATAACAGTATCTATGAATATGGAATAGTTTATAAAAAAAATCCAAAATGTTTGATAAATTATTGAAATTGTCTGATTCAGTAAGCTCCAGTCTATAATTGGTTAATTGCATCTTCCACAGGCTCTTGGACAGACTGCAGCAGTGTTGACACCAGTTCTACAGTCACCCAATGTCTGTTTGGCACAGGTGGTGTGCTCCGCGGTGGCACATGTAACTACAAAGTATGAATGTAATAGTTTCAAATATTAATAATAGTATGAAAAACACTTTTTTATAATGCGGTTACCAATATTATCCATTGATTGTTTTACAAAGTATATCTACAATTTTCGGTGATATTTTGACTATGAATTAAAGGAGACGCTAGGTGCAAAAGTCAGTAAAAGAGCAACAAAACAAGAAAAAAACAATAAATCTTGGGCTCAATATACGATCTTCAACAATAGACGGTGACTGTCCAACAGGTCAAGGTCTAAATGGTCTTGAATCTTGAAAGTTGTGATCAAATTTAACAGAGTCTATCATAGATCTTCCATCCACAATAGATACCCCAAATGACAAATATATTGAATATATAACTATAGACGGTCAATGAAGACAAACTATCTGTCATCCACAATAAGTACCCCTAATGACAAAAATATTAAATATATAACTAAAGTACTATAAACTATCAGTCCAGAAAAGGTCTATACTCAATAATAAAACAAAAGATAACAAAAACACAAAGTACAAGCAAAACAATAATAAACAATACTGTGTCAATGAATGCTGAAAGCAAGCTCAAAGTACTTAATCTCCTGATATAAAATCATGCCGCTCTACACTGTAAATGTAATAATGACAGTTGGCCATAGCAGCAGATATAATTATCGATCGAATACCAAAAAACCTTAGCTTTTTCGATATTTTTTTGCACACTTACTTAGCGCTTAAAGTCAGGATGTGGTGGGGTCAAACATATTTGTGAGCGCTCAATCCTCCCTTAACCTGGAATAGTGGTGTAACATCACAATGTATGAACAAACTGTTAAAAAAATCAGTTGATAGTGGTTGCCTATTCAAAATAATCATGTTCTGTGTCCTTCCCCTTGCCTTAGCGCGTTTAATTTGTTTTAATTCACAATGAATTTAATCTTATTCGACGTTTAAGCATTCGCATATATTGGCAGAGTGATTTACAAATTTTGTGTATGATGTATGTCTTTTGGTTGTAATTCATGATCAAATTCTTCCTTTCGAACGTTATTCTTATTGCAGTTTAATTTATCAATGAAACAAATTGAATCAAAAAGGTGTATTTTTAAAGAGTCTTAAAAACTGCGAGAACTTACTCTTGAAAGACCTACCTTGTTCACAGGATTTTCCACTATAATATGGCAAACATTTGCATGTGCAAGTTTTAACATCAAGGACCCCAAAATTTTCACATGTGGTGTTTCCACAATCTGCAAATAAAATAAAGATATTTATTTATGTAGCAAGTAATGATATTTTATATACACACAAAAATATCTGACCTCAAAAATGCAATTCATGAACAACCAATGTAGAAATTGTTATTAGTGACAAGTGTAAAAAATGAGGTTATGATCGAAATGTATGAAATACTAATATAAGCAGGAACAAGCAACAAAAGTTAAATCCATATCCAGGACAAATGTCATTGGAAGTACGTCGCATTAGCTTCGTATGTTTCAGTTGTTTTTCATTCCATTTTACAAGGTTGTTAATCGTGATTGGTCATTTGTTTCAGTATGATGATGATGGATGGCTGTTTAAAGTCTAGTTATAAATGAATGCGTATCCAGGACGAGAACCTGTAAATGAGATATGAATATTAACCCTGCTTTGTATCAGACCGACGTGTTTTGCCGGATTTCTAACGTGCTAGTTCACAAGGTCCGCCAGAAGACATGCCAACCTACCCAGACACATTATTTTGATTGCTTTTACTCTTACTCCTTAATTTCGCGTGCTTAGCGGAAAAGTAGCTTTTACAAATATTACAGTCTTTGGTTCATCCCGGCCAGGGTTCGAACCCACGCCCTCCAGCTCTCCAGGTGATCATACTACCACGAGACCCCCGAGGCGGTGAGTTGTATAAGGAGACTCCGAGAATCTTGTTTCACATACACATTTATTTGGGTATTCTTATACCCGTCCGGAGAACACCAGAGGAATAGTTTAAACTTACAATTTCGATATTTCTTATATTTACCCCGAATATGATTTTTTCGCAATTTTCATGGCGATTTGCATACATTTATTCCACACTACACAATAGTTTACGAGTTTGCCCCAGAAAAAAAATGAATTAACGAACGAATAGTTGATGGAAAAAGCGAAAACTTTATGGTTCCCGTATCTTCTCTACTACACGAAAATAACAACACAAACATATAGCTTACCACAAAGACCATTGTCACAATGATCAGGACATTCTCCGCACAGAGCACCAGCTGTATAAGGTCTTTGGATATCTTCATAGTATTGACTTGAATTGTAAATAAGAACATACATCAACTGTTATTTTTTTTTTCCTGGATTTGAGTTCTGAACCAATATTAACCGTTGGTCGTGTTTGGTTTTTATTTTTTTTTTTGCATTGTGCATGACTTTTTTTTTAATGTTCAAATTTTGTAGCAGCCGATGTCAAAGAGTAAGAAGGCATTTTATTTCAGTGTCAACAGATGCGTTGCATGCTTGTTTTCGATGACTGCTGGTGTTCGTTGGTGCGGTGTTGTTCATCATTGTTTTAAGTGTTCCTTTTTTTTATCTGTGGCAACACAATAAAAAAATGAATGCTTAATTTAAGTTAATTGAATCACTAGTATACTGTTCCCTACTGAGACTTTTGTTCTTCCGCTGGCCAAGGAAGAAAAGATGAAAGTAAAGTAGATACTAGAAATCAATATATATTTATGTCCCCTCACATGTATAATACTGGTTTCTAAACGTATGTGAATTAGATATCGCTTATTATTACAATTGTCATGATGATTGACCGAAAGAATAGCCAAATGGAAATGTCGTAATTTTGTTACACGTTCCAGGTTAGGCCATCCAAATTAACACATTTTTCGTATAATTATTCATTTATTACGCTCCGTTTAATGTAATACGAGAACAATATCTTCATGCGGGAAATAGATAAAATTCCACAACCATAAGAAAATGTGATTGTCCTTCCTCCTGTTGTTGAAGATCGCACTGCTTCTCATTAGATTATCCTTCTATCTTTCTATTTTTATGGTATGTGGTTGCTGTCGTATTTGTTTATAACCATACCTCTTTTCAATGAGAACAATAAATCAACACATCATCAACTGGACCGCGTTCGTGTCGTCTGTCATTTCACGTATAGGCTGAAAGTCTTTGCATAGTTCAAAGCCACCATGATAATAACTATGATTGCTTCAAATTGTTTTCGCTTTTTTCATCCTACCCCCACCCCCTTCTGATTACTTTCGGCCTTAGTCGGGTACGCTGACAACCCGAAGATAAATAAAATCGACAGGGGCCTTCGATACCGACAGAAGCCATACCAAAAAGTCCACTCATCAAGCAACTTACCCATAAGCATAATTGCACACCATTGATGATTTATCTGCACGGCCTACACACTCTGCATACCCACATCCTACTTTTGTGATGTGCCAACTTGCCAACTGAATGATATAAAATAGTAAGATAATAGCTGTATTTGGATCAAACAAATTTATTTGAAAATGTAAATAGAAAAAATATAATAAAGTTGAGAATCAAAAAGATAATTGTAAAGTTATATAGACGGTAACAGTTAATTTGCTTCTTTTAATAGGTTCGTATAACTATGAGGTAAAAGGTGACCTTACAATAAGTCTAGAACTATGAACATGAACTTTTGCTAGTGAAAAACTTTGGTGAACTAGTGCTTGAATAGCTGACTTTCTACCAGTATCAAGCTAATTGTAATTGAAGTGATAAAAATTTAATGTTTGTCACTCATTGACCTTTTGTTTCTTGTTTTCCCTTTTTAAGACCGGCCTCATCAAGATGTGTGTAAGATAACTTTGCAAGAAATGACATTACATACTAATATTCAATTGAATGGGGTCAAATAATTCGGGTGGACTTCAAAGACCACCTCAGTAAACAAACTAGCCGAAAAAGATTTAAAAGAATGGCGCATATTTGAACGACACGCTTCTATCTGCAATCAGCTACCTAACTTCTAATGACATATCTAAACTCCTCAAAATTTTGTGAATAATTTCAGTATTCAGATTTCATCATGCAGTTAAAGTTGTGTATAACTCACGGGGCCAATTCTCTACAAATAGCTACCCAAGCATCGTCAACCTTGTTTGCAATCAAAGACCTTGAGCGGTGTGCTGACTATGTAGAGGACTGGTGTATACTAAAGTTTTAAATTCCTTGTTAATGAAAAACATTGCCAAAGAATTAATATTACAAAATTAGTAAAATGTGTGTACAACCGCTTAAACAAATCAGTTTTATATTATTAAATAGATCATTACTGAATAGGATTAAAATTCATGTATTTATAATCAATATAGGCAATATCAACAAATCATGAATTATATCTGGAAATAAAAAGTAACAAATGCTTTAACAAAAGACCGAAATTCTCGCCGTACAGTGCAGAAAAATACAAACGCTTAGACAATCTCCGGCACAATACTGCGTGTGCTAAAGGGTTCTTTTCGTGCAACGTGTTTGCAATTTTGATTTCGTGTATGTTTGTGCTTTAACTTAGCTTATCACTGAACGTGTTTAGTTCTTATTGGTAAAAAAGAAACTCGTCAGCAATATTTTTGTCCATTGAGAGGCTGATCTTTTATTTCCTGTTTTCCCTTTTTAAGACCGGTCTCATCAAGATTCGTGTACGATAACTTTGCTAGAAATTACATTACATACTAATATACAATTGAAAGGGGCCAAATAATTTGGGTGGAATTCATAGATCAACTCTGTAAACAAACCGAAAGCAAGAAAATGAAGTAACACATAAAGAAAGTGTCGCAGAAATAAATACACCATATCTGAAACATTGTAAGAACAAACACATCAAGCACAGGAAAATTTTTTACGGCCTCCGCACATTAATTGTCTTTTTCACAAACTTCTACGACATTCAGTGTATATATTCTGTAGCAGTACAAACATTATTTTGAATATTCTGATATCGTCAACATTTTAATCGTAAAGCAACCTGTGTAAAATGTCCAATGTCAGTCCATCGCAGAGTCTTTGTTCCAAAACCATATGCAAAGTTGACCTTCTCGTCAAACCATTGTTTTACGCATTCGTCCCATGATTTACTTCCAATACACATGTTTTGTCCTACGTATATACCAGGCATAGCTGAAAGCCAAAGAATATTCTGTTTATTTAGATAAATATTTATACCAAGCGAAGCGTAGCGTAGCGTAGTATGAAAATAGAATAGGTTCATGTATGTATTAGATACACCAACGAGGGCGTTAGTCCGATTGGATTTATCTAATCTACACCAAGATATTGAAGTTAGATTTCAATAATTTATGAGGGGTTTTCAGCAGTTTCACCTTTTCTATGGTAAAACATGATAAATGCATGATATCCAATTACATTTAATGACATCGTAACTTGTAAACTTTGATAAACATTATTTCATTAGTTATGTTCCGATTTCCGAATCAAACAACATTGAGACTAGAAGCTTGATCAATCAATGCTTCCGAAGGGGATAGACATATCTTTTTCCTGTACATGTCGTCCTCAAATTTTCTAAACCTGTAATAATCCAAATCTCCTATAAGAACTTTAAACGTTCAGTAAAACATGTTATTAAAATTTTGGAAGCACATCTGTACTATTCAAATCATAGGGCTTGTATTTTGAATTTTGTAGCCTTATTATTCAATAAAAGAAAAATAGCATAAATGATGCAATGTTACCAATATTTCAATATGTTATGACATGTTATGATGGTTTTAATCAGCGAAGTTCCCAAAGCTTTATCTGCATTAGTATAATATCATATTTTCATGCATTTGAATGACCAACACCAAAAACATTCAATAAGTCGTATGCAAATGGGGTTACTACAGTATATAATGTTATCAGCCTAGATTAGAGGTTAAAATCTTCCTCCATATACCCATTATCAAAAGAAAGTATAGATGTAAATCGATAGACTGTTTCGAAAATAGTAAATAATACTTATAAATCAAAATACGTGTTTTACTTACATGATGGTCGTCTATTAACAAGCTTGTCATGTCCAAACTCGCACTGTTCAGCATGCTGTTGGGCAGTTTTTGCGAGATCATTGTCCCAGAACTGAAAAACAGTATCACGTAGGCTGTTTATAATATATATAATAACATACAGTGATTCCATGACACAAAAATATTGTAATAAATCATATCTTTCTGGGTTTTTTTAAATAACGTCATGAGTAGTTTTTGTGTTTAAAAGGAATATTTTGAAGATATAAACCTGAAGTTGGATGTTGAAATTATAAGCAGCTACGTGAATTGATAAAGTGCTGTGGCATACGCGTTGAAGTCGTATGATGAATACATAGTAGTGTAATACGTGAAGCTGATATTCCTGCAATATTAGGAAAAGTATAAGTGGTGATAAATTTCAATTATATATTTATCTATCAACATAAACAAACAACCAATCCAAAACCAAACAACAAAACATTAAACAGTATGATAAACGATGTGGCAAGTCCTCTTTGAAAATCAATGTTTCTATAGTTGCTAGCCAGATATTGTTTCCTTCTTAACTTGCCAGATCCAGAATTTTGATCATATGGAAATAATCAAATGCAAATGGAAGCTGTTCAGATCAAATAGTCGTTAATGATAGGCAAGAGTTCACATGTCAGACTCTAAATTGCTCCTGATTTGAAATAAGTTCCGAATGACTTCAACAGAAAAGATCGAAAAACTGCCTGTACACAAATTCCTACAGCACAAAACAAATTAACGAAAAATTACAACCACTGACGAGATTTCTGACTTTGTGCTGAACCATTAACATATACACATAATGAGTAATTCATCTGATAAGGATTTTGTCTTTGATTTCACGACGCGAGTCAAGATAGATCTGATTTGTTCACATTAGTGATATGAATTCTGGACCCTCCATCAAATACCTAATCAGGTTTAGTGACATTGAAAAAATAATTTGTTTTACCTCCGATTCAAAATATCGTGGCATTAAAGAATCGCGTATACTTTTAATTTTGTCAGGGAAAAGTATCTAATTGTTATTTTTTACAAACCAGTTTCATCATATTGGTAGCATTGTGCCCGATCATACGCCTATATTTGTTGTGAATGTCGACAATTGGTTGCCTCTCTGCTTGTGAGATGCCAGCATTAGCTACTTGATATGGCTGAAAAGTAAGGATGATTAACACTATGCGTATAAACTAATGAACCGAGAAGAAATACATTGGTGGCTTCGATGAATTCAAAAGTACGTGTATTTTGTTCCAACCTCAAACGTGATTATTTTTTTTTTTTGAAATTCAGCAATTATTTCTTAAATTTTATTAGTCTAAATTAATTCTAGATAACTAATTACAAAATAAAATCCGTGCTATTGTATAAGTCGGTAGCTTTTCATGTTAAAAATTGAAATGTACTTCATTTTTAAATTTCTTAGATGTTAACCCATTTTATGCATTTCAACTATTTGCTTAGTCTGCTTTTTATTTTTGTGTTATTCGTCGGTCATATCTATTTTGATAGGACCTCGTCATATATTTTTGAGAGAGTGAAATCCATTGCTAAACTATCGAAATAATCTGCACAATCGCAGATGACGTTTCCATTAATTCTAATAATTTATATAACAGTAACGATTAAGCAATTATAATGTAAGTATACAAATGCGACACAGTTATTTCTTCAGTATAATACTCCTGTGGGATCAGCAAATACTACCGGAATGTGCATAATCCTGATCGGGTTTTCTGTCACGATTTTATAAGATTGATATAAAAAAAAATATGTTGCAAACGGATTTAGTAAGTGAAAATTTCCCTTTATTTCTTGAATTGAATTTTTTTTTAATTGACTTTAAATTTGATACGTGTCAGTTTTATTACCTGAAAGCCTTGAGCATGTCCACCTGAAAATAAAATGTTTACGCATTAAAAATATTTAATGAGTTTACTTCGTACATTTGTATTTCAATTACCTCTAAAATACTGGATCAATACAAATTACGATCACCGATAAATTACGATCACCGATGAAGTAAGGGGGCGACAATTAGATTTTCTGGGGGAGGGGGACCCGGGATTTCGAAAATGAATAACTTGGCCTGGTAAGAACTGAAAAAATTTAGCTTTGCACAAGACAGGAGAAACGAATATTCTGCAGAACAAAATTCAGGAAACAAATGTGTTCAAAAATTAAAATAAATTTTCGAACGGTAAAATAAAAAATAAACATGCGTAGCAACAGATGAAAATAAGTGCTCAATCAGGAATAAATCTCCCCACCCCACCTTATTATGGTCGTCCCCTGATGTAAAAACGCTGTTCATTTCTAAGATTCTTAATTTCCTTTACATCATGTGAAATTATTATTGCGATGGCTGAACCCTTGCCATAAATAATTTTCAATTACATGTAGTCGTTTTCCTTAATTCAAAAAAACCAATCCTCACTTTGAAAAAAATTGGAATTGGTATACACAGAATTAGATACCTGCTTTTGTTGCAACTGGTATATCCGTAACCCAATCTTTGTGTAGTAAAGGATCACCAATGCTGGCGGACAAAACAAGAGAGATAACTGCAGAGGCAGCAACAGTCTTGAACATCATGGTCGATCGTCTGATGAGAATAAATATAATAAATCCTAGTGATCTCTATATATAATAACGGTATGGAACAACTCAAATGACATGTTTACCTTAGTTGCATAGTGGGTGTATGCAAACATCGTACCATTTTAAGTAAACTTTATCAAACTTTATTTATTTTTTCAATAGAATTTGATACAATAAATTGATTGTGTGTTTGTGTGATGGTTGCCATTGACCGTCAAAGTCATTTCTTTCTCACTATTTAAGTTTGCTTTTTTCTTTTTGATAATCTTTAGGTAATTTTTAATTTTCAATGTCATCTTATCGTAAACTTTCATTTTTATTTTAAGTTGTATGCCAATATGTGCCCAACGCCTGTCATTTGGGTACATTTATCAAACTTTTAGTAGTTTTTAAAAGTCCTGTCAACTGCAATTTATGTTTTAATTAAAATTGAAAATTAGAATTAATGTATGTGTCATCATACAGATTTGTTTTATTTATTTGTTTGTTAGAAGCAAAATATGATTTGGTACTTTCATCTTGGATACTCATAAATGTGTACATATAAATATACAATATATTCTAGACTAAATAAAATTGAGAATGGAAATGGGGAATATGTCAAAGAGACAACAACTATATATAAATAAGATGTGGTATCCAAGTCACAATGCATAAAAAGTTAACAATTGTAAGTCTAAGTACGGTCTTCAACACGGAGCCTTGGCTCACACCGAACAACAAGCTCTAAATGACACCAAAATGACTAGTGTAAAACAATTCAAACAGGAAAACCAACGGTCTGATTTATATTAAAAAAAAATGAGAAACGAGAAACACTTATCAATCACACCAACAAACGACAACCACTGAACAACAGGCTCCTAACTTAGGACATGTGCAAACAAATGCAGCGGGTTTAAACATTTTAATAGGCGCCAACCTTCATCCTAACCTGAGACAGTAGTGTAACATTACGACATAAAAAGACACACTATAAAATATCAATTGAAATGGCTTAACTCTATCAAAAAGACATTTAAACAAAAACAAGTAAACTTACACTGAACGAATAAGTTTGATCTACGACACAATACAAATACAATATTAATAAAAAAGATGCAGGAACAGTGTCAAAAAGACAACTCTAACCTGGGACAAAATGGCGTTAAATAAAACAACGTACTCAGGTAAGTTTAAATATAATAATTGTGTTGTTAGGAGTACGGAAGTAAACATTGTTTACAAAATTAATAAATTTTTTGTTCACAGTACGAGTACAGAAGTGAAAATTTATCGTCATACTAAATACTTATCGAAGGTGGTACAAAATAGTGAGACGAGATAAAACACAAAATAAGTAAACATTGAATTACAGAAATGCATAACAAATTGTGTCAACAGGTCAAATTAACACGAATTAACAAGATGAAAGGTCTTCAACACGGAGCCTTGGCTCACACCGAACAACAAGCTCTAAATGACAAAATTCTAATTGAGAATGGAAATGGGGAATATGTCAAAGAGACAATTAACAAGATGAAAGCATTTAGAGCTTGTTGTTCGGTGTGAGCCAAGGCTCCGTGTTGAAGACCGTACTTAGACTTACAATTGTTAACTTTTTATGCATTGTGACTTGGATACCACATCTTATTTATATATAGTTGTTGTCTCTTTGACATATTCCCCATTTCCATTCTCAATTAGAATTTTGTCATTTAGAGCTTGTTGTTCGGTGTGAGCCAAGGCTCCGTGTTGAAGACCGTACTTAGACTTACAATTGTTAACTTTTTATGCATTGTGACTTGGATACCACATCTTATTTATATATAGTTGTTGTCTCTTTGACATATTCCCCATTTCCATTCTCAATTTTATTTAGTCTAGAATATATTGTATATTTATATGTACACATTTATGAGTATCCAAGATGAAAGTACCATTGATTTGAGAGTACCCGCAGGTACTGAAAGCTAATTAAAAGCCAAAAAAAGTTTTGAATTCGTCCATGTATTCCATACGTCGATATGATACGGGTAGACAGATTGTGATTCTTGTTCATTCGACAGTAATTTTCCTTTCTACAATCTGTTTAAAAAAAGACCCTGTACCCACTCTTTGCTTATAAGGATTTCAATCAGATTGTTCTTTCCGTTTTCAACTTTATTTTGTCAATTATTGATAATTGATCATAATTACAAAGTAATTTTTATTAAAATAGAATGATATAACTGATAAATATACTATCATGGTAACATTAAAACATGTGCTTCGTACATGTACTTTTGTCATCGAATTTACATGATACGGTAAAGCTAAAAAGTAAACAAATTGCTGCCTAACTCCGGGTATGCGTATAGACCTTATTGTCAAACTTCATATTACCAGCTATAGGTACTGCAGATGCAATAGGTCACACAGATCAAAATTTTCAGGACACGATTGCTCTGATAATCGGAAAAGCAGACAAAGATTTACTGTTCACGTTAGAATAATTCTTGTATGGTTTGCATATCTACAAATACTTGAATCGGATTGGTCTGTTAGAATTTTTATCCTTGGTTTACACTTCGCAAGACCTTTGGCAACCATATCACTGTGATATATTTATGCGCTATACACATGCATGAAATCCAGGGTTTCCGAACAAATTGAATTAGATAAACAAATACATGTTACTGTTATTTCTTCTTTTAACACATTACAAAAAGAAAAAAAGCATTAAAGCTTGGAAAATGTAGGAAATCAAAATAAAATAAAACTCCGCGAAATATCATGAATGATCATGGCATGGTGTGTTAACGTCACTTACGTTACTTGTAAGCTTCAGATTCGGATAATATCTCATTAAAATAAAGTTTTTGAGGTCGGTGTTGTTTCATTTTAGATTATATTGCATTAATCGAACATTTGTGGATTTCAGGAAGTCAATATTGCGGCCTACTCCTTAGTTACGACATGTCTATTGTGCATTTGGTTGTAAAAAGTAGCCAATGAACAACAAATTGTTAATTAAAACTATGCTTGCGAATGTTTGGCATAAGAATGATAACCATTAAACACATTTTTTTCTAGAGGTTATTGATGTGTAAACTAGGTAGCTTACTCACAAACTTAACATAATGATATTTTCATGCCGTGTCTTAAAAATTTTTAGAATTGGACATCCAAACAGGACTTCAGCACTTACTAGTAATTCAACTTAAAACTATTACATTGATGGAAAAAATTTCATGCGCAGCTTTTATTGAAAGACTTGTTTGTCTTTTCGTCTTTTCGTTTTATGTTATGGGTTGTTAGTTTCTCTTTGATTTACAAAATGTATGAGTTTGGTATCTTCCGCCTCTTTTTTAACAGTGTGCTGTAATCTTCATCGGCTCGAATCAAAACATTTATTTCATTTAAAAAGAATTTACTTGAGATTAAAACGGTAAAATTTTAACTGAGTACCCTAACAGTCATGATTCATGAGGAAATTTTGAAGTTGGTTTACGTCAATAAGACAGCAACCCAACGACGAACGTAATGTGCTGTTGTTATTCTTATATTTTATCATTGTTCTTTTAAAATTCCTTTTAATTGAATTTAAGTTCCGTTTCTTTGTTTTTGTTTTCTAATGTCATTGGCGTTCATTTTTCTGTCGACTGCGATCACGGCACAGTCGTGGTTCGTAAAAAGTAAGCAAAAGAGTTTAACAGACAAACATAAAAGAAAAAGTAACTGGAAAAAAACAATAAGATGTTGAACTGTACAAAATTATTTTGGGAACAATTAAAACCCATTTTCAGGGTGACTTTTAATAAATGTGAATACATTCCTCGAACAGAACATTAAATCATGTTATAGGTTTTCTTCTCTTCGTCCATCTTAACAAGAATGAAATACTGCAATGGAATAAAAGAAGGATATATGGTGTACCATTTCATGACAAAAATTCCCTAAACGTATTTGACAAAATCCAAAGCAAAGAAAAAGTGTTATAATTGATGTTCTTCATCTCAAAGAAGTCATCAATGAAGTCATCAAACACGAGACAAAAAACTCAATGCTGATCTGAAATTCAAGACGGCTCTTATCACCGCCTTATTGCTAGCAAGCGGGAATTCACAAATTATGTACAGTATAATACGTGTCTACAGGAGGACCCCTCTAAGTTTGATAACAAGATGCGACCATCCACGCATCAATAACATTTGAAATACACAATACAACTAAATCGACCGAATGTATCGAAGAGGCGAAAAATAATACATATCTATTTATGATGCAAGTTCAATAGTGATAAATAAAATATACTTTAATTTCGTGATCTCTATATTCTATAAACATTTTATGCTACGACGATTAAAGTTTTAGCTTGAACACTATTTTTAGTGCAAAACTATCTGTAGTAAAGAATCTTTTGGACCTACCTTTAGTCCCTGATACAGTGGTCTGATTATTTTTACAAAAACAAGATGTTTATAAAGGTCAATCTAAATCTTATCATAATGTGTGAATGGGGGAGCTTTGAAGTTGCAATTTATAAAAATTTTCGTATCAACCAAATGCCGAACAGACATTTATGCATTCATTTAAATGAATTGGGGTCTTATATTTAAATTGAAAAATTACATAGATGCTCATAAATTAACTGTTTCTGTGTACTCAGTTCAAATTCATTCTGTACAAATATAGAACTCTTTTAAATTCTGTCCTAAATTCAAGGTGTTTGGAAAAATAAAGGAAACATTGACCTGTAGTTTGTCCTAGATCTAGGCGATCATAATGTTTTGATAACGGACCGACCAAAAGGGAAAGACATTTACCAACATGGGACTGACAGAGAAAAATAGAAATCTTCAACCTAACAGCTGTATATATTACCTTTTGTCGATAATACAAGAAATTACATTTGAACTTGTTCGGACTATGCATGTCTTTAACCAAAGCCGGAAAATTAAAAAAAAAGGGGGATCTATAAAAGCATGCCCCCCCCCCCCTAAAAAAATATGAACGATACATAAGTTAAATTAAAGGACAATATAGAAAATGGACAATAAACAAAAACTACGACGTACGTCTTGGGGTTGTTGGCTTATCGACGTAAAAATCCCATCTATTTATTCATCAAAAACAAAAGTTAGTCATTACACCTCGAAAATTGAAAGACTAGCGAAATTGAGAGATTCATTATGGCTTTTTGTAAAAATTGATCACTCTTTGCTTGGAAAAAAAATAAAAAGCATTAAGTAGCATTGTACAAATACAACGCCTTTTGCAGATGTTCCGTACTATTATATCACATAACAGGGGCGTTTATGTCGTTATAAATATAAAATGGAACAGCAACTGGGGAATCGAAATATGGTCACTTTGATCTTTTTCCGACAGGTGGTGCGTCGATTCGGCTGTGCGAGATTTACAAGTACGCTGCCAAGTTCGATAGAACGGAGACGTTAAATCCGATGCCTAGTGTAGAGAGAGTGCCACGCTCGCTGCACGTAGAGAACCTATGCAATAACTCTTTGAGGAGTCCGTAGATGGTCTGTTTCAAGGCAAACTTTCAGGCCTATCCAATATGCCCTCATTTTCTAGTAGCAGTCAAAATTTCTCCGACCTTCATCCCGGACGGCCTCTATTACAGGACCTACCTATTGCATTTATTGTTCATTTGTTCCCGTCCAGCCTTAACATGCATGAAATATTTGCCTCTGGACGTTAAGCAAACATCAGTTATGTCTTATAAAATTACGTTTAGCGAAGAATCTTAGAAAATTCTTAATTCGAAGGTACCAAAAGGGATGTCTGTCATCACTCGTTCATAGAATAGAAATTTAAATCCGCCATTGGTCTCATCTGTGTTGTCACATAATCAAAGAAACAAAAAGAGTAGAAATTTTTATTAACACTATATACAATAAAAGATTTCTTAAAAATCATTTTTACAATACATGTACAAATTGATATGAATACTATGAACAACCTATGATACTGTTATATTTGTCTTTCTATGAAACGTTCTATCTAAATTTAACCATATTTTTATCTGTTTGATAAAAAATTTTCATCTACTCAATGTTGTGCAATGCCAAATCGTAGTTGGAACTCTAGATAAACGATTCTTTAAATATATTGACTTCGAAATCCAAGGCTGTCGATTGTATTTTTAAAACTACAATGAGGATATTCATGAAGTCAAAGTTAGAAACAGAACGACTAGTAAGTTTTTCATTGGGTTTGTGACTTGTTTCAAATTGTGTGTGTGATTTCCACCCATCACGGACAAACTTTAAGGCACTTTTTTTCGTCAGGTGAACAGGTTTCGAAAAAACGATGTTGTTCTATCAAAATGTATATTGCTTGAGAATGTTGTTGTGTAGCTTAAGAAAATCCGACAAAACATCAAGAAATGACAGTTACTTTAAACAATTGTATACGTTTGAATTTGTCACACGGCAAATGTGGACATCATCATGCATACTCTTTTAAAATAATTTTCAAATGTTTTTGAATAAGTGTAATGCAAAGTGCCTTATATTTATTTGCCTCGTTTCCGTATAAAAGAAAATATGGATAAAATTGAATAAATTGATAACTTAAGCATTGTACAAGTCTAAGTATAGTTTACAATATCCGACTTTGAACACTTGATTACTCCTTCGAACTGAAATACTTTCATCATAGATACCCCTGAACTAATGGAGATATTCATTATAGAGACCCTTTAACAGATAGGCACTAACAATAGAGACCCTTAAACTAAAAGACACTAATCATAGATAGAGACAAAATCCTCGTGTTCTGTCGACGGAGACATTTTACATGCCAATACTATCAAGTTCCTTTGTCATCTGACACACCGCACATGGTTCACAACAGCACGTGGTCCAAAAATCACTTACAAGGGAACCCTGAAAGTATAAAATAAATGTTTGAATGGTCAGCACTATTTTTTTTAAAATACAATAAAGAATGAAAAATTAAAAAAAAAAACAACAGCTTTAATTCAATGAATCAATGTCAAAGTGAGAAATATTGAATGTTTATAAACGATTACAAAACGTATCGAAAAGAGTACTTTTTAAAGTATTTTATGTCAAAGAGAAAAAGACAATTTCCTTTGTATTTGTTTCACGCACAGAGTCAAAATAAAATACCCAACTGGAAATTTATGATATATTTCAAAAGTTCTTCAAAACTTTACATTCAGCGCTTCATGTTGCTGATGAAGTTCAAGACATTTGGATAAAAAAAATGCAAATTTTACATGGTTTTGTCAAATTTCAGTAAAGTTTGAAAATGGCCCTGCTGTGAAATACGTTGCTTACATTTGCAATAATTATATATGATGTTGCCTCATAAACAAGCTGGCGAAAAGAAATTGCTCGCTGAATTAAAGCTTTACGAAAACATATATTGTAGAAGCCTGTATGTTGTCGCCTCTATATAACTTGTTGGGTTTTTTTGTCTCTGGGTTATTGTCTCATTGATGTATACCATTTTTAGTAAATAAACGCGGCTGCATATACGTCACACGTTTTCGTATTATCCTTTATGAGCACCAGTGTTTGACAGTTTTAGCGCGGTTCATGTCGCTCAATCTTTTCTGTGTAGTGTTTTCTCACCTTCGAAAATTTTATGGACGCCATCACGAGTTGGTTCACCGTTATTGAATATATCTGTTTCACAGATGACGACGGATATATTCCAATTGTTGTAAACACAACCCCGTCCTCTTTTCATCGAATGTGACCAACCGAATTAGACTTATCACCGGGTTTGTACTTACATGAGCAACACGACGGGTGCCATATGTGGAGCAGGATCTGATAACGTGTCCGGAGCACCTGAGATCACCCCCAGTCTTTGGTGGGGTTCGTGTTGCTCAGTCTTTAGTTTTCTATGTTGTGTTTTGTGTACTGTTGTTTGACTTTTCGTCGGTTTTCGTTTTTTGCCATGGCATTGTCAGTTTGCTTTCGACTTGTGAGTCTGTATATTCCTTTGGTATCTTTCCCCTCTCTTTTATTGTTCCTTTGTCCATGGCTTATTTCTAACCTAGAAATTGTGACGTTCTGTTTATTAACCCTTATCAACGGTTTCGGGAACAATCGAATCGCAAACGTATTTAGTTTTTTTACCTTGATTCCAAACAAAGTTCTAACTTTGATTCTTAAAGCAAATGCTGCACATGGAATTAAAGCCATAAATGGTGTTTCTCCTAATCTTGTTGCAATCATGTATTTAAAATAAGGCCAGCAACATAAATAACAACAACCTGAAAAAATAATTCAATGATTTATTAAAATTCTTTTTCTAACTTATTATGGTCCATCGTCACTGCTATTTATATAAAGTATATTCTAACCTCTGTAATAAAGTAATAAGAGGAAAAAAAAAATTGTGGGTTACACACCAATGAGACAGAATGCAATCATAGCAACAAATAACTAACATGCAACAGTGATAAAAATATTTTTAACATGACGCAGTGTAATCAATGCATGCAATGCAATCAACATTTAGAGATGGTCCAGTATGTTTTTTTTTCCGAAATGGAATGCGCTTGTGAGATATGAAACAGTTAAGACGTGGGTTTTGTTGTGATTGGCTTACAACATTGTACAACCTCCTAAACAGTTGAAATGCAACCAATGACGTGATATTACTTTCATTTTGGGGTACGAACATTGGAACTACCCTAATCATAAACATTTGTAGATTTTATGTTCAGTGTAAATTAGAGTTTGATAAATGTTTCTGATTAAATCTTCTGTACGGTATTTTCACTTCACTCATCTCGCCTGATCGAGAATCACCAAAATGCTAAAAAGTCTACTCAAGTAAAGAACATCATTTTGATTATAAGGCAAACAAGCAGTCACTCTATATATTTATGCGTCTATAAATTTTAGGAAAGATTTGTGTAGAACTGTTCGGTAGTTGATTAAGAAATTGGATATTAAATTTAGCTTTTTCTTAATTAAGGAATTATAACCTGTTTACGTAACAGATGCCTTGATTATGTAAGATCATGTAACATTTTGTTTTATAATTGAATGTTTTTTTTCTTAAAATGTTACGCTTATTGCTAAAAATGTGGTAGTCACTTGCTTTCATTACGTATAAATTATTTAAAATAAAGCATTCAATTCTTATATTTACAGATTTTCTAATGAAAACATATATGCGTTTTCCCATTTTGAATCTGAAAATAAAACTTTAAACACAAAAACTTGAAATTGTCTAGTGATATGAAAGCAGTAACATTCCACGTGAAATCAATTATAATACGTCATATAGCTGATATTGGCATAAGAATTAGATGTCGATTTCAAAGAAGTTAGCTCGTAAATTATTTATCAAATTGCATTCATAAGTGTAAATGTATATCATAGGATAATAATGATTGTTATGTATTTATATGAATTGTTCATTTTAAAAAGATACATTGTCAACTACATGTACTTCTTTCAAATGAATAAAATTTGCGATTTTTTAAAAAAGCATAATAGTTTGCACGAAGTACACGAACAATGCGAAAAAATAGTGTTTATCAATAACGTAGGCGAAGCTAGTAAGTCTATAATCCTGACAACAAGTGTGTTGCTGTCATGCGGCATGGGTTGCTTTCATACGAAATGAAGGCATATGACGGAATTAAATGATTCGTCTTTCAGCCAATAAAAGGCTAGCATGTATGAACACCTACTGTAAATATATTAGTGTAAAATTACGCTTACCGCTTCTTTTTTCGTCTTTACCGCAAGCACATATTCCAGACGACCAATTTCTTTCACAATGAGCGTCATCAAATGGTCCATTGAAAGCCGATTTATTCCGGGCTTCACTCTCCCTTCTGGAAATAGTTTTTGGTTGTGTTGATACCACTAAAGATGTGTCTTCATTTGCAAAAGAACCGCCTGTCATGATAACTTTCTCGTCTGCATCTACAAATTACAGATTAAAGAAAATATTTAAGTTAATCATCATAAAAATGCCTGATTGAAAGTTAATGACCACACACTCGTTAAATGCAAACTTTGGTATTTGCAGCTCACATTCTAGTCCGTCAAAATGCCTTCATAAAAACGTTAAAAACGGTGAGAATCATTAGAAGTCATATTACAAATGAAGTTAAATAAATGAAAATTGGGGGGAGGGCATTCAATTGTGTTATAAACAAGAAAAAGAGAACCGGCTTGATAAATATTTTAACGGTTTTCTGAATGTGCTGTTTAGTTGCTGTTATATTTACCATTGCATCCCTCTTAAACACACAAAAACACAAAAACACGACTTTTTTCCTATAATTATTCTTGTTTAAACAGCTGTTTATTAACAATTTGAAAACATGAATATCCATAAATATATATTATACTGATTTACATGTGTTGCTGTACAATGTACAAGTGAATACATCGATTTTATCACAAATGTCAGCAAGCATGCATGCTAGGGGCAAAATGTAATGTAACATTGCTCAAAAATGGCAAACAACTAAAGCCTTTTCATATTTTAATATTTTCCGAGACTTTCTAGTCATTCCTTAAATAGAAGGATTATATGTGACTGATAATTGTATATGAAAAATAGAAGCCAAGAGCTTTCAGTGTGATTGTCACTGCAGTCATCTTTCAATCCATTTATAATATTCAACGTGGTCGTTGCTTAATTGTTGGGAGATTAATTTTTGGCAAGCCCAGGCCTTTTCAATATTTACTCCATTTTCATGATATCTTATTAAGTTATTTAATAAGACATATTGTATTATTTATGATATATCTTATCTAATTGAAATTAAAAAGATATCTTATATTCTTTATAGCATACATCATTTAGTTTATAAAACATCTTGAAAATTGAATAAATATCAAAACGGCGTGCCATATTTATGTATCCTACGTAATATACATTCATTGACTTTCGTTTGCTCTTCTGCTCGAGGTCACTTATTATGCAATGATTGGTAGGGATGAACCGCTGGAATAGGTTACCTTTTTAAAGCTTCATAATATATGATAAGGTTGAGAAATTTAGATTAATTATGTGATAAGGTTGCTTATTATATCATAATTATCTGAAATGTTTAATATTATTTTAAGATGTAATTGGTTGTTTTGTAAAAAAAAAAAAAGATGATTGGGTATGATTTTTACAGTATTTTATGTATATGAAAAGGATTTGTGTACTGGATTTACCAGCTGCTCACTGTACCTCAGAATGATCGAAATGCCCCCCCCCCCCCCTTTCCCTTTTCCAGCTTTAATGCCAGTGGCAAATATTTTATGTGTATTCGGGAAGCTTATATATATCATATGTTAGAATCGCCAGAATACTCATTGTGCAAATCTTATAATGAATTTTTCATATAAGCTGTATGACGACCTATCAATAGGAAACGCACTTCGTGATAAGTTGTCTCATAGATTATTTTGCAGTACGGCCTTTCATATGAAAATAAAGAGATGCATGTGCGGTAGATTGACAAATATGAAACACTTTACATCAGAAAAAGCTCGAACTGTGAGTGAACTCGCAAAAAATTGCCCACAGTTATATAGTAAACTGTATACCTAAAATATAAAGTCTTTAAAAATTCACAAAAAAGGAAACGGAGCAAACTCAATTTTACAGACTTCAAGTTCTTGGAGACATCAGTGGTGGATCCAAAGGGGGGTCCGGGGGTTGGAACCCCCTTTTTTGACGATCAATGCTTTTGAATGGGGACATTTAGTTGGAAACCCCCCCCCTCCTTTATCCTGGGTTAGGACCCCCCCTTTATAAATAGCTGGATCCGCCCCTGGACATAGTGTAGGACAAGGATTATATTTCTGTATGAATATCCTCGGGTATTGTGTTCTAGATCTACAACAGTTACTGTTTAAAGTTTCATAAATTTCGGTCGATCCGTTAAGGGGTACTGCGCTCACATGATATACGGACAGGGCGATTCCTTTGTCTGCATCGAAAAGCTAAAGACCTGGTTTTAGCAAAAAATATTAAACGAAAAACAGGTGAAACAGACGGCAACCACTAAACTTCAGAATCCTGGTTTGGGACAGGCATATACAGAAAGTGGCGTAAAACTGTAAATTTTAGTTGGGAAGGCCGTGACTATATACAGTTACAAAATCAACTAAACTGCCACTTGACGTTATTAATCAGCAATTAAAAACAAAGCAGACTAACAAGAAGACAAAAAAGGTACCTGCATAAGAGTACACTCAGTTTATGAAAGCTAGTTCAAATTCCTATTTCAACTAATAACATGTAAATGTAAAATTAAGAACAACTGGTTTGATTGCCAATGAGACAACTGCATTCTTGGGAGACTAAATGACGTAGATGTAAGAAACCATAGGTCACCCGATGGCCTTCAATAATAATCAAAACCCATACCGTAGTGTAAACTATATAATCCCGATATCACAAAAAAAAGGTAAAACAATTCAAACGAGAAAACCGACTGCAAGATTTATAAAAAAAACAAGGGCGTCAGACGTCAGATTATATCAAACTACAAGATAACATAACTTATACATACATACATATGAATATTTACAATTCTTGACTATTTCACGTAGCCTAATACCGGTAATTCGTTACCCAGTCCATCAAGTTTTTATTAGAGCTGATAATTAATTACCGATACGATTTTGTGCGAATACTACAAATATGTTAATGATTTTTAAAGCTATGGAACACGTGTGTATCGACTTTACGGCCATTCTATATATTCTGTAGTACAAGGTTGTTGATTTCAATAAAGCAGTCGTTACTCATCAGACTGGTATGTGTAAACAGTAGCATCACTTTTCATAATTATCAGATGATTGTGTACTAGCTGTTTCAATTTCGTTTATCAAAATGTCAAGCCTGTACAAACTTTGAGCTGTAAGGAGATGAGGCGTTGATGTATGTTAATTACATTTAATACCAATAAATGTGGATAACATGAACATGTATGTACAACTGTTGATTATAAAGAGAAAAATATGTTGTTTGTTTTGAATATCTGCAACTTCCTCATATACCGGGGAAGTGAAAAGGGGGAATGATATTGAGCCGGAGGGATAGAAGATCTTTGAGGGTTTTTTTTTTTTTTATTAAAATTGTCGTTGTATAATAATATTGGACGTATATAAGATCACTATAGTATTCTGGTTCATCCCTTTAACTGTTTCATGGCCAATTTCCATCTAAACACAAAAGAAAATTAAAAAAGGTTCCATTCGGATTTGTTGAAAATTTGAAAGGCTGTACATAGTGGTTTTACATTTATTCAAAAAAAAAAAGGTGATAAAACGCTTTCCTCGTTGTGACTCGTCCCATACCAGTGTAGTAAGAAATAAATATATCCCTGTCTATATTGGCTATTTCTCTTCGTGCTGTTAGAATTAATAATAGAAATGGTTATGTCCCACAGTCAATATATAGTCATTATATTTGAATAAAACATGTATTTCCTTTTTTTTATCGATCAAACTTAAACTTATAAGGAAAATAATTTTAGTGAGATGTGAAATATGTATTAATATAACTTGGTTTTGAGGATTAGATTAACTTGAAAGTGAGATTAAATCAATCTATCTAGATCATTTATAACTCACAGAAACTGGACAATAACTATGACATTAAATTCTGTTTATTAAATAGAATATGATATGAATCAATATCAACAGTATTATGAGGTCCCAGTGGGAATATTTTCATTCAGATTATTTATTGATCGTTATTATTGTTGTCAAAAACGATTATGAATGTGGACAAAATCCAGGTTAATTAATGTTTTAGTTATCAATAAAATAGTTTACGAAAAGTAATTCTCACGCTTTTACTTGAATCTGTTTCGAAATATTTTGTAAAAATGTTCATTACAAAAACTATCGAAAAATCAAACCATTGCAAGTTTCATACAATGACACTGGTTTGTTGTATACATGGTATACATATTAACCTCTTTGTAATGCACCATGCACGCAGGTAGAGAAGCAATAGTGTGCACAGCATTACTGTCTTCGTGCATCATATACATCTTTGTATTTGATTTAGATAAATCGACATATATTCGCAAAGTTATCTCATATCAGTAAACAAAAATGACACATACACATCTAAAACAGATTTACAAGTGAAACAGAAATAGCTTACCGTTCGTATCCATGGTAAATTCTCAAAAATTTCATTAATGCACGTGTTTCGACATTGATGATTTAAGACAGGAGATGTTCGGTAGCTGATATTCTGATGTGCGTGTGCACTTATGACAAACAATCATCAAGATAATATTACAACGATTTTCAACATGATCAGTCACTAGTTGCTGGTTAAAGTGTTAAGCATGGCGTTGAATCGTGTAATCGAAAAAATATTTTCATCCGGACTGAGCATTCAGTATAGGTGTTTATTGGCGTTGAATCATATAAACCGAAAAAAAGCTTTCATTCGGGGATATCATGCAGTGTCTTCATAATAATGTGTTTAATCGTTGTATCCGTTGATCTTCAAATTGCTCATTATTTTATTTCATTTCACCAACTCACATAAAACATTTTAAAACAGCCATCAACACTTGGGATAAGTGATTTTTTGGTAAAACGTAGATTTGTGTTTGGAAAAGTTTCTATTAAAAAAAGACGACACTGACCAAAGTCAATCGAAAATAAATGTGGCTAATTAACATGTATGTTAAACCTGAGAACCGACAACAAAAGATTGAAACATAGAACGTTAAAAGTATGAACTTGTAATTATTTTCATTATGATTTCACTAAAAATTACCATGTAGTTATTTCCATTTTTAAAATTTAACCCGTTCTAGAAATTCTGAGAAAAAAGTGTACAAAATTTGGGGGTACTTCATACAATCAAAGTAGTCGAAATCTCTGATGGAAAGATTCGAAGACATTGAGTTATGAAAGATAAAATTTAAATAGTACACCATGGAATTATGATATGGCAATATGACACTTCCATGAGTGATCATGAGTATACTAACAATATATGTGTCGGATCAATTTCATGGAATCACTAAATTTGGATAAAAAATCTTTTCAATTACAATTTAATATTTTCATAAAATTATGTTCACAGTTTCAAGTTTATAGTTTTTTAAACAGAAGAAATTATCACAACAAAGATTTATCCAAAAAAAAAGTTTGCCAAACGATTTTTTTTCTGTAAACAAATAACTTTACCGGAAAGTATTATCGTTTCCTTTGCGATGTTGATTAAGCCGTTAGTTTTCACCTACGTCACACAGCAACAACAAAGCTTCAAAAGGCGGCGACAGGTGCCCGAAATTAATTAACTTTGTGCAAACAATAGATTTAATCAATTAAGAAAATAAGATAAAGATGCCGAAGAAAAAGGGGAAATCAAAGAAAGGGAAAGGTAAAAAGGGGAAATCAAAGAAAGAGACAAAAACTAGCGAAGGACCAAGAGATCCAATGACTCCAGCGTTTATTCCACCACCACCACTTCCAAGAGAAAAGGTGATTAATTTTACTTAAGTAAAAGATACTTAAGTTTTTTTGTATTATGTGCTGCATTTCTTTACTCTGTCTGATGTGCAGAATCCTGTGTGTGTGGGGGAGGGGGGAGATGAGATGATACATAAGAAATAAAAATATTTGAGGTCCCAGAAAATACATAATTAAAATCAAAAAGCATAAGTTGAAGAAAAACAATTAAAATAAAATAAAAACAACCATAAAAAAAATGCAGGGAAAACCAAAGAATGGGCGACATGAATTCAGGCGTCCTGTTCCTCTTGTGTTACACCTGTTAAATTAACCGATTAGATAGATGTACATGTATGTTGATTATATATACAAAACATGTAGCCATATACATATTAAGCATCATACATATGTGGAATTTAAGGATAATGTAAAATTGACTTTTCTTACTAGAAGATAGATGTATACATAATGTACACATTTTATTATTTTAATGTTTTATATTAAGTATAAAAAAAATAGAAAGCAAAAAATGTAGCTACATGTAGATGATCAATAACAAATGGGTCTCATTAATTATAATTATAATAGGGGTGTATAGCGACAAGAGGCATCAAGGAGCGACAAGAAATAAATTTAGCATCAAGATATCTAAATAATGATTATTTCAAATAAATAGAGACACATGCATTAAAGTGTGTGTGTGGTTTTGTTTTAAATGTATGCATATTTTCATTATTTCATGATACTGGGAGAAGAAAATAAACATTGGTTCATTTGTTCCAGAAAGTGTTTTTTTGTTATCAAGGATATGTTTAAAGAGATATATTTAGTTTACAGTTTATAAATCAAAATTATAATATAATCTATAAATCTTTATTTTTATTTCAAGTAGAATCAAAACAAGGATGTATATGTATACATGTATAACTAACAAAATTCCTTTCTCAAAAGGTCCATATATACATGTACATATATTGGATGGGACATGCGATTGTTACAAAATGTTCAAATTGATACATACTTAAAAATTATGTAATCAAATAATTTTTACTAAAAATTCATTACTAGACTACTGTACCAAGTGCCACTAAATATAACAAAATTTGAAACTATAAAACAGTAAATAATCAACTGTAATTAATTGACTTTTTCTATAAATTTATTGTTTTAGTAGTATATAAACTTTCTTGCATTTTGTCACTAACTTTTTTCTTCTTCTTGCTTCTTATTGCTAAAATTCTACTTTTCACTAATTAGTGAGACCGATAACATACTAGTGTTTAAATATCAAATTGTTATTTTACAGCTAATTAATCTATTGAAACAACATCCTGTGAATGAAAAAGAAATTCATGGTTACAAAGTGACAGACAGAATCCTAAAAAACTTAACCTCTTCTGAAATTAGAGACCTGATTGTAGTTTTTGAATTGTTTGATGCCAATTCTGATGGGTAAGACTTTCATGAAGGAGATTAACCATTTATCAAACCTACTGTGGATATTTTTTTTACAAAAAAGTGGTTCTAAGTAGAAAACCTGAAATATGACTATTTATCAAAGTTGTTATTGGTCAGCCATTGGAGATCGGGGAGGATTTCAAGATTGCTCCCCTCGTGTTTTATATTTTTGCTTTCTTAAATATTTATCTGAAGCAAGTACATACCTGATGCATGTTTATTGAAGAAACAAGTGTCATGTCAATCATTGTGCACAATGCACAGATTGAGGCATCGCATATTTTACTACAGATATACATTGTGCATGAAGTTTTTATCACTGCTGGTTGACAATCAGGGTACATTTGTACAATGCAAACCCCAAACCTGAGGCTTTAATATTCATTTCAATATCTAGGAAATGTGAAATATAAGTTTATTCATCTGTTCATATTCAATTGTGCAGTAGCAGGAATAAATCTAAACACATGTATTGGTGTAAGCTTTCTTTCCTTATCATGTTATTATTTTTGAATGCATTTTTAAGAATACTTAAAACCTTAGAATTTCAGAAGTGTTATGGTAAACTAGTTAAAATATAGCCCTTTGTTTACATGTAAAGTTCAGATTCTCAGGTACATGTACATGTATGATTAAACTACAAGCTTTACTCATCATTTTCAGATATATCAATGCAAAAGAGTTACGACGTGCAATGAGAGCACTTGGATTTAAATGTTCAAGAGATGATGCCAAAGATATGATTTCAGATGTTAGTGTGAAAGGAAAAAGGTAAAACTTCTATAGATGCCCATTTGCCATGTATGACAGACCTTAGAAAACCTTCTTTTGAAACCCTCATGCATAGGTAAATGTTCAATCATGGAAAAAGTTCAATTAATAATATTATTAACTGTTTGAGGTCACAAATAAAATGCACAAGTAACTTGTAATTTGATGCTTGTATATCGAATAGAGAATCACACATTAATATGGAATATATTTATCCTTGCATGAATTTATATTTTGATATCTTTACACAGATCTGTGAGAAAACTGCTAAAAAAGATTTGCCATGCCATCTTCAATTTTTAAAAAGTTTGCTAAAAGACTAGGAATTTTTTTGTAAATACATGTCCGAACAAGGGAGATAATTCTGTTATTTTATATGATGATATTAACTTGAATATTTTTGTCCCCCGCGCAACACGTTGCGGGGGACATGGAAATACTGGGCATCCGTCCGTGTGTCTGTCCGTTCTTGTTAGCACTCTCACGGGTACAATTTTTATACGACTGCAAAAATTGCGGTCGTATATTGGTATGGCGTCGTCATGGTTTGTCGTCCGAAGACACCTTGGTTTTCGCACAATAACTTTAGTTTAAGTTAATGGATCTCTGTGAAATGTTACCATAAGGTTCAATACCACAAAAGGAATGTTGGGATTGATTTTGGGGGTTATGGTACCAACAGTTAAGGAATGAGGGGCCAAAAATGGGCCAAAAATAAGCATTTTTGTAACTTCCAGACAATAATTTGTGTGTTAGTGTATTGATCTTTCTGAAATTGTACTACAAGGTTTCATATCACAAAGGGAAAGCTCGAATTGAGTTTGGGGGTAATTTTCCAAAATGTTTAGGAATAAGGGACCAAAAATAAGCATGTTCTGACATTGTACCACAAGGTTCCATATCATAAAGGGAATGCTGGGATTTATTTTGGGGGTAATTGCCTAAAAAATTTAGGAATAAGGGGCCAAAAAGGGGCAAAAAACAAGCATTTTTCTAGTTTCATGACAATAACTTGTGTGTAAGTGTATGGATCTTTCTGAAATTGTACTACAAGGTTTCATATCACAAAGGGAAAGCTCGAATTGAGTTTGGGGGTAATTTTCCAAAATGTTTAGGAATAAGGGACCAAAAATAAGCATTTTTCTAGTTTCCAGACAAGAACTTGTGTTCAAGAGTATGGATCTCTCTGAAATTGTACTGCAAGGTACCATACCACAAAGGGAATGCTGGGATTGATTTTGGGGGTAATTGCCTCAAAATTTTAGGAATTAGGGGCCTAAAAGGGGCCAAAAACAAGCATTTTTCTAGTTTCAGGACAATAACTTGTGTGTAAGTTTATGGATCTTTATGAAATTGTACTACAAGTTTTCATATCACAAACGGAAAGCTGGGTTTGAGTTTGGGGGTAATTGCCCTAAACGTTTAGGAATTTGGGGCCAAAAAGGGGCAAAAAAACAAGCATTTTTACAGTTTCCAGACAATAACTTGTGTTCAAGTGTATGGATCTCTCTGAAATTGTATTGCAAGGTACCATACCACAAAGGGAAGGCTGGGATTGAGTTTGGGGGTGATGAATCATAAGGGGGTTCAAAAAATTGGGGGGGGGGGGGGGGGTATTTTTTTTTCCTTTTTTTTTTTCTTTAAATTTTCCATTTTAAGTTGGTTATTTTTTATTTATATATATAAAAGCAAATAATAATGATATGGTTTGATTTCATCAAAAATTGAAATATTGGGGTTCTCTGATATGCTGAATCTAACCGTGTATTTAGATTCTTAATTTTTGGTCCCGTTTTCAAATTGGTCTACATTAAGGTCCAAAGGGTCCAAAATTAAACTTAGTTTGATTTTAACAAAAATTGAATTCTTGGGGTTTTTTGATATGCTGAATCTAACCATGTATGTATTTAGATTTTGGATATTGGACCATGATAGGTAAATTAAAAATTTTAAGTTCTTAGATCACATTCATTCTGTATCAGAAACCTATGCTGTGTCAAATATTTAATCACAATCCAAATTCGGAGCTGTATCAAGCTTGAATGTTGTGTCCATACTTGCCCGAACTGTTCAGGGTTCAACCTCAGCGGTCGTATCAAGCTGCTCCCAGGGGAGCATTTTATTTATAAAACTTATAGTATACTATAAGTAATGCCCTTGAAGGTCTGTTTGAAATATTTAGTATACAATAAAAAAAACTTTTTTGTCCCCAGCACATGCTTTTTATTTATAAATTGTTTTAAAGAACAACAACAGAAAGTGTTTTTTTTTAGTTATCGCCCCTGGATAGATAAAATATGTGCAAAAGGGGGGGGGGGACATTGGAACTCTGTACTTTTACTGAGAATAAATTTTGGCTCTCAAATGTATAACTTTTATTACGTTTGTAGCCAGATCAGCTTTGTTGAGTTTTTAGAAGTCATCATTGACAGACAAGATGATGCTAGAGACATCTATGATGAAATACTCCAGGGATTCAAAATGTTTGATCAAGGTAGGTAATTATGTTCTAAGTGGATCCGTGTTTGGTTAAAGATAGAAGTATTTTGCTCTCTAATCTACACATATATACATCAAATTCTTTGATAAAACAGTGACAATAACTGGATAGGAAGTCACCATTATTGTAGAATATTTCAATATACCAGTCATGAATGATCACTTTCTGGTAACTTTCTGGTAAAATTATTTGTCAAATTTTCGCTGAACAGACGACAGACAAGTTTTGCGCAAGGCACATATGTGGCCAAAAATATAGGTTTCTCTGGTATATAAAAGTTGTGAAGTGTAGCATTTCCCAAACTTATCTATGTTACATGTATGCTGTTTCATTGCCAAGAAATAAAAAAATATCATTTGTTGAATATTACTTCTCTAGCACTTTGTTAACCTATCATGATGTTTAGAAGATGGAGAATGCATTTTATTCCCAAATGTCGACTTTAAAATTTATATATATTTTTGAAAAAAAATTTGGCTTTTGGTATTAGATAAATCTCAATTCTTTAAAATTTAGAACATGGGACTAGGAAGAATAACTTTTTAAATGAGTAGGATCAAGAAGGGCTAGAATTGGTCCTAAGATTATTATTTTTTTTTAAATCAGGACAAGGTTCTACAAATTTCACATATAATTAGTTGTCATATTACTATTTATACAAAAGAAAACATTTTTGACACCTCATATTACAAGTTATGAAGTTATGAACCCCAATTATGCATTATTTGTGTTGTATTGTTAGGTTTTGTCCAATTTTTCAATCATTTATGACAGTTTTTAGCATTATTTACTTTGGCCGCCTTCCCCAATGCAGAATGTTTTTGTGTGTCTCTGTATTTAACCATGCCACCTTTTAGGTACAGAAAATTTTGGATTGTAGCTATAGGTAATGGCCAAGGCTATCCTTAAGGTTTTAGGTCTGAAAAATTGAAAAAAATCATTGTGTTTTGACAAGATCTCCAAAAGTGCTGACTTTTGAGCCTATAATGTACTATCATAGAGAGTTTAGTTTAAGTCAGGATTAAAGCATCTGAAATAGATCTATTATAGAAGAAAAGTGTGGACCTTTTGATATTTTATGATAAAGTTGAAGTTTAAGGCCATATTTTGCCAAAATTTAAATTTGTCCTTTAATTTGTTTCAATCTAGGATTTAGAAATATATGTAAATTTCAAAGCAGTTTATTTGTTGTTAATTTGAAAGAACAATTTATAGGTATTCCAAATAAATTTTCACAAGACGAAAACTATGTTAGTAAATAGCTCACTGCATCAAACATACAAAATGACTTTTCAAACCTAATTTATTCTTCTTTTACAGATATTTTGACTATCAAAGAAGCATTCCAATTTTCATTTTATTGTTTTTGAATTTTTTCTATTAGTTACTGAGTAACAAAGAGCTCATGAACATTAAAATATCATTCCAAGTTAAGTCAGAGTTATGCCACTTTGACTGAAGAACATCGATTATAACACAACTAAATCTGTTATAAATAACTAATCAGGCCATAATCTTGCCGGCGAAATGACGATTTAAGTCGCCAAAGAATTTTGAAAATCGCTAAATCTCGCCAGCCGACTGACTTCATAGCGAAGTCAAATCGCTATCAAAATCGGTAAAAGGGAGACAACTTGTGATTGACAAGTCTCACAGGTAAAAAAATTTTCACAAGACCAAAACTATGTTAGTAAATAGCTCACTGCATCAAACATACAAAATGACTTTTCAAACCTAATTTATTCTTCTTTTACAGATATTTTGACTATCAAAGAAGCATTCCAATTTTCATTTTATTGTTTTTGAATTTTTTCTATTAGTTACTGAGTAACAAAGAGCTCATGAACATTAAAATATCATTCCAAGTTAAGTCAGAGTTATGCCACTTTGACTGAAGAACATCAATTATAACACAACTAAAACTGTTATAAATAACTAAATTAATTACACTATTTACAGAGTTTTGTTGCCCAAACTTCGTCTCAACATTTGTTTTCAAAACTTAAAACAAGGTTGGTTCATAATGCAATATTTATCATGAAGATAGCTTCTTATTTGCAACCAACATAGAATAAATTTAAAAAAAATAATTTACCCTAAACACAGAGACATCAGTGAAAAGTCAGATATTCTTTTCTATTGGCTCAATTACAGTTTTTTGCCTCCTCACATAATCTGCAACATGTCATTCTGTAAGTCAATTAAATATTGTAGGATCGTTAGATTTGTAAAAATTATTTTTATGCCCCCACCTTTACTCTTGTCCGTACATACATCATGTTTGTAATTATTACATATTTCTAATTCTATTTTTAGACAATTCAGGATCTATTACATTAGACAATTTAAAACAAATATGTACGGAAGCAGGAATGAAGTTTGCACAGAGAGACTTAGAGGAAATGATTGAAGAAGCTGACATTAATGGCGATGGGAAAGTCGACCAATCAGAATTTATACGAATTATGTTACAGACTAACTTGTTTTAATAAATCTTCAACTTTACCCATCTGTATTTATGCTATCAATATTAGCAACTTTTTTGTTTTTGATGAAATGTGAAAAGAATATTTACGAATCAAATTTTGTATAAATTAAGTTATATCACAAACTTGTATCAAAAGATATATAATGACAGCAAAGTGGACTTGTGACTAATTATTTTCTTATTCCAACTGTAGATCATAATAGAACAACAAATGAATGTAAAAAGGCAAAGTTTATAGATTCAAGAATAATGAGAATGAAATTCAGTTTGAAATTTATTTTATAATGTTGAGATAATTATACTAATTAATTCATAGAAGATTTGCGTTTATGTTTTTTTTTATTCTGCAATATTTTAAGCATTAATCTTTAATGTATGATCTTGTATCCCTTCATCTGATTTTCTTTTCATGACAATGTTCATTTCTTTGAACTTGCTGTCAAATATTCTATTTTTTTCTGCTTTTTGCATTTATTAATAAATTGTTGTTTATAGCAATATTTAACTTCCATTGACCTATTTTGAATTCATTTCTTCCTATAGGTTGTTTTTACTTTATGTGTATATTTGTGTACTTGTTAATGAATGAGAATATAGATGTGTGAAAAACTAACATATTTTAATGATGTTGAATTTATACTGATCTGTGATGATATTTTTGAATAAATATTTTTATAAAATGGCATTTATTAATTTGGTAATCCCTGTAAGCACAAAACAAAAAAATAATTGTGTGTCATAGATTTTAATTTCACACTGTACACAATTTACAAGTGTATAAATATTTATCTAAATTTTGAAGTTTACATGTCAGATTTGCTTGGCTGCATTGCAATCACTTTGACCATCCATCTGTTTTCTCCAAAAAATATTTTTGTCTCTCTTTTCTCTGGTACTATTGAACAGAATGGCTTCATATTTGCTTAGCATCTTGACAGTGATGACAAGTAACATCTAAACCCATTTTATGCCCCCGCAAAAGCGGAGGAGGCATTAAGTTTTACCCATGTCTGTCCGTACATCCAAAAATTGTTTCCTTTCTCTTACTTTAGTTTGCCTCAACCAAATGTTATGAAACTTATGCATAATGCTTATTACCACAGAACACAGATCAAGTTTGATCTTTGGTGGCATCACTTTTACTGTTCCAGAGTTATGTCCCTTTACAAATGGAAAAATTGCTGAATTTTTCGTTTCCATTCTATAACTTAAGTTTACCTCAACCAAATGTTTTATAACTTATACACAATGCTTATAACAACAAAACTCAGACCAATAAAAATTTTGGTAGCATCATTTTTACCGTTCTAGTGTTATGTCCCTTCATAACATTATATATGCAAGCAGGGGCATCATCTGTGTCCCATGGACACATTCCCCATTTATTATAGATTAGGCCGTTAGTTTTCTCATTTGAATTGTTTCATATTTTTTTAATCTGTCTCGGCGGTCTCATGGCAGCATGCTAACCTCAGGTGTGGGAGGTTGTGGGTCAATCTAACCTGGCTGGGTCAAACCAAATTGTTTAAAACTGATATTTGCTGCTTCCCTGCTAATCACTCAGCATTAAGGAGTGAAAGCAAAGACTGGTTGTCTCAGAGTCAGAATAATGTGTCTGTATTGGGTGACATGTTTTTCTGGTGACTGTTACCTTGTGAACTAGCATGTTAAAAATCAGGCTCAGCGTATCTGCAAAGTACAAAGCTGGGTTAGCATTCATATCATATTTACATGTCCTGAATATGCATTTGATTTGCTGCTGGACATTAAAAAGCCATCCAACATCATCATCATTGTACTTTCTCTGTCCTGGACATATATAGATTTATTCATCTGTTCTACATGTCTGCATATATACATTCAAGTTTGTATAAGTTTATGTGTTACAGTCTATTTCTCAGAAGAAAAAAAAAATTATATGTTGCTCTATAATCCTTTTGTACAGTGCAAGGCCATTTGGCAACGACAAACAGTTTATGCTTTAGCTATTAAGGTGGTACCTAACACTACAGGGAGATAACTCTGTAAAAATCAGCTAAACGTTTTAATTACATTGTATTGTTAAGGAAATATTAAGCTTCTCAATGATCAAAATTAGTGTTTGTCAAACTGCTATATAACCAACGAAATTTTTCTGATAAAGTGGTTGGTTCAAATTTTTTGAAATTTTTATATTTTTGTCAAAGGGTCAAAGTAAACATTTTGTCAAAATTTTATGAAAATTAAACGAGCCAAATTAATATTAGTCAAGGTGTTGGGTACCACCTTAAGGAGTTTAAAAAAAATTATGCAATGTGGAAATATGACCTAACCAATCTTATACCAACATATCATTATGTAAGAATTCAATGTACGAAATAATTGCCTAAATTTAAGAAGCCTGGTGAGCAGATGTCCCTAAAAATCTACTGGACTGCCTTGAAATTAAGTGGCCAGGGGCCAGCAAGTTACCGCTGATTTTGAATCCTGAGAATTGATATGGTTTGTATCTCCTCTAGTATTCTTTAAGTATGACATGGCTGGTTTCATCATCTTTCTCTTGTATTTCATCTAAGACTATGCCTCTAGATGAGTTGATTCATAAAAAAAAAATAATTTTTAACATTCCAATTCTTGTCCAAATTTTTGGTTCTTAAGCTGCTTATTGCTTTGGTGCAAGTGCTTCTACTAATGTGATTAACCAATTTAGTGCAAAGAAATTAAGGATCAACCCCCAAAAAAAGCCACTTACAGCTGTAATGCAGCAAGAGTTATGCAAATCCATTGAAAAACTAGACTACCAAAATTCTTGCCAGTCTAAGCTAATTCATTGACACATTACAAGAGAGTTATTTCAATCCTTATTTCTTTGATATGGGAAGTGTCAAGTGAATATTTTGCAATGAAGTAGTACCATGGAGATTATTTGGCCCCATCCCCTTAGTCATGGTCTATTGCCTTTGAAACCTTTGCTTAGTTTTGAATTAGGTCAGTTTGTTTGGAACTACTAATGGTAAGTCAATGATATTTTGTGTGTTGTTGTATCAGCACATCTCATAACCGTGGAGGTTTTTGGCCATGCTCCACTCAGTCATGGTCTATTGACTCATAGTCAAAGTGTGTGATTGATTAGTTTGAAGGGAACCACTAATGGTAAGTCAATGATATTTGGTATGTAGTTGTATTAGTTTTAGCACATCTCATTTCCATGAAGATTATATGGCTCTACCCCCTCATTCATGGTTAATTGACTTTGGAATTTTTGCATAGCTTAAACACTCAGGTTTGTGATTAAATCAGTTTAAGGGGAGCCACTTTTGATGTCACAGAAATATTGGTATGCATTTGTTTTTGTATTGGTTTATCTCATTACTGTGGAGTTTATCTGGCCCTGAACCTTTAGTCATTGTTCAATGGCTGGATGTTTTGCAGTTTACATGTTAAACGTATTGCCATTTTATTATCAAATAAAATTGAGAATGGAAATGGGGAATGTGTCAAAGAGACAACAACCCGACCATAGAGCAGACAACAGCCGAAGGCCACCAATGGGTCTTCAATGCAGCGAGAAATTCCCGCACCCGGAGGCGTCCTTCAGCTGGCCCCTAAACAAATATGTATACTAGTTCAGTGATAATGGACGTCATACTGAACTCCAAATTATACACAAGAAACTTAAATTAAAAATGGTACAAGACTAACAAAGGCCAGAGGCTCCTGACTTGGGACAGGCGCAAAAATGCGGCAGGGTTAAACATGTTTTTTGAGATCTCAACCCTTCCCCTACACCTCTAGCCAATGTAGAAAAAACAAACGCACAACAGTACGCACAGTAAAACTCAGTTTAAGAGTGGTCCGATGTCAGAATAGGAAATAGGAAAGTATGCATTTTACTATCAAAATACATACAGGTAAGATATATCTCTGTGTCGAGAATATTATGGCAAAAGCATAAGTTTTAATTATACATTATCATTGACCGTAAACTTTACTGTTTTCATTTATTTTGTTATTATACTTGCCACAACACTATGTCCAAACTCCCAAGACAGTGGCAACAGGTTGGGTGCTACATGTGGAGCAGGATCTGCTAACCCTACCAGACCTCCTGAGATCACCCTGAGTTTTTGGTGGGGTTTGTGTTGCTCAGTCTTTAGTTTTTTTTGTTGTTTTTTGTGAACTGTTGTTTGTCTTTTTCTTTTTTAGCCATGGCATTGTCAGTTTATTTTATGACTTGTGAGTTTGAATGTCTCTTTGGTATCTTTCACCTCTCTTTTAGAGTTTTTCCCCATTTGTAGCCAAGCAATAACTGTAAAGGCTATTGTATAGACACCTATTTTCGAAGACTGTTTATTATCCTTCAGATAACTTCAGGTTATTTTTGTTGTGTTGTTATTTCATATACATATATTTATATATGTTCACATGGCAGGGTCAAACAAAGTTTTTTTTATATCTTGATCATTAAGATATTAAAATGAGTCCTGGAAATGCTGTGATGTCTTTAAATACTGTAGATTCTGAAATTTTTGCAATGTTTTTATTATTGTGTTGAATGTGACGGGATAGGATTTGCAAAACTAAAAACTCCAAATACACACTTTCGGCTCCATAAAAAAGAATTAATAAAATAATTTTTTAATATAATTTCAACAAGCAAATATGAGTTAACACAAAACATAAACTGGGCATATAAATCCCTTTTGATATGTGAATACATTTCTATTGCATTATATAACATTATCACATATTTACAAATGAAAGAATTGTGGCTAAAATAGAGTTCCAAATCATGAGACAACTCTTGCTACAAAATGTTTGAACATCAAGGTATAGCATATTGCTGACACAGACTATCAATTTCAAGGCAGACATCAAGTTATCTTATATATGAGTATTTTCTTTTCATGTCAAGTGCTTCAAACCCCAATAAACCCTTTTCTACAAACTATATGCATCAATGATAAATTTTTCATTGTGGTTTTCTTTCATTTTTTCTGATTGTATTGGGTCTTCCAATTTCATCAAATCCATAACCATAAACACATTGACTATAAATAAGTAAAAATGTAATGTATTGATTTATATTTTTATGATACACGTTTCTTTTTTTTTACCATTCTTGAAAAATTAAAATCCACACCTTTTCTATTCTGAAAGACACATTAGGGTATGCAAAACAAAACTTAATTATTTTTCGATGATCTTCTGAAACAAAAAGATTTCACATTAATTGTCATGACAACAAATTGTAAATAAGCACTTGGTGTACATCTCAAAATAAAAAATATAAACATGCACTGAAATCACAGTCAAGAACTTGGATGTTCCATATATTAACTGATTTCCTAGATAAGTAAAATTGTTGAAATATCTTGAATGTGCTTAATGTCTTCAAAAGAATGTAATCATAAATGAAACGAATATTCATGTATGCTTAGGGCTGTTCTAAAATTGATGGTGGTTGTGGTTGAGCGATTGGAGCCCTTTAAATTAATTAATTGTGGGTTGGTTTTTTTTCTTAGAATTTTATAGGAATTATAATTAATTATGAAAATTTCATACTATGGGTGGTTTGGGTCTAAAAATGACTTCCACATCCTCCATTTGTTTAATTCTGGAACACCCCAAAACAAGAACAAATACAATGTATATAAAATGTCATGTAAATAGTATAAGAAACTGTAACAAAACAAGGGTCATTAACATATAATTAACATATATACAATTATATAATATACACATTTAAATTGAATACTGTCATGATTTTAACCCTGTAATGATGATCCTTAACTTCTTTTTTTTAATACAGATTCAACACAACTTTGAAAAAATAATATTCCCAATTTCACGTTTTGATATTTTTGGAAATTTTGCATTTTTTTTTGTTTGAACCACAATTTAACAGAAGCCTGAACATTAAAAACAGGTATAATTCTGATGAAAATTGGAAAAACCAACATCAATTTTTTTTCTGAGTCAATCTAGTTTTAGTGATTATATTTACAGTATTATAACAATATGGGCAGCATGTAAGAACGGAGACATATTTCTACATATAAAATAAAACATTTTAAAATTTACACAAAATTAGTTACTGGCTCTAGTATAATTAATACTTGGTATATAACACATTGCATATAATTTTACTGTAACAACTACAATTCAATGAAACCCTGGTTTTAATAGTTAAATCTACATAGAAGAATAAGAGATCAAAGTATATGTCTAATACTCCCATACACATTTTCTCTTTCAGCTAAAAATATAATTTTTTTCTAAAATGACACATGGGCTTAGAGTAGCTATAAATATAATTCAACATGGTTCAGGTCTATATCAGATGAAACCTTGCATAATTGTTAACTCATCTTACAAAATCTGTATATAGTTTGCATCATCCTCGACTTTGAACTTATGAATTTGCTTGTCTACCCTTTTTGCAACTTGCAAGAAAAGTTTGTCAATTTCAAAATGAGTTGATGGGTTGCAGCCTCCCTGGGGGTTACCCAAAATCTAATTTTGTATTATATAGTTATGCAAAAAGTTTACTTGTTATGAGAAAGAAAACTTACATATATTGAAATGCTTATTCTAAAAAAAATCAAGTCATTCAATGTGACAGTGGTAAATGTCCTCTGCATGAAACACTTTTGAATTATCACCACCGGAATAATGAATGATCTTATAACCATGCCAACACAGAACATGTGTGAATAATATCTGTAAACAAAATGACGTCCTACAGAAATATAATTTCACCATTAAACATGACTGATTTTTCTTTACCCAAAATGTCCAGTGGCAAGTAGTTCATGCATAGTCAGATTTAAAAACAAATCAAATCAAAATGCAATAATGTATGTCCTGCAATAGTGAATAAACTCTGATAAAATCGGCAAATCTTATTGTCACTTGAAAAGTGGATTAGTCAAGATATGAAAGACAGATCTCTCAATGTCATAAAAAGGACTCGTTGAAACATGTAAAAAGTGTGTTAATCTCTAAATTTATCGTTAAAATCTTAAGGAGTAATATATATTTACATATGTTTATATAAAACATCAAATATCAGATAAATCCTGTGCTGTTACTTGGTTATAGGTACTACTATTACATACAAGTCTATAAATGTCATTTTTACAATGATTATAGGATTTTTCTTGGTAATTTATAACATATTTGTGTTAATTATAGCTGAAATAATTATTACTAAATTCATTTATGCATCTTAATACTCAATCCTTTTGAGACAATTTTGCTTTAAAAAATCTTGATATTACCCTTTTACCACACTTAATTTTTGATTAAATTGAGACTTGTTTTAATCAATTGAGACTTGAAATATATCTAATACATCTAGTCTTAAGCCCACCCATCATTCCGCTCTCCTGCCTATCATCATAATATAAGCTGGTTTAGGACTTTGTACGACCCAATCAATAAAAGGGGTTGCAAATAGCAATAAATTTAACTTTGCCGTGAATGTATAAATGGGGAGCAGAGAGTATGAACTTGAACTCACCTCACATTTTTTTCTGATATCTATTGAATTTAATATTAAGGCTTTCCTTTTTCTTTTAGAAAAAACTCCTTTAAATATACATTTGGACAAAGTCAAATAAAAATGATATTTTCATCATTTAAAGCTGTCAGTTATCAGGTCTCTTCATTACAACCCTGCATTAGACATATAAATACAATAGAAGAAAACTGTAGTACAGCTTTGTAGATTCATATAATCTTTCTGTAAAATTGAGCATATTTTAATTATACATTTCTCAGGCCTGAGTAATTCCAAGTCTTTTTCATATATATCTATCTACTTTTTACATCATTTTCAAAAATTGAAGGAGTATAACCACAACATTTTTCTTTCACTTCTCTTGCTAAAAATGAAAGATTAAAACAATCCTGCTTAGATTTTCATCATAGCTATATCTTTAGTAATGACCGTGTGGACATCTTCATCATCACTAAACTGTGTTTTCATTCCTCCAACTTTCATCCTGTGTCTTTCCTCTGCTCTTTTCTTCTTCTCCATCTTCTTTGCTTCCTTTCTTTCTTTAGCTGACACCCTGGTATCCTGAAAGAGGAATTTAGTGTTTAAGTCTACTGTGGATTCATATATTAGTGGGGTACCAGATTTCATTGATTTCAAGGGTACAGATTAACAACAAAATTAAATGTTCAAAGAAGCAAAATATTTCTATAGGCTGAAACTACAAAATCAAATATCCATAAAAATAGAATTTTTCATCAATCCATGGAAATTGGTCAGTGTTCTCCCCAGGGCCTTTTAGCATCATGGTAATGTGATGGTATAATCTTGAATGTGATGCTATCTGAATTGGTTTTCTTATAGATTATGTTATGGATGTGATGCTATAATTTAAAAAAAACAATATGGTATTTCAATTTCCCCTGATTACCAGGATGCTAAATGAAATATCTGGGGAGAACACTGTTGGTATCCACAAAAATGGCCTTGATTTGAATAAAAGTCTCCCAGTTATATTGAAACAAAATCTGTACCTTTTTAGGTCTAGCTCCTCCATTACTGCTTATAGAATCATATCCAGAGCTGCCACCATAACTGTTGTCTCTTACATGGTTAGACACAGGAGAATTGTTACCAGTACACACTCCACTATCTGTTGATGTTCGTTGTGATACCTCGGAGGAAGTTTCTGTATTAAAACCTGAAATTGAATCATTTTCTTTGTGAGAATATATAAAGTGTGTATAATAACCTTATATTGAAACAAGAGGAATATTATACACAAATGTGAGATTAATTGATTGGTGTTTAATGCCACTTTCAGCACTATTGGCTATTTTGTGGCAGTCAGTTTTTATTGGTGGAGAGAACCACAACCTTCGGCAGGAAAACAAATGTGACAAAAATTACTTATCTCCAAAAGGAGTACACTAAACATGGAGAATTTTCTTTTTAATTTTCCAATTTTTTTTCCATTCATGCAAAAAATGTGAAATAATGAACTTAATTATTGCAAGAAATATTTTAACTACATCATGTACGGGCATGGCTTTAATTTGTCTTCAGCTGTTTTTGATTTGCAAAAGTTATCCTGAATTTAATTTACATCATCATTCAGACTAAGGGAAACTTGATCGGTTGATTTTTAGTGTGTAATGCCACTTTCAGCATTATTTGCTATTTCATGATAGTCAGTTTTTATAAGTGCAGGAAGCAGGAGTGAACGCAGAGAACCACCAACTTTTGTGATGGAAAACTGGCAATCCTAGTCAATTAAGATTAGAGTAAAACGCACTTGCCATGTGTGGGGTTAAAAACTAACAACCCCAGTGTTGACAGGCTAGTGATATAATAGATGAACTACATAGACCACTCTGCCCTTTGAAACTTGATTTAGTCACAATATATGGTTAAAGAATTTTTTTTAAGAGCAAGATACTTACTTTCATCTGTTAGAGTCATGATCTGTAATATATGGGCAATAGCACTATCAACATCATTATCACATTCATACAGTGACTCATGTATCATTGTCAAGTCCTGAAATAGAAAAAGTTATCTCCCATTATACCAAAATGACAGACACATTATCACAATGGCCATATTTGATATTGTATAATTTTGAAAAATAGAGTTTTTGCTAGATTTTGTTTACCCTATTTCACAAATACCAGCAACAATTTACTATTCTAATTTCTACAGAAAAATAATATTTAGTTTCATTGTCATTTATATCATGTATATAATCAATAACTGGGAATATCTTGTACATGTCAAATTATCAAAATGTTGTGAGTAATCTCCCATCTTAGATTATGACCATGAAAGTTTCAGTCAAATCTTCAAATGTAAAAAGTTATCTCCCTTTATCATGTTTATATGTATATAAACAAAATCTAATAGCTTCTTCAAAAACCTTTAACCTTAAAATCATGGAAAGTTACTTGTCTGAACTGAGATTTTTGTAATATATCATTTAATTCCTATTTCATTATACTGTGGATTCATTTACTTTTTTGTGGATACCAATTTTGTGGATTGAGAAATTTTTCATTTTTTGAGGATTAATTTTTTGGTTTTTCAAATTTCTGTATACAAGTGTGTGAAAAATGTTCATGACTGAACAATTTTATTTGTGGTATTCCTATACCCAAGCAATCCATGAGAAAATGAATACTAATGAATATCCATGAGAAAAGGAATACTAATGAATATCCATGAGAAAATGAATACTAATGAATATCCATGAGAAAATGAATACTAATGAATCCAAAGTACATAAAAACAAAATCTATCATCAATAAGTTAATAAATGATTATTCATATGGTAAAATAAAAAGATCTCTTATTTGAAAATATCTTAATATTTCATTTCAAGACTTACATCACAACCTGTGGCAGCCATTATCTCCTGTTCTATTATCTCAACATCTCTGACAGCTTTGACGACCCTGCCACAATGTGGGATGTCCCCATTCATGACACCATTGGCCTGTGCCTTTTTCCCAGCTGCTGATTGTGTGTCATTCCCAATCTATCAAAACAATTAAAATGAATTCAAATATAACTGAAATAACAAGAACGCATGTGTTGTCCTGCTATGCAACCCCCACTTGAAATTAAGAGTATTAGAAAACAGGAATTTGTTGTCAGATAGATCCCAGAAATACACACCTTTTAAAACTCATCACTGCTAAACTGTAGACAAAATATGAAGTCATTCTGTTAAATAATTTCTAAAAAAAGTTACAAAAAATTTGTTGGACAAACAGATGGATGAGGTGATTGCAATATAGCCCCTTCCTAGACTGGGGTATAATATGCATTTTCTATGTGTTATATACCAGCATAAAGAATCATAAACATGATATATTATTCAACTTTACCATTTATAGACTTGAGGTGATTCCTAGATTGACAAAATGGTTTGGATGTTTGTACATTATTGGATAATATATGATATTCACTAGGTTTCTATAGATAACCAAAAGTTTACCCCTAAATTTTCGAAGTCAAGGGATCTAAAAATTTCCAAGGTCAAGAATAAATAAAGTCCAAATATTCAAAGGCTCAATGAAAAAGAAGCCTTTTTATTTGTTATTTTTATCTTTTTATTTTAATTCTTTTTAATGTCCTTGATTTTTGATTCTCTATTTAAATGATCAGTAAAAATTACGTACCTTTACCCTGATATTAGCCGGAGACTCTGTATTATCTCCATGTTTACGTACACTGGAATAATGATCTCCATTATGGTAGGAGATATGTATCTGTTTTGTTGTTTGACTTTGTGTCTTAGGTCCCTGAATCTGTTCAAAAATAAAAATTTTAACGTTAAATTTTTCAACAATAATGTTACTTAACTACTTTCTCAAATTGTTTTTCACTAACATTTTTTTAAATGCTTAATGCAGTTTCTTTCCATTTACATTGCTTCTAATCATTTCAAAATATAGCTAGATTGCTCAAACTTGAGTAAAAATCGATAACAGTGTCCTTTGTAAATACCAATAGACAGTGCTGTTTCAAGCTGCAAGAATGATTGGGACAAATGAGTAAATCATTGTATATGTTCTCTTTGCCTAAAGAAGAAGGTATGATAAGCCCACTTTTTTTACCATTGAATTAAAAAATCTAAACATATTATAATACCTCCAGGTGTTCATGCGACATTAGTCTGACTGACTTCATTCATAGTTTGGAAAGTTCTCAACTATCATGTCTTTAACACATATTATGATGTTTTTAAACTTACCAATAAAAATGGTGAATTAAGTTGGTGTATAACAACATTGATTTGATACAACCTAGCAAAAGCCACAATGGCATCATTCCCGGCATAGGTTCCTATAGCACTCAGGTTCTTAACTGTAAAGAGAAATATATGGTAGGTATTATTCTGCTATAAATGTGATTCATATGAATAAAAGAGGGACAGAAGATACAAAAGAAATGTTAAAAACTTACAAGTCAAACTAATAACGACATTGCAAAAAGCAAAAAAATAATGAAAAGACAAACAAGTCCACAAACACTGTGATGAAAACTAAAAACTGACCAACATGAATACCACCAAAAACCAGGGTAATCTCAGATAAATTGTGTAACAGGAGTGTGTCTTATTTGAGAGATTTTCTCTGAATGGTACAGTGTTAACCTTTTTTACCTTAAAGAATAAATTAGGTAATAGTAGTCTATCTTATCTGAGAGATTTCCAATAATTTACAGTGTAATTTCATATAAAAATAAGGAGATGTAGCAGGATTGCCAATCTGAAAACTATCCATAGAGACCAATCATTTGGAAATGGCTTGAATTGTCAGGTCATATCTTCATATGGTAATTCCATGTCAAATATAAACAACATTAGCATAGAAAAAAGGTCTAATTTTATCTGGACAAAAATTTGGAATACACTTTTTGTACTAGATTCATGCATGGTTAAGATATATCAATCATGTCTCTTATGTATACCAATTATGTTTAATCCCGATTTTTAAAAACATTAAATTTTCTTTCACAACATTTTCAACATTTCTCTGTGATTACAAATATGCCACCCCTTTTAATGATGCAATAAATTTGAGTGTAAAATTTATATCATTTGAAAATAAAATCATTGAAAATTAATGGGGTATAAAAGTGCATATTAAATTTAACCATATCTTAATGGAAAATTACAGTACATGGATCTATCATGCAACCTCAATTATTTTTTTTTTTTTTTTATTCTCTAAAGTACCACTGAACTATTAGCCCTACAGTCATAAACTAATAAAACAATTTTATAGCATTTTGATAACATCTTAATTGACTTTTAAAAGTTTTTAAACTTTCAGAAGCAAAATTTTTACATGTTTTCAAATATGAAAACATGCAATTTGTCCAATTATCAGAACTAAAATTTAAAGCCTTTGGGAAAATAACACCTTTTAAAATTCCAACCCGATATATTATCTGAACCAACCGTGACCCCAATTTCTATTATTGTGGGCTATTTAAAATAAATATACTTTAATAGGTGTAAACGGGACATCTTTACAATGCTTGACATATAGTTAAGAGAAAGTTGAACTTCATATTACTGTGGTATTCAGTAAATTAAATGTCCGATCCCACGATCTTCTCAACTGTCACAATACATGCAATATAGGATGTAGTTATGTAATATTGTAAAATTGTTATTGTGCATTTTTAATTTAACAAAAACATGTTTTTTAGATATGCTAATCACTGAAATTTCCTGAACTTTTTTAGCATGTCTCAAGCCTTCACATTACTGATATTCAGTAATTTAAATGTCCGATCCCAAGATCATCTCCAGTGGTATTGTCACAATATAGGGTGTTGTTATGTACATGTAATATTGTAAAATTATAATTTTGTATTTTTAACCAACATAAATATGTTTTTAAGATAGATACTCAAGTGAAAATATGATCACTGAATTTCCTGAATTATTGAAATTTATGTGCCTGTCTCAAGCCTTCACTGAATTACTGACATTCAGTAAATTACATGGACAATCCCATGATCATGTCAAGTGTCAGAATATAGGATCTTGTTATGTAATATTGTAAAATTGTTATTTTGTACTTTTAATCCAACATAAATATGTTTTCTAGGTAGATACTCAAGTGAAAATATGATCACTGAATTTCCTTAGTATTAAACTTTCTGTGCCTGTCCTTAGCCTTCACTGAATTACTGACATTCAGTTATAAATTAAATAGCCAATCCGACAATTATCTCCACCATCATATTATAGGCTATAATATATATGTTATGTATTGTAAAATTGTTATTTTGTATTTTTAATCAAACATAAATATGTTTTTAAGATAGATATATACTCAAGTGAAAATCTGATCACTGAATTTCCTTAGTATTAAACTTCATGTGTCTGTCCCAAGCCTTCACTGTATTTCTGATATTCAGTAAAGTAAATGATTGATCCCATCAGACGAAAGATGTTGTTATGTATGTAATAATTGTAAAAAAAAAATAAATGTGGAATGTGTCCATGGGACACAGATGATGCCCCCGCTTGCATATCATATAAAAATTATAAACGGACATAACTGAAGAACAGTAAAAGTGACCCTACCCAAATTTGAAATTGATCTGAGTTTTGTGGTAATAAGTATTGTGTATAAGTTTCATAAAATTTGGTTGAGGCAAACTTAAGTTAGAGAACTGAAACAAAAAATTCAGCAATTTTTCCCTTTCTAAAGGGGCATAATTCTAGAACGGTTAAAGTGACACCACCAAAATTCAAACTTGATCTGTATTTTGTGGTAATAAGCATTGTGTATAAGTTTCATAGCATTTGGTTGAGGCAAACTAAAGTTAGTTGGGATCCTGCTAACATGTTTAACCCCGCAATATTTTGTATGTATGTGCCTGTCCCAAGTAAGGAGCCTGTAATTCAGTGGTTGTCATTTGTTTGTGTGTTACATATTTGTTTTTCGTTCATTTTTTGTACATAAATTAGGCCGTAAGAGGGGGGGGGGGGGGGGGGGGCATAAAAAAAATTGGCACTTTTAACCTAACATATATCTGTTTTAAGATATAAACTTATACGAAAATTTCCTTAGTATTAAACTTGTCTTAACTATATATATATAACTGCATTAACATGGAACATCATCTTGAAAGAAATATTTAATATTCAAATTGAAGAAGTTCATGTCTTTGTTGTTGCTTTCAACTTTCCTTTCATCATGTTCATCAGAACAAGTAAATAGAAAAACAAATTTTGAGTGACACATTTGATCATTCTGGCAGACTGATAATAATTTAATCATTGCTTTACCTTAATATAACATTTCTCACAAAGTTTCTTATTTACATATTGCTATACAATACCGGTAAATAATGGTTTATTTTCGTGTCTGTTTGCAATTTTAATCTTAATGAGGGCAATCAACTCTTGCCATGTTCATGGTTCACCTTCCTCAGCCTTGTACAATGAATGCATTAATAAATGGCCATTGACATGTTGATGTAGAGTTAATCTAACTGTTAAATTCCTGACGGGAACGTATAAAAAAATAAGACACACAAGAAAATTTCCAAAGAACCAAAAACCATCAGCAGGAAATCTGACAATCTTTCCAAAGCTAGGTTCAAACTAGCAACTTCGTAGATGGCAAGCTATTGATCACTGTAGGTGAACTATTTTAGACCACTTGGCCATCAAGGCTCAAAACATTATAGAAAACTGCAACAACTCATTGAGGGTTCAAAATGTTGCCTAGTTTAAAAGCAAAATTTCAGTACCTTTTCAAAATAATAAAGGCAAATTTTAAATAGGTAAACTGAATCACAAATAAATCTTAAACACCCATACAAAGATAGAGACTAGAGCTCTGCAGCAAATGAAATTAAACTATCCTTTTACACTAGCAATAAGCAGCATCAGTATTTTATTCCAAAAAGAGGGTGCACACAGTGGCACATTGGACGGATAAGTAGAAAATCATGCTTAAAAAAAACTGTTGCACTGCATGGCAAAAAGAAATTTCCAGTCATCAGGAAGCATCAGTGAAATCTGAGTTCAGGTTTAAAAGAGAAAGTTCACTAATGGGATATCAATTCAAATAAGGTAATAGTAATTCAAAACCTAAATTTTGATTAAAATAGCTAAAGGCTACGAAACATAACCCTATAAAAATGTTTTGCGAATCAATTATCCTTTTAACATACTTATCAATAGGAAAGATAAAAGTGAACCAATAGTATAATTTAGACTGGATTATTTATGCAGCTTTTACTTTATCATGTTTATACCAGTATCTTTAACTGGCTAAATTCTAGACCTCTTCTGCTTGAATATTTCCATAATAAATTCTGAATATTAAATTGTCTTTTTCAGTGTTTTTTATCTCTTGTTAATAGCTATAGCTTTTCTGTGACCAGGGACTATGAGTTTATTATTCAACTAACTTTTTTAAGTACACAAAGAAAAAATTATTCAACAGAGGTCTTGGTGTTATAGTGAAAAGACAAATTAACATCTTTTGGTGTACAGCTTAAATAATTTCTTGGAAGAAAAGAAAATGTTAAAATCTGTCTTACAATGAAAATAGTATATACCTTAACCCAATTAAAACATATATTTCCACTTTTATTATTTTTTTTCAGAAAAAAGAAAAAATTTAATGTCAAACAAATCAAAAGCAATTGTTTTTCCAATCATCAAGTTAATAAAAACAAAATAAAAGTTGGGCACACTAGTCTTGAAATTCCAGATTCAAGCATGAGTGTTGAATGATAAAGGAGCTAATGTTACCCATAAAAAATGTTTGTATCAAATTAGTCTGTCAATGAACTTCGTCAAAATTTTGTAACAGGTCATGAAAATAGGTGTGAGGTAAGAAAATATATACACAGATGACAAGTTAGCAACCCGACAACACAAGAACCATAAGAATGTCTAGAGGTCAACTCACAATCTGCAATAATACACACATTTGTAAATAAGTGGCTACATAATGTGTCGATCATGCTCTAAATTGTTCTGAATCCTGAATTTTGTTTACCAAAATTAACAAAGAGTGGTCAATGTTGTACCAAATTCCCTGATTTAACCTATATATACATACTGTATTTTTCAAATGGTGTGTCATCTACTACAAAGGGTTCAAACTCTTCTCTGTGTTCAGACATGTAGTTACAAATCTCGAAGCGGTACTTGTAGTGATTACGACAGTGTCCTTCTAACTGGTCACCAAGTGCTCTGAACAAACAGTTTCTGCAATAAATAATAAATTTTGAATATAAGTAGGAGACGTTACAAAAATCCAATACTGTAAATTCAGAAATTATTGCGAAGTTTTTATTAATGCGAAAAATGTGACAATATCAAATTTGCAACAATAAAAACTTGCATTTTAGTTTCAGTAGTGATTTTCCTTTGTATCATTTTTTCTATCGCGTTAATGAAAGTTTGCTTTTTTGCAGTGCATAATTCTTTCATTAAATATTCTTAAAGTACCTTCCTTTATTTAGATTTCTACAGTCATTTAAGTTGTAGATTTCTACAGTCATTTCAGTTGTAGAGTTGTAGTGAGATAAAGCAGATAGGGTAGACACAATTGGGTGGGTGGGGAGTTTATCTCCCATTTCTAGGATATGACATTTTTTGCCAACATAAGTATTGGTGCATTGTAAATAATTTCCTTTATGAGTTAGACTTAGTGACGTCTTTTAGAAATTAAACGCCCACTATATACCAAATTACTTAACAGTCTGACATAGTTAAAGGTTCTTATGAATTAAATTCAAACCTGATTACATCAATGGAATTTAGTGAATTTAAAAAAGTAAAATATTCATTTGTATATACTGGATATCGAAATTTGCTTTATTGAACTCGAATCAAAACAAATTCATAAATAGTAATCTTTTCTTTAAATACCAAATAACAACAGTTAAGTAGGGAAGAAAGAACAAAATGTTCCATTAAATTAAAGTCATATGAAAGTTGAATATGTTTTATATATTTGAGTGGCTAAATTTTACTATAAAACATGTGTACATGGACTTTTTTTTAAAAGGAAATCCTTTATCCTATCAAAATCTTCAGAAATGTACTGCAATTGAATTAGTGACCTTTATCACGAGATCTCTTGTTAGCACTTCATCAAGGGCAGGAAAACAATGATGAAAGAAAAGCTATACCAGTGTGGATGATAGATATCATACATTCATAGTGTTAATTGATTCTGAAAGAAAAATTTTAATACACAAAATCATTTAACAACTGTTATGACAAAGTTTAATTTACAAATAGAAACACATGAAAAATGTGAAAATAAATGGAGAATGTGTCATGATGCCCCTGCTTACATATAACATAATAAAAGGACATAACTAAAAATTGTAAAAGTAAAGCCACCCAAATTCTAACTTGATTTGAGTTTTGTGGTAATAGGCATTGTGTATAAAGTTTCATAACATTTGTTGAGGCAAACTAAAGTTAGAAAATGGAAACTAATTTTGGGACTTACAGACAGACATACAGATGGACAAAGATAACATTTAATGCCCCATATGCTGCTGCAGGGGCATAAAAATTAAACATATTGCATGTCTATCATCTCACTTATTTTTCACGTGCTCCATTACTCTGTGTTGAGTGATTGTGTATTTAAGGGTCTCATTTGGTTAGCTTCATCAATAAAATACTAAAGTTAATTATCCGGTAATGTTTTCACTAATATTTTTCGTTCAATGTATGTTATTGATTTGTCATAATTGTAAATAAATAGGGAATGTGTCCATTGGACACAGATAATGCATATAACGTTATTAAGGGACATAACTCAAGAACGATAAAAGTGACGCTACCCAAATTCAAACTTGATCTGAGTTTTGTGGTAATAAGCATTGTGTATAAGATTCATAACATTTGGTTGAGGCAAACTTAAGTTAGAGAACAGAAACAAAAAATTCATCAATTTTTCCATTTATGAAGGGGCATAACTCTAGAACGGTATAAGTGACACCACCAAAATTCAAACTTGATCTGTGTTTTGTGGTAATAAGCATTGTGTAAAAGGCCAATTAAAATTAATTGATACATTTTCATCCGCTCCCACTCCTATGAAATCATCCAGCCCCGATTTTTTTTCTTCAAAAATTAAGATTTCTGAATTTCGTTCATTTCCGTTACCAGTAACCCCGATAATTTTATTTCATTCAAAACTTCCTTTTTAAAATTTCAGTTTTCGTATTTCTTAGAGTAATATAAGTCGACATATTCTTCTTCTCAATGATGACAACATTATCATCTGAGAATATAGATTAATTACTATAACGGCATGAAATACTCGGGTTACGAGTAATAGGCAGAGTCCAAGAACGCTAATCGCGGTATGTTACAGTTTTTAAATTTCAGTGAGTAGAAACCTGTGGATTTTTTTTTATATACAAATTCAATGACTTTTTGTCAGGAAATTTGGACTGTGAATGATATCTAAAGTGTAAGAATCGTGAAACACATTGGTACAAAAACATGACTGGAATAAAGTAATTGACATAAGCATGAACTTGTTCGATTTATGACCGTATATTGAGTACAAAAAGTCGACCAACGTACAAAATGTATTATACATGTTATAGCAAGCCCTTAGATTTACCCCAAGTTGTCGTTTTTGTTGACAAACAACAAACACCCTCTGTTCCCATCCCCTCAATAGAGTCATTAAACAACTTCTTCATTTTGGTTCAGTTTATGTTTTACATTGTAATTATATTTACACCTTGCATAAGAATCTTAAAAGCATCATCCCTAGTATTTTCAACACAGTTTGAGTTTTCATTTCACTCTGTACTCATAATATTTGTGTTGCATACCAATGCATATGCTTCATCTTATGGGCACTACAAATCATAGCTTTAGAAAGCAAAACATATTTGATCTAGATAGTCTAAAAGAGAACATTTCTCTACATTTTTGCTATTTACTAAAAATAGGTTTTTAAAGCGGCAATTACATGTAGTGTTTGTCAATCAGAAATATTAATGGAAGAATTGAAAAATAATGTAGAATTCCTTATATATACATGATATAAGCTTGTTATTACCCTTGCATATCAACAACCCGTCACAAAAGGGTTTAGGAAGAGATAAAAATTAAAAGATAAAATCCTCCCACCCGCCCCATTTTTTTCAAAAATCTGGATGAAAATCTGCTAATTAATTTTAGTTGGCCTAAGTTTCATAACATTTTGTTCAGGCAAACTTAAGTTAGAGAATGGAAACGAAAAAATTCATTTGTAAAGGGGCAATACTCTAGAAAGATAAAAATGAGGCCACCCAAATTCAATTTTGAACTGTGTTTTGTTGTAATAAGCATTGTGTATAAGTTTCATTACATTTGGTTGAGGCAAACTAAAGTTAGAGAACGAAAACCAATTTCGTGACATACGGACGGATGAACTGACATACAGACAGACAAGGGTAAAACTTAATTCCCCCTCCGCTACGGGGGTGGCATGAAAACTTGTTTCTAAATATGAAATTATCTTGCCAACTTAAGTGCAAGAGTGCTCATGCTTTGCCTTCATGGGTCTGACTTTGTGACGTCTTTTAGAAATTAAACACCCACTATATACCATATTTACATGTAATTCAACAGTCTGACATAGTTAAGGCTTCTTATGAATTAAATATAAACACGGATTACATCAATGGAATGTAATGAATTTAAAAAAGTAAATTATTCATTTGTATGAACTTGGTATCGAGTTATGCTTCAATGAACTTACATCAAAGCAAATTCATGAATTTTAATTAAACTCATCAAAACATAATATCAAACCAAATAAGTACAAAAATACTTAAGTAGGTAAAACCGAATAAAATTTTCCATTAGATTAATCCTGTCAGTTCCAAGGTTTGTTTACTTGCAAAACCTGTAAAATGTTGAAAGACCCCATACAAATTTTGAAATGGACCTTAATGTACGCCTCCACAGAAATAAAGTATTAACTCCCAATGATAAATAATTTCTTCATTCAGCAAAACACATCATGAAATCTTCTAATGATATCTAGTCCCAACATAACATGAATTTTTATTTTAGTTTTGGGTAAAGATTCTAAAAGAGGCAAACTAAAAGTTACTTATCAATGAATTATCATTCCATTCTTGTGAACATAAACAAAAACCTTTTAATCTCATCTAAAGTTTAAAATCTGGAAAGGTCTGACTATAAAATTCAAAGTTCTAGATCTTTTACCAAATACTGTAAAAGCAGAAATTTTCGTGGAGGAATTTTTTTCGTTTATTTCGTGGAAAGGATATATCCACTAAATTAAAACCCCCACGAAAATTTAACCCATCATATAATACCACTTACATTTAAGGAAACTGCGAAATTAAATCCCCATGAAATCTTATAGAAAGACAAAACCACGAAATTTTAACCCCACGAAAATTAATGTTTCTACAGTATTACATTATAAAGAATTTTATCTATATAATTCAATAAAACCTTTGGACAATGTTGGATAACCAAAACCTAATCCAGAGTTGTAGTAATCTCTTTAGTCTGGTGGTCATAAGGGTCACCACCAACACTACAAATCTGGTGGTCCAAGTGAAAATTTGGTGATCCTGTATTTGCAGAAAATTTTACCAATCAATTATTTCCATACATGTAGGTATAAATAAAATTATAGGCCAATTTGCGCAATGTAGCATACTGCAAATTCAGAAATTATTGCGAGGTTTTTATTATTGCTAATAATGCGACTGGGTGAGAATCGCAATAATAAGAACTTGCATTCTGATATCTGACAGATATATCTGTTTGCAGCTTTTCCACAAATCATAATAATTAATCTCGCATTTTTTTCCATTCTGCAAAAATCGCAATTATAGATGCACACAATAATTTCTGAATTTACAGTACATATGGTTCCATATGAAATATTGTCAAGATACATTGTATAGTCAAGAGCTATATATATACTAAATACCAGATATTGTATAATCATTGATAATCATGAGTTATACTAAATATACGGGCTGCCTAAAAAAAACAAAAAAAAACACCATAAATTTTTAGTTGGACATCAGGACTTCTCTTAAAATCGATGGTCCAATCTGATTTACTGTGGTTAGGACCTGGGACTGCCAGTTTACGAGAAACACTGCTAATCTGAATAGAGAACACATCCTGACCTACTAGTATGAACAAACATTGGTCAGTTTTTGTTATCTATCTTTTCTTAGTAAAGTTCAACGGAAGCTTTTATAATCCTTAGATTGTAGTAATCTTTGCAACCTAGTATGCCATTTACCTAAATATATCAAGATTCCATTTTCTTTAGAATAAGAAAAATTAATGCTTAACTTAACAAACTAAATACAAATGTTAAAAAATTCGTAAGGGTTCCGCGGAACCCAGTGTCTCGCCTACTTTTTGCTGTTAATCACAGGCTCAACAAAAATAAGGAAAAAAATTAATAAAAATATTCCTCTCTATACTATCTTTTGATTGTAAGTAGCTTCTGTCCAAGTTTGGTAAAAATCCAGGATAGTTTATGAATCTAATAAATGTTTTAAAAACTTAAACTGCAGACTGTATGTAATGTTAACTGGAAGAAAAACTAAGTCCATTTATAAGTAAAATACAGAAAAAATGGAACAAAATTTCCTTCTAGATACTAGCTTTTAATCATAAACAAGCTTCTGTCCAAGTTTGGTACAAATCCAGGATAGTTTAAGAAAGTTGTTAAAATTTTAAAAACTTTAACCACAGAGTGAATGTAATGTTAACTGGCAGAAAAACTAAGTCCATTTATAAGTAAAATACGGAACAATGGAATTTTTTTTTTACAAAATTTACTTCTGGATACTATCTTATGATCATAAACAAGCTTCTTTCCAAGTTTGGTAGAAATCCAGGATAGTTTAAGAAAGTTATTAAAATTTCAAAAACTTTAACCACAGAGTGAATGTAATGTTTCTTGGCAGAAAAACTAAGTCCATTTATAAGTAAAATACTGAAAAAATGGAATTTTTTTTTTACAAAATTTACTTTTGAATATTATCTTATGATCATAAACAAGCTTCTGTCCAAGTTTGGTAGAAATCCAGGATAGTTTAAGAAAGTTATTAAAATTTCAAAAACTTTAACCACAGAGTGAATATTTGTGGACGCCGCCGACGACAACGACGACGCCGACAGAATGTAGGATCGCTATGTCTCGCTTTTTCGACAAAAGTCGAAGGCTCGACAAAAAGGGGAATACAATTTTATTTTTATATCAGAAAATTAAAATTTTGTTCTAAATACATGAATGTATATCCAAATGAAAGATTATGTGTTCTAAAATTGAACTGTGCAAGATATGGACAAAGCACAAGTAGGACAGGAGAATAAACATAACACAGAGTACTGTGGCCTTTAAAAGTCTTAACTGCTCGCTAAAGCTTGACCAGATAGGGTGTCAAGCTGTCCTTTCAAATTAAATATTATAACAATGCTCGTTTGTAGGTGGTCTTTATTAAGTAGGGAAATGAAAAAAAAAGAAGACAAAAATTAGTTACAGTATGATTTAAAAACTAAATTATTAAACTCACTAGTCCAAAGGGTTTAAATTAGTAAGATATCATTTACCTCGATGTCAGATTTACTAGCAAATACGATAGAATTATGGATTTATGCCAAAGAAAATCTCAGTAACAGCCATTTTGGAGTAAAGCTAATTTTTTTTTTGCTGGTCTTTTTTTAATCTATGTGGCAGGTTGTGATATTTATTTAAACAATTTTGAAAAGCTCTCTAAAAATTTGTTAGTAACTAGTGTACTTATGCTAGTGTCTGACCTGGATATTAGGGAGGGGATACGTTGGATGGATCAGTAGAAAATCAGGCTTTTAACATGTTTAAATAAAACTCGCAGTTTGCATTGGCAAAAAGAAATTTCCAGGCATCAGGAATCATCAGCAAAATCTGAGTTCAGGTTCTTTAAGAGCAAATTTATGGGACTTCGATTCTGACTAGAATACTTTCTTAGAAGTGATAAATCTGACAATAGCGTAAACACTTGTAACCCTGAACTTATGGACCTGAACCAGCCTTTATGTAAAAAACTTATTGTAACAACATGGTTACTTACTGATATCACTAAAATGATACTAGATTCTTACTCTTCTACATGAAACATAACATTGGATGGTTGCAAAATTAAAATCATCAATCAAATTCTATCAAACTTGAAAATCAATGGTGAACTCAATCGTTTACGATCTGTATGAGTTGTGACAATTTGAATACTTTGTGAACACAAGAGTGCACACGCTGAAATGTCTCACCTGTTTTACTAACCATTGATTTTATGTTGAAAGTCTTAAAGATGAAGGTTTTATTACAAGTTACACATAAACTTAACATTTTTAAAAGATCCATGACAATGAGGTCAAGGTCAGATAAAAACTGTCACACAGACATGTACACCTTACAATTATTCCATACACCAAATATAGCTGACCCATTGCTTATAGGTAATTAAAAAACAAACCAAAACACAAAAACTTAATGTTAACCAATGTACCATGAATATGAGATCAGATCAGATGATACATCAATTTTTCCATTTGAAAAGGGCACAGCTCTAGAACGGTAAAAGTGATGCCACCAAAATTCAAACTTGATCTGTGTTTTGTGGTAATTAAATAAAGAATTGTGTATAATAGTCATAACATTTAGTTGAGGCAAACTTAAAAATAGAGAACGGAAACGAATTCAGCAATTTTTCCATTTGTAAAGGGGCATAACTCTAGAAAGGTAAAAGCGACGCCACCCAAATTCAAACTTGATCCGTGTTTTGTAGTAATAAGCAAATAAATGAGTATGTATAAGATTCATAACATTTGGTTGAGGCAAACTTAAGTTAGAGAACAGAACGAAAAATTCAGATTTTTTTCCATTTGTAAAGGGGCATAATTCTAGAACAGTAAAAAGTGACGCCACAAATTTTAAACTTGATCTGTGTTTTGTGGAACTAAGCATTGTGTATAAGATTCATAACACCCCGTTGAGGCAAACTTATATAGAGAACAGATAGGGGCATAACTTTACAGGGAGACAAAAACTATTTAACAGTAAGTTATGGCAAACTGCAGTTTTAAGCTATTCTTTAAATAAAGATGTCACTTCACCACAATGCTGTAATAAATTCTACACTGATTACATAGGTATTGTCTGTAATATTTGTAATCTATACAACCTCCTTGATGTAACCTAAAGGGTATGGTGGGTTTCAAATTCAAATCATTTGTCAGACATCACTATGTGTTAAGTACATGTATATTACATGTGTAGTTTCTGTTGAATTTTTTTTCAGTCAATGAACATAAATGAACCCCAGACAGTAATTTGATAGCTGTCAGTCAGAATTATCTACTGTAGCATCTATCTTTCTTTCATATATGTGTGAATCTTTAAAGATGCATCTAACCATATACAATTTCTTTAACAAAAGAAAATAATGTGTTAAACTTCACAAGATTCTTCATTTATTTGAATTTAAATAAGTTTTAAACTTGACACCTTGCAGTTTAATTTATTCATACTTTGAAATTAAATAAAAGCGCAGGTCAATAAGTTTTATAGAAACTATTTCTTGTGAATTATTGAGATTATTTAGAAACTTTAAACTTTTTGCAATGTGTTCATGTTCAAAATCTAGAGCTGTTTAAAAATTGGTGTAAACTTCAAGACAGACATATGTCACCTGCTGCCCTCAATAAATATAAGCAGAAATAGCAAAGTCCATGTTTTGGTTAAGGAAAACCCCAAAAGCAATGAAAAGACAGTAAGATCAAAAAATAAAATAACAAGTGCACAGTTTCATGTCCTGTAGAAAAATTTGCACCAGTTTGGAGATATTTTGCCTATAAGACTTTAATTTCATCTCAATGATAATATGAAAAATCTATCTTTTATGCTTTAATCAATGTTAATTATCACCTTGCACTTTCTACCACTTGACTGTTTTTCTACAGCAGTTTGTTAAAATTTCTGACCAGTTGAAGTTCGGTTTGATAAAATAAATTGCAATTTGGTCAGAATTTTATTATAAATAAACAGCAATAAGTGGAGAGCAAAACTTAGTCAAGTAAGAGTAATTGAAAAAAGAGAAAAGGTAAATTAAATAAATTAGGTCATGTATATATTCTGATGTCTGCATGATTATGACCCTATAATGAATAAATAATAAATATGGACATATATGTTGTTCTAAGACATGTTAGAGAACTAAATTAAAGTACTAAATTTTGAATTACATCAAACTGTAACTTTATTTATTTACAAATAATGAAAAAACATTTACCCATCACCAGGAATGTCTCTAAGCTGAAGACCTAATTTTCCTAACTGTGTAGAGAAACTTGGAAAATTTTCATCATCTGCTAAATATGAGTCAATCTGTTTCTCTCTTCGATGTTGTTGTTTGATTTGTCTTTCTTCCTTTTTTCTACTGACTACATCTTGTCGACCAGCCTGAACGTACCGAGGGTTCTGGTTTCTGGCAGCTATCACACGAATTCTTCTTGCTGACATTGTGTGTTTCTGAAATATACAATAAAGATACTCAATTTGAATGTTGCAGTTAAACAAATATCTTAAAAAATGTACAAATGAAAATTCAGCTATAAGGGGGACAGAAGTGCAAAGTCTTAATAACTCTTTAGTAAACCAAAGATAACTATCCAAATTTGCACTAATTATTTTTTCTTCCTTTTTTGTTTATAATACACTACTGTGTTACAATTAATGGCTTGATGTCAACATGGGCAATACAATCAAATAAGAAGCTTAATGAACCACTGGCCTATTACATATATCTAAATTGGATAACAAGTCTGGTCAATATAGAGGTAATCAGTAAATTTTGGATAGTGCAGATTTTTTTTAAACTTCATTTGTACACAAACTGCTCAATTTCAATTAAATTTAAGTAGACACTTAATAAATCAATAGCATTTCTATATATCTTGATTTTTTTTCATGTAATAGTAAATAACCTATTATCATGATTTATGATTAAGAGTTTACTCAATTGTCTTAATTCTAAATTATCATGATTATACAAAACACAATAAATGGCATGAATGGTAGAATATACCTCTTACCTTGGCTTTTATCATTAATTGAATGGTTTTTTTTACTTCAATGGAAAGAAAAGGTTAATCTGCTAATCAAATCAATAACTAACTAAACATGCTAAAATGTTTATCTTAAATGTATTAATTAAAACATGGTTTGAATTGTTTACATTACACATGTTACAAACAAATCAAAACATGTCAAAATATCCTGAAGGTGTTGTTCTTACATGTACATGTACCATGTAGATTATTGTACTACATAACACACAATAGACAATGATAATACATACATTTCAATTTTCACACAAAAAAGAATATTAAGAATTACATGTAAATGCAGAGCATTATTACACATCCATTTTTTTGGTACGTCTCAAACTTAACAATTAAAACATATTCTTACATAAACACACAATTTGTTAAATAATTTTTTTGTAGTGAAATACATAATTATGATAATAAAATTTGTGAATCATTCAAATTTCAAATTAGGATTGTGAATTTTATATCATTAAGCAATTATCTTTTATCATGTTTTTTTTCCAGAAATAATTGAATTCATAATCTACAGTTAAAAGAAACAAACACAAACAAAGAAGTAGACAATACATGTACACACAGTCTATTTATTTAGGAAAATGTATTTAATTAAAGAATAATAGTAATGCAACTAAATGAAACAGTGCATATGTGGTTTTATTTTAAAACCATTTTATTGTAAAAAAAAAATTCAAATAAGTCCAACTCACCTTCAGAATGGATATCAGTTACAAAGAATGGGCAATTTGGGTACCCTTTGGTATCCCTGGTACACTGATTAAATACTAAGTTGAAAACTATCCCAGAATTTTGGCAATTTCGTTGAAACCTAGGTGACTTGCACAGATGTTTTACAAGACTAGCATAATTTTGTATGGAAGAAAACATCATTGTTTGCAAGCGCTAGTGTAGATCCTAGGATTCTACCACGAAAATTATCAGCATCATACACAAATATCTTAAATTGAATCAATTTGGATGCATATTCTAAGTGATAATATTATTAGTTTGAAGGAAGAGAATCTGTACAAAACGAGTATAAGAGATTAAGGGTTAAAGTTGAGAACCAAGTAGAAGCACACCTACAATTATGTATGGCATCATGGGTCATGAAGACACATTCAAATGTTGTGTGTATGTGTGTATGTGTGGGACATCATTTCTAGTACTTGAGGTCCCTTGAGTCATAAAATTAGGGACAATGTGAAAAATACTACTTTTAAATAGTACTCATCCCATTCTTTACTTTTCTATTTCAAGGACGCATAAAGAAGGACCAATTGATAAATTATAAATGATACTTTTTAACAGCATAGGAAATCATTAGAAAAAAGGGATCCGAAAAAAAGTCTTAGATGCGTGAGCAATATATATATATATACATTAAATGTATCTGTCATGTCTGTATGCCCTTTGTACCAAACCTGATACGTCAACTGACCTGTGGTACTAATAATCCTAAACTCCCAAGAAAACAATCCATGATTCCAGCAGATTAATTGTAAACATATGATTTTAAATTATTACTAGCCAATTTATATTTCTGTATATATATATATATATATACACATGTCGACATGATATATGGTCATTTGACATTATATAAAAATTACTCACAGTAAACAAGTGACAGGTATAATAATTCTGATTCACCGTCCGGCTTCTTTAAATTTAAATCATAGATTAAAATAACCGATGAACTGTTAATAACTTACTGTGACTGTGTGGTGAAAGTTAAATCAGGTGTGACCCCAAAATCACCTGTTGAAAAGTCATGCTGTCAACACGGTTGTACTGAATGTTTGGAATGCAGAATAAAAGTATTTATCCAATAAATCGTTTATATATATGTTTCTCGATGTTGCAATTTACTTCGACCTAGTTTTCATATGAAACTTGAAGAAATACCTATTTCACAAAGCATAGCAACCTGTCAAACCGCTTAGAAGGGAAATTGCGTCACTGTTGCTTTTCGAGACTTTACCTGTATGGCTTGAAAAGGCTAGAGAGGTTCGAACAACAGGAAATGTTGAGGATGTCAACATGAAAGTTGATAAAAATGTCAAAACATCAGATGACAGTTAGCAATCAGGTTAATATTTTGACAGATAAACTTGATTTAAACTTTTAAACTTAATCATTTGAAATTCGTTCTTTATAGGGCTAAGAAATTCACATTTTACATATGGGCCCAAACATATGGAGATCATTTGGGCTATTTCCCAACTTTGTATCCCCTTAAGGTTAATGACCCCTTCTGATGGCCTTTGAATTACGAAATATTCAAAGTGCTACAATATAAAAACATTAAAAATACATAATAAAAGTGACCTGCCATTTTTTACATATACCAAAACGTTTTTAAAGCAATACTATAAAATATTTCATTGCATTTTAAAACGTGTTTAGTAATAAAGAGTAAAATGACAAAAATACCGAACTCCAAGGAAAATTCAAATCAGAAAGTCCCTTATCAAATGGCAAAATCAAAAGCTCAAACACATCAAACGGATGGAAAACAACTGTCATAATTTCCTGACTTAGTACAGGCATTTAATTCCCAGTTTTCATGCTTAACCACAAGAGCACCAGCCCAGGCTTGTAAAATTGCTTTCGGGCTTGTAAAATTCTTCTCTACAAGCCAATAGAATCCAACTAAAATTATCGTAAAATTGAGCTTCAGGCTTGTGGATTCAAAAGTTTATCGTGAAGACTGATTTCCTTATGTAGAAAATGGTGGATTAAACCTGGTTTTATAGCTAGGTACATTTGTACATGTAAACCTCTGACTTGTATGACAGTCCATTATATTGACAACAATGTGTGAACAAAACAAACAGACATTATAGATAAAAATGTCAAAAATAGGGGTACAGCAGTCAACATTGTGTTATAATCATAATCACTATTAAAACAAACAAATATTGTCCACAAAGAAAAACAAAATGGCATATAGACAAAGCATAGTTTAACGGTTTATTTCTTCCTCTGTGATATTTTATCCTGGGGATAATTTGTCACAGAAATTTTTTTCCAGACATGGTATTTCACAGGTAGATTTTATCCAGAGGAGTGAAATTCTATCTGTCTTATGCGGATAGTATTTACCAGTATATATTTTCTGTTCTATATTTCACAGAACCTTGTGAAATAGAGTCGTACTGTCTACTATGTAAGGTACTCGCAATCAATATATACCTGACCATAATTATAAATGTTTCACCAAGGTAGAACATATTTGCATAATTTATCAATCAAAGGGAGGTAATTATGAGCCATTTATATTTTACAGATATTACAATCCAGAGACTAGAATCTATTTCATAGTGAAATTTTTCCTTTATTCTTAATTTTTTATATTAATTTATATAAAAAGATGACTTAAAACATGATTTAAAAAAAAATATATTTCTACTTACTTTTTAATTTGTACTGAGATCTGAAAACAACTCACTTTTACCTGTATTTCATTTACCTTATTTTATATATTAAATTGATCATGATATTATTTTACAATTAAGATCTGTGAAATTACTTCTGGTTTTGTTTCGTATGTTTCATGATATTTGTCTTTTAAAAGAATGATATTTACTTTAATATTTCAGGATATTATTTTCAATTATAATCTGTGAAATTATTTCCCATTATAATACATTTATTTGGTTTTTTATTTACTAATTTAGCTTATATTCAAATACACTATTATTAATACATAGTATTTGCAAAGATTAATTTTTTTTTATTGATTATTCAATATTTTAACTTCCCAGATAGAATTTCACGGCAATGGATAATATATCACAGTGAAATATTTTCCTCCGGATAAAAAATTAACAACTTCTGTAACATTTTTTCCCCCAGATGATATTTCATCCGGATAGAATTTTGCTTTACAATAGAACATCATCAATATATATGAATGTGAAATTAAATGATCTGGCTTCTTTGATCTTCTTGTTTTTGACAAGTGTCTGAAGGAACTCTGACTCATATGAAAATAAGAAGAGGTCAGCAAGGATAGGTGCACAGTTCGTTCCCATAGGAATGCCGACAATTTGTGGAAAAAGTCTACCTCCAAATTCAACAGTTATGTTGTCAATAAGCAACTCCAGCATACTGATCAGTTGTTCCTCGGTGTAGCATGTTTTACCTTTTTGTTCACTATTAACAAAATATGACTTATGGAATCCCAAAGTAATGAATTTATAGGGTATGCTACCATTTTTATATTGAAAAGTTATTTTTGTGGATTATTTCTTTTAGACGATTTTTCAATTTCACATAGGGAATGGTGGTATACAGGGTTGAAAAATCAAAAGTTTTGATGGAATTAATTTCAGAGAAAGATCAAGATTTGAAATTATCCAGAAGTTCTTTAGAGTTTTTTAGAATCCACATATGGTTAATACCACTACGCGAGTAAACAGTTTCACAGTATATCTGAAGACCCTCTTTCACCGCGGATAGAATATTTGTCAATGTAATGGACAATTCCTTTGTACAGTCAGGGATATAACTCTATAGGGTTATTAGAGAAAATATCATACATGTGTTATTACAGATACTTTCATGAGTTGTCTACCCTTATTCCATAAATTTTCTAAATCTGTAATAACAAATGTTTGTTATTTGTTAAATAAATCATAAATATTTTAATTTTTAGTGGGCACTTGAGAATTTTTGAAACTTTGTGCAGAAGCTAAATACATGGCCTTGATTACTAATTTTCGAATTACATTAATACATTTTTCTTCAACCATGGTAAGTCAATGAGACAAGGCTTTTAAGGGATAAACTTAGCTGTAATAACAAGGCTTAGTTATAACTTATTAAAGGCATGTAACTTATTATATGAGACACTTGGGAATTACTGGGAAGCTTGCGCAGAACCTCATTACATGCCTTGATCATTATTTTCTTACAATAAATTAAAATACATTGATGATTGTGATTAAGCATGATTTATGTCTGAGCAAAGGCTTTGAAGTGATGCAGAGAACCTGTAATAACATCCTTTAGTTATTACAGGCATATTTTTCTGTAATAACATAGGACATAGGTGTACTATGCATGATTGGCAAACTATGAACTGTTATATCTTTCTATAGTTTAGTTTACATAAAGACAATAATAACATGAATAATATCAATAGAACTTGTATACATTTTAACAAAACAAATGATGTATATATTGGCCCTTTGAAACATGTAACATACATATGTTATCACAGTTCTTTGATTTTTTTGTCCACAATAACAAATGAACTTTTTTTTTCTCTAATAACCCTGAAGAGTTATAGCTTTGACTGTTGTAGAACATGCAGATTAGCCGGCAATGTACTGTTGTTTGTATGGAATTTTGTGAAGCTTAGGTATCCAATACAAACAAGGAAAGTTCTCAGATTTACTGTTCAATGTTATGTTCATTGAAGCCATGAAGGACTTATGATTCGCCAAAATCTCATCCTTGTCAAATAATATGTTTTTGTATGTTGGATTACCTGAGTGCTCATTTATTCCTAATTCTTTTACAATACATCCGTAGTAGTACGATTTATCATGTTTACATACAAAGACAATTGAATCTTTGTCCGCAGGAACAACAACATATTTATTATGAAGAGATGATAGACATTTCACAGCTTCTTTGTCTCTGAAAATGGACTTTGGTAGATCATTCACACAGTATTTCAACTTATAAATTCAACATTTTATCAGAGACTTGATTGTTTTTACCCATTCTGACGAAGTGTCCAGTTCAACTTCTTCTCGTTTAGCCCATGCTCTGGTGTAGTCCTCAATGGAATCCATAATTATTTTGAAGTGATGGTTCCAATTTATGTGTTGGGATTCTCTGAACTTAGTACCATGAGATATCACCTTTCAGAGATGTTCATGATGAATTATGTTTAGATCCCCAGTAATCATGTAAAAACATAGCCAGAGGGTCCGGTAAATATAAGGCTATTGGTAACAGTCACATGTCAGAGGGTTTTTTAAGTATTCTTCTAAATTAAGTTCCTGCAATGCTTGCTTATAGTATAATACTGTAGGTGCAATGGTTTTGATTTTGAGAATAAAGTGGAATTTTAGATGTTACCTCTTTGTGATGAAAAACATTGCTGATGTTTACTGCATCAACTCCTCTATTAAAAAACTTAACTAGAAGGAATTTCCTCTTTTCATCATGTAAAGGTTCCAATCTGACTGATTTAGAAAGACAGAAAAGAGCTACATCACAAATTATACTGACCAGTCTGTATATTGGAGAAAATGTATTTATTCATCCATTGTCAAGTGCATAATCTCTCAAACATTTTAGAAAATTAGCAGACAGTGAAAAAAGAATAGTTCTAATGTAGTGTAACCCAGAGGGTGATCTAGATTTGGAAGACTTTTTTACATTGGGCCGATGGTATTAAATGTTTTTGCCCATGACTACGCTGGTGTCTTAAAGTAATATTAAATAAGCTCATTACATTTACATCACTCCAGGCTGGACTTGACAAATTTCCTACTCCTTTGATTTTATCATTGTAACCATATGGCATTGCAGTACCTAGCTCCCTTATCCAGTAATTTTCTCTATCTTTTCAGAAAGGAGTACTTAGTATAGGGCTATTGGTGTGGTGATTAATTTTCCCAATGATGCGTACTTTCATAGATAAAGAAGGATCATGGTCTAGTTGATTAAAATGGTTATAAAGAACCCTAAATTGCGGATAAGGATTTGGTGATAAATGAGGCCAAGATTTTTTTTTAAAACCACAGACTTTGTAATAGTACAGAGATTTTCATTATAAAATTGTAAACATAGATTAAACACTTGTCTGTCCATGATGTGCTAGCGTTTATTGTCTTAAAAAAATCCTAAACAATCCCCAAAACCTTGTGCTGAGAGTCACTTAAGTTGAGTGCACCCTAGAAGGTGTACTTGAATTTAAGTCAATTTTAATAATTGTTTTAATCAATATCTTTATTTATATAATTGTTTTAGGGAATTTATTGCTAGCACTGCATGCAATAATCCTCTATCTATTAAGCACCAAATTGTCAAAAATAGGTGTAGGACTACAATGGGAAGGTCTGGGGATTTTTTTTATAAAATTCATTTGTTTAGCATTGAAACAACAAAAGGGTACATTATCCTTAAAAAAGTCAAACCTTAGAAAGATAACTTGGAACCCCATTTCAAACATTTGACGTCATATTTAAACATTGATTGTTGCATGACGCCAGAAGGTGATTCAGTGATAGATCTAGGGTAATTTGTAGCAAATAATGATCTAAATACCTAGTCCAAATAATCATGATATCTTGAAAGGCTATTTTAATTTTTTGTTGTGACGCTGTCCTACAATCATGACAATGCCATATAACACTGAAGACTTTTTTGTTCATCTGGACTTTGACAGAGATTATTATTTGGGCTACTAAATACCTTAGAGTGTAAATATATCTCTATTCTTTATTTTTATATGACCACAAAATTTTTTGCATTTTTTGTGGTCGTATATTGGTATGACGTTGGAGTCGTCGTCCGAAGACACATTGGTTTTCACACAATAACTTTAGTTTAAGTGAATGGATCTCTATGAAATTTTACCATAAGGTTCAATACCACAAAAGGAAGGTTGGGATTGATTTTGGGGGTTATGGTACCAACAGTTAAGGAATTAGGGGCCAAAAAGGGGCCAAAAATAAGCATTTTTCTAGTTTCCAGACAATAACTTGTGGAACGGTGTATGGATCTCTCTGAAATTATACCACAAGTTTCCATACCACAAAGGGATGGTTAGGATTTGCTAAGAAATGCATATTTATAAAGGAAGAACAGTAAATGTTAAATCTTTTTTTTTTACCAAAAAATCCATATAAAAGATTTGACACCATATTTTAAATTCTATTATAAAATAGATTAAGTTATATAATTAGCACTATGGTAAATTTAAATGGGTAATTATGGTTGCAAACTCCATTGGAAATTTGAATTGAGATTATGACCATATCTTGAGGGAAAAAAGGGGGGGGGGGGTCAATTTTTTCTCATTTCAGATTTTAGAAATTAAAAAGAAAAATTCTTCAAATATTATTTTTTTTGCAAAAAAAAAGTGTGTGGGGGGGGGGGGGGGGGGGGTTAATACACAACAGCATAGTGTATTGCTGAAAAGCAAAATAAAAAGGGGGGTAAATTTTTTATTTTTTTTTGTGGGTGGTCAATTCGCAACAGCAAAGCGTATTGCACAAAAGCCAAAAATTGAATATAAATTCAAATCATATAACCAATTCTAAGTCTTTGACTACAGTTATTCTGTGTCAGAAACCTTTTATGTGTCAAATATTTAATAACAATCCAAATTCAGACCTGTATCAAGCGCGAATATTGCGTCCATTTTTGCCCCAACTGTTCAGGGTTGGACCTCTGCGGTCTTATCCAGCTGTGCTCGGCGAAGCAATTTATTATCATTGTAATATGTGGCTGAAAGAAGACGTTTCAGCAAAGGAGCCAGTTCGGCCTTGGTCAATTCAGCATTGGACGTTTTAGCCATGTAATAAATGTCGTTTCAGCCATGCTTTTATTTTATGTTAAAAGAGATTTTGTTGTTTATACCTTCATTTATTTACCATGTTTACCTGAAATTATAACTTTAGAAAATAACTTTATTACACTTTTAGTAATGATGTTTTATTAAAAAAGAGTAATTATGTGTACATCTATTTACTTATAATAATAGTTGTCTTTAATGTAAGTATTATTTGAAGGTTAATCATTGTTGTTAATTAGGAGTTCTATTGATTGCAGACAACACATCCATTCCAAAAATTTTTTTTATAATTGCTGTGATAATAAGTACAAAATGTTTAACTTTGAAGTTGTTACAAATTGGTCACTTTCAAAAAGAATAATGAGGCCATGAAAAAGAATATGTTTGTTTGCCCTAACCCTACCTACCCAGAAAATATCTGCCTACTCAAAATCTTTAATTGTCCTGATATGAAAAAGGTTTTTTTAATCAGATAGGCATGAAGAATAAAACATCTGACACTTCAATTTCTCTTTGCTGAAAAAGGGAAAAAAAATGCCTACCTACCTACACAATGTCTCTATCTTTAGGTAGGGTTCGGGCAAACCAAAGTATTTTAAGTGTGGCCTGACTGATCTTAAAGAGTGCTTCAGTCCCAAGCTGAGCACATGCTTATGCATACATTCACTGTCATAAAACATGCTAAAATCATAGACTGATTCCTTTGATATTCCGCCTTGTAATTATTTCCATGTGTCCAGTGTGAGGCATTTAAACTTGTTGAACTGCATGTGAAGATAAAAAAAAAGTCAGCAATGGACAAATATTTGGTTTCTGGTGGAGAGTTGTCTCATTGGCAATCATATCACATCTTCTATTTTCAATATTATCTAGACAAAAAGCATCGATGAAATACATTTGCAATTACAAATGTAGGTCCACAGAATTCCACAAATTTGTTTTCTTTTTATTTCTTTTTATTTCTCTGTTTTCTTTTAACATTTTAAAACAAAACAAAAAGGCGACAGTCTTGTTTTCAAATGATCAAGTTTGATGTTGAAATGCGTTTTTGATCACACTGACGTGAGATTACATGTATAAGTGGCATTGTGACGCTATCTTGTTGAAACTGGTTGCGCTGAAGTGCTTTGGTGGTAACGCTGAAGTGTGATGAATAACATAAACTATATACATGTATTTTCAATGTTTTTCATGTTCACATTTCAATGTAGAAATAATTTTCCTTGTTAGTAGCTTTCAGGATTTAATGTAAATCATCAAGAGTATGCAACAAATTAAATATGACGATCTCTCATTAAGTATGTTATTGAGGACATATACATGATATATAATATAAAATATATTCCTGTAATTCAAGTGTTGCAAACACCATTTAAGAAGATGTGCATTGTTAGACATTAAGAAAAAATGTATAATGGACCAAAATGACCAAAGCCAAACTGGTATATGGTCGAAACCACATATATATGGCCAAACTGATTCATGGCTGAAACGTCTCAAAAGCATATGTGGCCAGGCAGAGCAATTTACAGTGCTATACTCATGCCCATCATTGCGTCTTTCTAAATTATTGTATATTATCGATAACTATAGATATGATACTGTAACTTAAGTTATTAATTATTCTGTAATGACTGCAGAACTAGAGCTGATTTTTGGTTCATTGAAATTTAAAGGTTGTGCTGGATTTTATTGCAGTATTGCTTCAAGAGGTTTTATAGGGACTTAAAAATAAACAGAAAATATAAATCATATCAGAAAGTAATCGTTTACATTAATGAAATTTATGACTATGTAGAATAAATCTACATTAGATGTATGAAATTGTCAAGACTACTGATACAGTGTACTGTCAGAGATATAAATCTATAGGGTTATTACAGAAAATAATTTGTGTGTGTTATTACAGATACTTTCATGAGTTGTCTACTCTTTATTCCTTAAATTTTCTAAATCTGCAATAACATATGTTTGTTATTTGTAAAATAAATCAAAAATGTTTTCAGTATTGCTTCAAGAGGTTTAAGGGACTTAAAATGAACAGAAAAGGCCTAAAATAAAATATTGTTTGTTTCCCCAATCCCGACCGACCCTGCAAAAATGGTCCTACTCATAAAATTTTATTGTCAAAACTTAGTCAAATATTATTTTATTCATTTCCGATTTCCGATAATGTTCAAGCTTTTTGGAAAAATAAAATTATTTCCCTACCTACCTACCCACACCTGCTTGGCAGGGTCGGGATTGGGGAAACAAACAATATATTAATTTAGGCCAAATATAATTTATTATTATATCAGAAAGTAATCGTTTACATTAAGGAAATTTATGACTATGTAGAATAAATCTACATTAGATGTACATGATGTATGAAATTGTCAAGACTTCTGATACAGTGTATCAGGGTTTTTTTTTTAAGAATGTATTTTTTTCACAATCCCAGTTGAGGAATATTTTCTCTTTCTGTAACCTAGCTACAACATGTAGGTTTGCTCCAACTATATATACATTTACTATAAAGCATATGCATTTTATGAATAAATGGAGATGTGGAATATACATCACTCATCAGCTAGACAGCACCCAACAACAAAAATAACCAAAAGACATGTCAACATACTGTCTCTTCAACAAACAAAATGTCAAGCTCTAATCAAATCAGCAAATCAGATATTGTGGGAATAAATTATGTATAAACACTTACAGAGAATCAAAACTCTCTTAACATGCTTGATGCATATATAATATCTTTAAAAAAGATTCACTCAATGACAGCATGAGATATTTTTAACTGAAACACTTTGTGTGTACAGTGAGTTTATTTAATGCATTGTCTTGATTGTAACCATGGCAACATCCCAAAGTTAAAGGTCATCCTGATTCCTGATTTGCCCTCTTCAATAGTGGCAATTTCCCTGTTTATCAATAACTATTATTATTTCCATTTTGTACATACATATTTATTTCTTATTTAATAGGAAGCTGTCAGCCTTCCAAGTAAACTGACAGATGTGGGAACATTCTCCTATTCATGTCTTTGTGGAGTCTCACTACTTCAGCTGTTTAATGATGACTGGAACAGGTAGAAAAGAAGATATTAGACTGTAATCACAAGGGGGGGCTTTATCTTTAGGGAACAACCATTTAACTATGTTATGTTTTTTTCCTAAACAAATATCCTGATTCCCAACTTTGAACAAACACACAAACAAACAAATATGTTATTGCTAATCACAGCACCCACAAGGAGCAGAATAATCAACAATAATTTCGTACTAGTGATTCAATATGATTAAGACAAAATGTTATAGATTGAAGCAACATGTTGAAGAAACAAACATTTTGATCAGGGAGAAGAAAAACAAAAAATTTCTGAATGAGAGTTTTTGCCATTAACATGATTAAATTTCAGAATGTAAAAAAAAACATATCCCCCGTCAAAGTTAAATGGTTGCATGTTCCCTTAGAATGAATGATTTATACCCACATTATTTTCTTAAGATCAACTGTATTTCCAAGCATTGTACACAAAAAAATTGTTCTCATTAGACAAAGACAATGTATGGTAATTTCACTTCTTAGTAATACATGTACATACATTTTGTACATCACAGATGACCACAGGTTCCTTAAGGGTGGTGCTCTTCTACCCTTGAATTTTTAGCCCCATTCTTGGATTTCCAGCACCACTATGTTTCTTTGCATTATTCATGTTAATCTTAAACATGTTAGATTTTTATACGACCGCAAAAAAATTTTTGTGGTCGTATATTGGTATGACGTTGGCGTCGTCGTCGTCGTTGTCTGGCGTCGTCCGGCGTCGTCCGAAGACACATTGGTTGTCGCACTCTCACTCTAACGTTTAGGAATTGGGGGCCAAAAATAAGCATTTTTCTAGTTTCCAGACAATAACTTGTGTTCAAGTGTATGGATCTCTCTGAAATTGTACTGCAAGGTACCATACCACAAAGGGAAGGCTTGGATTGATGATGGGGGTAATTGCCTCAATATTTTAGGAATTAGGGGCCAAAAAGGGGCAAAAAACACATTTTTCTAGTTTCCTGACAATAACTTGTGTTCAAGTGTATGGATCTCTCTGAAATTGTACTGCAAGGTACCATACCACAATGGGAAGGCTGGGATTGAGTTTGGGAGTGATGAATCATAAGGGGGTTCAAAAAATTTGGGGGGGATTTTTTTTTTTTCCTTTTTTTTCTTTTTTTCCTTTTTTTTTCTTTTAAAATTTTCCATGATTTATATTTAAAAGCAAATAATAATGATATGGTAGGAAATACACACCAAACAGGATGTGTAAATTATTATATAATAAGTATTGTGCAATAGCAAGAAATTTTCAATTGCACAGTATTGCACAATAGCAAGAAATCTTCAATTGCACAGTTTTGCGCAATAGCAAGAAATCTTCAATTGCACAGTATTGCACAATAGCAAGAAATATCCAATAGCACAATATTGCGCAATAGCAAGAAATTGTCAATAGTACAGTATTGCGCAATAGCAAGAAATATTTAATTGCACAGTATTGTGCAAAAGAAGATACTTCGTATAAATTGCTTATTTCTTGACCAATTTCAATGGGGTTTTATTCTTGAATTCTTGGGGTTCTTTAATATGCTGAATCTAACCGTGTATTTAGTTTTTGGATTTTGGGCCCCTTTTTAAATTGGTCCACATTGAGGTCCAAAGGGTCCAAAATTAAACTTTGTTTGATTTCATCAAAAATTGAATTATTGGGGTTCTTTGATATGCCGATTCTAACCGTGTATTTAGATTCTTAATTTTTGGTTCCGTTTTCAAATTGGTCTACATTAAGGTCCAAAGGGTCCAAAATTAAACTTAGTTTGATTTTAACAAAAATTGAATTTTTAGGGTTCTTTGATATGCTGAATCTAAACATGTATTTAGATTTTTGATTATGGGCCCAGTTTTCAAGTTGGTCCAAATCGGGGTCCAAAATTAAACTTTGTTTGATTTCAACAAAAATTGAATATATGGGGTTCTTTGATATGCTGAATCTAACCATGTATTTAGATTTTTGATTTTTGGGCCCCGTTATCAACTTTGTCCACATTGAGGTCAAAAGGGTCCAAAATAAAACTTTGTTTGATTTCATCAAAAATTGAATTCTTGGGGTTCTTTGATATGCTGAATCTAACCATGTATTTAGATTTTGGATATTGGACCATAATAGGTGAATGTCCAATTTAAAATTTTTAAGTTCTTAGACCACATTCATTCTGTGTCAGAAACCTATGCTGTGTCAAATATTTAATCACAATCCAAATGCAAAGCTGTATCAAGCTTGAATGTTGTGTCCATACTTGCCCCAACTGTTCAGGGTTCGACCTCTGCGGTTGTATCAAGCTGCGCCCTGCGGAGCATTTTATTAGATTATGAGATAAGTTTGGAAAAAAATTCTTCATCAGTATAATATGCAATCTAATTAAAATTAGTTCTCCGCACTTGCTCCTCATTTTCCCACGTGCGACATATAAACAACCGAACGAAAATGAGGAGCAAGTGCGGAGAACTAATTTTAATTAGATTGCTTAATATGTTGAAAGACTATTATTGGGTTTAGAATTGGTTTGAGTTTTGATACATTCATTTTTGTACACACATATATATGTATTTGAGAGTATCGCAAAAGGTATTCAAATTGAAATTATAAATATCTTTTCAACAAAATATACTAACTATTTTTATGAGCTCCACCCTTGATAATGTTGTGATCCCTGTACATGTATCATGTCAATTTATTTGTATGTACATGGCTGTGTGATAATAATGTTTGAATAATGATGATCAAAATTTCAGAAGAAACCTGTGTGAATATCTTTTTCAGCAATGATTGTACTCTACAATACAGCTAAGAATTTATGACAAATGTATGAGTTTAAATTAGGAAGATTTTGAGTAATTTTGTCTTATTATTTTAGTGATAAATATCGCAATTTTTTTAACTGGAGATTATTTTCTTATTGTAGTGTCAAAAACAAAATCATACAATGAATTGAGCTATTATAATCAAATAGAAATTTTTTTAATTTACACATGTATTTAAATTGTTTATATTGGCATACAACAAATTAACATCACTTTTCTATTTTGTTTGTTTGGGTATAATATTAGCATGGTGTTGACATTCTCCTTTATCATGTTTATTGCTAGTGACAACATATTATTATGAAGTTGTCATTTACTTTTCAGAGAATTCAAGAAGGCTGCCATAGAATCTATCTTGGTTCATTTACAGTTACCATCACAAGTAAGTATTCAGTGATCGGGAAGGACATGCGCCATGCGCCAATTGTGGTTATCGACCAGAAATGGTGCACACAGTGACAAATGTAAGCGCCCACGTGGCGCACAATATTTTTCACTTTGTTTTGAAACGTTTAGATATGGTCAAATGGATTTCCGATCATGTTTCGTGTCGCCATGTGTGTGTACACAACTGTGTAGTGTTCCCTCCAATGATAGGAGCACCTATATTTTTTGGGGACGTCTCGGGTGTTTTCCTATGGTAATAATAGCAACATGCGGTATAACTGATTACCTAAAAAACGTAATTAACCATCATTCATGATATAAATTTTTATAAACAACTTTAAATTTCTGAAATTTGGCTAGTACAGACGAGAATTTTTCTCTTATTATAATCTTTTAAGTAAGCTTGCTATTATTTCTGTTATTGTATATTCATTGAAATTGAAATTACAAAATCGCAAGGAACAATATCCATGATATCAATTAGAATCATACAGGTTACTACCACTACCTCTTTGCTGAAATATACACTTTCTTTTACTTTTTTTTTATTGTAAACGAATGGCCCACTCATTTGACATGGCCCATTAACTCTAAAAATGGCCCATTGAATTTATTTTTGGGTGGCGCTGGGCCCATAGAGAAAAAATCCTTCCAGATCACTGAGTATTTACACAGATTTTGCTATGTAGGACTTTTGTTGATGATGATGATCGATGGCTGCTTTACGTCCAGCAGCAAATTATTATGCATTAACATGTTAATGTAATATGATAACTAACCCTTCTTTGTACTAGACTGACACGCTGAGCCAGATTTTTAACGTGCAAGTTCACAAGGTAATAGTCCTTAGAAAGACGTAACCTTTCCCGACACCATTATTCTGACTCTGAGCCAATCATTCTTTGCTCTTACTCCTTAATGCCGTGTGCTTATTGCTTAGCGGAGAAGCAGCAAATACCAATTAAAGTCTTTGGTTTGACCTGACCAGGGTTCAATCCCATGGCCCATTGCACTCGAGGCAAACACGCTACTACGAGACCACTGAGGCGGTTAAGACTTTTGAAAAGGGGTACTATCCTGTTTAAACAAACAACCTTATAAAAATAAGGTGGCATTGTATGATTGTAAATGAGACAACAATCCACCAGAGACCAAAGGATGAGGATGTAAATAACTAAAAGTTACCCTACAGTCTTTAACAATGAGCAAGACCTGTACAATATAATATAAGCTATAAAAGGCCACGGTATGAAACAATTCAAACAAGGTAACAGACAGCCTACTTTATGTTAAAAGTCAGTGAACGAAAAACATGAAAAACAAATATGGCAGGCAGCAACTGATAATAACTACTGAATAACTGGCTCCTGACTTGAGACAGGCACATTAGGAATGTTGCTGGGTTACATGTTTGTAGAACCTCAACTCATCCCTAGTCTGGCCATGGACAATGGTGTTCTGGCAACATAACAACACACTAAAAATCAGTTGAAATGGGCTTTTACCTTTATGATAAAATATTCTTATCAAAACATAGATGCGAAAAGAATGTGTCTTAGGTTTTTTTTCAAATGAGAGATAGTGTACTAAATTTTATTTAGAATAAGAGCAATGGTGATTAATATAGAAAGGTAATTCAAGCTAAAAATGCTAGAAGGACCTTTAATTAGGAATTATTTGAAATTTTCCCACATGTTTAAAGTATTGCCATTTTAGTTTCAACATTCAATTATGATTTAAAAAAAACATAAAGGTCAGACATATCTCTGTGTCGACAGTTTATTTACACAATGTATTTTAACAGCATTGTACATAGAAATGAATCCTCACTAACCAAAAAACAACATTTATACATGTACCATCTCAGGGGAGACAATGTACACTTCATTATGAATACAAGGAAGATATTAATCAAAAAGAGATCACGCAAATGCATTATTGACAGCAACTGAGCTCTATGAAAAAAGCTTCAAAAGGACATTTAGTAATCTTCAGTGCAGGCAAGTGCATGTTTTAAATCAGCTCATGTCTTGACAAACTGTGGATAGATTTGAACAAAAAATGACAAAAAATCTGAAATCAAGAAATTTTTCTAAATGAACAAAATCAAGGAGAGTTATAAAAAGCATGACTAGGTTCAGTCATTCACGAAACATGAAGTTTATCTAGTTGTAAGTCTTTTGTTTGATACTATTTACCTGTTTTATGTGGGCAAAAGTTTTATTATTTTTTTCTAACAGGCACGTGACTCTGTTAAAGCCATCACAGATGGAGAAGGTGTTGATGATCCTAAACCATATGCAGATATTCTTCTGACTGAGTCATGTTTAAATGGCAGTGGTGTACCTGTTGTTACTGACCTGGTAACCTTCTCCCTACTCAGTGGTTTGTACCAGTTCAATAAGCTGCCTATTAGATATGTTATTATGATTATCTCCCAAGCCATTATAGTATTGTTATAATAATAGTATTTTGGAGAAGATCTAGACTTAATAAGTACGTTTTAGTTGTGTCCGACCCGTTTTTTTGCTTTCAACAAATACATGTAAAATATGTTTAATCTAAAAATATTGTATTTGTCCCTTTTTCTACATAAAAAAATGCCTGTACCAAGTCAGGAATATGACTGTTGTTTTCCATTCGTTTGATGTGTTTGAGCTTTTAATTTTGCCATTTGATAAGGGACTTTCTGTTTTGAATTTTCCTTGGAGTTTGGTATTTTAGTTGTTTTACCATTTGGTATTTTTAATAATATAAGATTGAAAGAAAACAAATAAAAATCCTGATTCAATATAAAAATAAGAAGATATGGTATGATTTCCAATGAGACAACCTTCCACAAGCTACCAAATGATGTAGAAGGTAAGCAACTATAGTACACCGTACGGCCTTCAATAATTAGCTAAACCCATACCGCATAGCAAGCTATAAAAGGCCCTGAAATGACAAATGTAAAACAATTCAAACAAGAAAAATAACAGGCTGATTTATGTAAAAAACAATAAATGGAAAACAAATATGACTCATGAATATAAAAATAAGATGATGTGGTATTATTGCCAATGAAACAAATCTCCACCAGAGACCAAATGACATATAGAAGTTAACAACTATATATGTCATAGTACGACCTTCAACAATGAGCAGAACCCATACCGCATAGTCAGTTATAAAAGGCCCTGAAATGACAAATGTAAAACAATTCAAACAGGAAGACAAACAGCCTGATTTATGTACAAAAAAATGAAGGAAAAACAAATATAATATACCGCAACAAATAACAACCACTTTGTAAAATATGTTTAAACTTAGTAAGGACTGAACACCCCAATAATAAAGCTGTAAGGAATACTTCCGAATGTAATGTATTTCAAATGTTTTAATTCTAATGTTGATTTGCTTTTTTAGGGCGATATGACTCGAGAATGAGGACATTGATAAAGCATGTTGCCTGGCATTTGAGAGTTAGCTGGGATCATATAGAGGAGATAGAAACTGTATTGGCAGAAACATTAGAAGCAAAGCAGTATGAAATGTCAGAGTATGTATTGTTTGTTGTTGTTAAATGCTACTTTCTGTACGCTTGGCTATATCATGATGGCCAAATTTTTTGGTGGAGGAAGCCACCAGGGGAGAACCATGTATACTGTAAACCAACTTATTTTAGCGGATACTTTATTTTTCGTGTTTAGCCCTTACTAGCCCATTTCACGGCAATTTAATTTCGTGATTTTCAAATTTGCTTCATGTAGTTAAATAAGGAACGATCCAAGTTTTACATTTTCGCGACGATTTATATTCACGACGATTTATATTCGCATTATTTTTCTACCCTCGAAAGTCACGAAAATAAATTGCTCGCAAAAATTAATTGGTTTACAGTATTCAAATTAGAGATATCAATGAGAACACTTTATTTATTGGTAGATTACACTGACTTTCTCATAAAACTTGCAATGCATGTGCTCATAATTTTATTCACAAATTTCTGTGTGTTTAATTAACATATCATCTGTTGACTTTGCAAGAACTAATTGATAAATTTTGACTAGGTAGACATGCTGAATTTATATAATTAAGATCTAGAAATAAGCTCAATTTATAATGATAGAAATTTGTCAATACAAAATGTAAACAAAATATACAAGTATCACGTACATGTGACATATAACTATCTTATTTTAAATCTATCTGTCTAAGGCCATGTAAATCAAGTATGAAGTAAAAGGAAACTTCAACATTCCCACTTACTTGACTTCTTAACTATTTGCAATTTTACACTACCTTCCCAATACATCTTTGAGTTTTTATAGAATACAAACATACCTCCAGTTATCTTCCTTTAAAGTAATTATATAATTCTTCAGTTTTCTTTCATGTCATTGAGCACATGTTCCTACTTTTTTCTTGGTACATTTATTTTGGATTTCATTGAGTCAGTTTAGGACGTATTTGGGATAATTTCTTGAGTGTTCAGTGGTTATTGTTTGTTGATGTGGTTCATAAGTGTTTCTCGTTTTTTTATATAGATTAGACCGTTGGTTTTCCTGTTTGAATGGTTTTTACACTAGTCATTTTTGGGGCCCTTTATAGCTTGCTGTTCGATGTGAGCCAAGGCTCCGTGTTGAAGGCCATACTTTGACCTATAATGGTTTACTTTTACAAATTGTGACTTGGATGGAGAGTTGTCTCATTGGCACTCATACCACATCTTCTTATATCTATTGTATTATTATATTGGATGTTTATTGATAAAAATAGCTTATTCTAATTTGCTTTTTTAGAATTTAAAGGATTATGGTTAACTTCATGTTCATACCCAAAAATGAAAAAATCTCACTTCATTGTAAAGGATTATTAGCCAATTACAACATTTAAGTGTATGCTTTTTTTTACCTAGAATGCAGGAGATTCTGAATTGGTGAAATTTAACAATAGCTCAATGTAAACATCCAAATAGATAGAGTTTGACACTCCTAATTTCATTTTAAATTATCCGATTTTAGGGGTCAACTATATACTTGATATTTACTAGAAAATTTGTATTCTGTAATAGTTGATAGGAAAACTGTTTGCTTATTTTACAAACTATGTAATGGCCTTCTTGCTATTTTGAAATCTGCGACTCTTGACCTGAGATATTGCGACATTTGAACTGTTGATGTCATACAACAATCACTTCTGTGTTGTTGTAACTAACATTTTCTCTTATGATGTCAAAATTTTACAGAACATCAGTGATGGCCAGTAATGGCCGACAAATACCTATAAGGTGTGCAGAGAAACAGATTTATGTGTAACTATGTCATATAAACATTATTACTGCTCAAGGTTGCTTATAATACCTTTAAATTTTGTTTACTTTGTGTCAAAGGAAGCACAAGAGGTAAGATTAATGTTGTAAACAAATTAAAACTACAAGTGTGTTACAACTTTTTTTAATCATTTATAATAGCAGTAAAAGGACTGTTATTAGTTTCATTGATTAAACATCAAATTGAAAACAAAGGAGTAGGCCCAGTAAGACCCCTTTTTGGCCCCAAAATATAGCAGTTTTACAAAATTGTTAAAATGAAAAGTTTTAGCTATTTATTGGAAAGAAGAATACTTCTGTTACATAAATATGGGCTGTTTTTGACAATACAATGCACATGTATCGGGTACTAGCATCATTAAGTCATGCTAAATTACTGAAATCTTCGAAATTTTAGCATTTTGGTTAATTTTTAGACGGTTTCCGTCTGAAATGGAAGTGGCCGCATTTGTGTTCATTCTTAATATTTAAATGTAAGTTGTATTTGATGATAATACATAACATATATAAAGGTTGAGAATGAACACGGATGCGGCCACTTTCATTTTTGACAAAAACCATCTGAAAAGTGACATATTATGGCATATGTGATAGATTTTTCATATTTAAGCTTGAATTTGAGCGTCTTTAATGACTAAATCAGTTCAAATCTTTCACATAAACTAATTGAATCGACTGAAGTAGACACTTACGTGTTAAAAAAGTGTCCAACATCTTTCATCAGATGAACCTGAATTTTGAGGCCAAAATCGGCCCTTACCGGACCTACTCCTTTATACATTGGTTGAATGTCCATTGTTATGGGTGTTGTTTATATTATAAGTGATAAATTTTTTAGGTAAACTTTTAAAAACATTTCGAACTAAGAATGCTATAAACTCTGAATGGTGAACTATAGAAATGCAGTTCAATTTGTTAGTGACAATATTTTGTATGTATAGGTGAAAATGACTTTTTGATTTTATATCAGTAAACCTTTATGTTTGAAAAAAAGTGGTTTTGCACTACTTTCACCTTGTATAATGTTTCCATATTTACATTATGGAGTTACATTTTGTAACCACAATTTATGATGTAGTACAGTACTTCAGCAACTAAAAAAAGGGGCTCATTTGTCCTGAAAACGCCACCCATGTGGTGAATTATGTTCAAATTAGAAGCGCATGGAAACTATGGATGTTGTTGTCTTTTAAGTTATCATTCATTATATCCTTGTATAAAATTGATTACATCTTCTCCATATGAGTTCTGGTGGATAATTGTCTCATTCAGGCAATCCTACCATATCTCCTTTATTTTTATATTGTTAAGAATTTATTTACCTTTTCAGGGCTCACGCAACTAGGCGACTAGGGCGAAGAAGTCGCTTTCCCATCCGTCACTTCGCTTTGCCAGACCCTCAAAAGCAAATACAAGTCGCCCTGTTGTTTACGATACTCGCTTTCAGTTGCTTTCGTCATCGGCAATATTCAATTTTTACCATGTCGATGAAACAGCAATTTTTCATTTAAGAGTAAAGAAATTCAAGGCATAAACTTTATTTTCATCAGAAAAGAGGTTAAAGCATTTATTTTAAGTTGGTGGCATGTTATCTCATAAAAACAATTTTTTATCACTTCTGGTACTTGTCCCCTACTAGAGAGCGTATTCAAATCATTCTAACATTCAACAAAATAAGTTGTTACTTCATTAGAACTTGATGAAATTTGCCTGAAGTAAATTTGTTATCCATGTATTGCATTAAAAATGTCATATTCTCTTCCAAATAGCGTGTCAAACATCGTTTACTTTTGTAAATTTTACTTCGTCCGACATTTAAATTATTGGGCATACTATTGTACAACTACGGATCGGAGTCGGGATTTCATCGGAAACAGACCGGCTATGACCGAAATCCGGATTCTTACGATAATGATTACGGACACATGAATGGCACTGCTGACAGACAAAAATTGATCCCAAAAGGAAAAAATACGCTTTATACATGCATTAACATACTTTTGTTTAGATCTTCTTGACTAATGTATATATTTCCATGTATATGCATAGTTTCAATTTATAAGTTAAAGTTGCTCAACTCTGGGACTATTACACTAATATAATTGTATTATGTCCAAGCTTAACTGTTAAATTTATATTGTTTTTTTCTGACAAGAGGACTCATATGATTGTGCAACTAGATATGATAAAATTAAACAAGTTATTTTAATTGTATACCAAAGGTACAAATTGAACAATATAAAAAAAATAAGATACATATTATTATGGCACTTTAATATATTATAGTAAAAACCAAACATTGTAGCGCTGCGAGCAAACAAGCACTTCTCTTAGCTTTCAAATCTCACCACTTCTCCCTCTCAATTTCAAAAAGAGAAGTCACTTCTCCCTATGATTCTGAAGTAGTGTGAGCCCTGCCTTTTTAAAAATATTTATTCTTGACTTCATGATTTCATATAAATGTTTTTCAATGTACAAATTATACACTTTCCTCCATATTTATATTTTTATATCTGCAGTTGTACCTGTATTCTTATATTTACAGAAAAAAAATTGTAGATAATCAAGGAAGTTTGCTTTTCGTGTTATTTGTAACTTTATATTTTCTACCTCCTTTGGGTTTTACGTAGGCCATGATTTAAACAAATTTTATAGAAAGATGATGCTTTATGTTGTTTCTGTGCAATAAATTTAAAACTATTCAACCCATATTTTCTTCATTTTGAGATGTTTTTTTATGACAAAATGGAGGTTCAGGTTAAATATTACTATTTTCTATTTTGCCTACCAGGAGTTATTGCAGTTGATTGATTAAAAAATATCAAGAGAAAACCCAAAAGAATGCACATTTACAATGCAATCTCTATTTATGTAGACTTTGTAATATTTTGATTATTAAAAAAGTGTTTTCAAGTGCATTTTTCAACCATACACATTTTTTTTCTGTAAAGCGCTGCCTCCATTTCTAAAATTTTGAAAGAAAAAGAGAGATATAGATTAAACCTCATCAGGATAGCTTTGCAGCTAAACATATTATTCACAATTGAACCTGGAAAGATCAACATGAAATCTGTACTTCTACCAAATAACATAATTGTACCTTTTGAAGGAAACATATTTAAAATTTGTTTTTGGTAGTTGGAAAATATTGAATACTTTTGTTCATCCTTTTGCTCAAAAGAATTTTTCTTCGTCCCTTTTCAGAATGTATCTTCAGAACATACCCAAATTCACTATAAAAGTCTTTTCCTATGCTTCCAATTATACTAATCAAAGTGCTGTAGAATTGAAGCAGGGATTTATAATTAAGTGGATTTTCTTTTACAAAAATATTGTACCTTTTTGTAATTTTCAGAGAGGAAGAAACTGAGAAGAAAAAGAAATCCAGAAACTCAAAAATAAAAAGATATGCTTTGATTGGCATAGCAACTGTTAGTGGTGGTGCTTTAATAGGTAAGAACTTAAAGCAGTATAAAGTTACGTTGGGAAGATGGGTAAGTTCGTTAGTACAAATCATAACTACAAAGTACTTTGTCCTGGGAATTTCTATAACTATATTTTATTATAATGCAACTTTATTGTAATGAAGATTTTGGTTGGAAGACATCTTATAATTGAGAAGGGAAATGATAATTGAGATGGAATGCTTTATTCATTTTGCATTAGACATGTTAGAATGGAGATAACTTAATTATATCAAAAGCTTGACCTACATAATACTTGGTTTTGCTGTCACAAATAGCTAGTTACCAAGCTCAACTGCATGGTTCTAGGTAAACTCAATTTGCTACAAAAGAGGTAGAAGGTACAAAAAGGGCATTAAAAAATCATAGGTCAAAGAAAAACTGGCAAAATTTTTGCAAAAAGGAAAAGACAAATAACAGCATAAACAGTCTCCAAACACCACATAAAAACTTAAGACTGGGGATCAAGTCTATGACTTCCCATATTGGAGGTGAGCAATGTACCACATGACAACTGCTGCTAAGAAGTCCCTGATTCTTTACTGACATGATTTATATCATAGTGGCTCTTAAATTCTCTGTTGATAAATTTAGAAATGATTAAGAAAATAAGATCCCAACTGCCTCAGGAAAGTTGACCTTAAATGGATTTTTAGTTCCCTTTTGGTCTTATATACAGCTCCCTACATAATCGAGAACTAATATATCTTTACATGCTTGGCTGGCTTTCAAATTTTGGGGGTTTGATTTCCTGATGAAGTTTTATTCAGAAAAGGACTTCAGACACACCAAATTTTTAAAGTGTTTGTATCAATTTAGTAATCTCAATAACATTATTTCAAATAAACAAAATTTGAAGTAGTTTTATAATGTGTGTTTTTATCTACAGGTTTGACAGGAGGACTAGCCGCTCCACTTGTAGCAGCAGGGGCCTCTGCCATTATTGGAGGGGCAGGAGCAGCTGCTTTGGGTACAACTGCAGGTGTGGCCATCATAGGATCCCTTTTTGGGGTAGCAGGGGCTGGTCTTACAGGTATGGCCAGTTTGTGAACAAGAAATGTTATAGCAACATTTTTAATAGGAAACCACAAACAAATATTGCAGCCATTGGTTAACGGAAACAAATGAAAATCTACAAATGTTGAGTGGAAATAAAGAGTATGAATTCAATTGAGATTTGGTTATAATCGTAAAGAATTTACAATCTAAGTTGTGTTACTTTGGAACATCAAATCTATATATAGCCAATATCGAAAGGAAGCTCAGGTCTTAATTGAATACAACATTGTGTGAATATTATGTAATGATCAGTTTATGAGTTATTGGAATTATTGCAAGACATGCTTTGATAGACAGCCATATGAAAGGATAATCATTTTCAGGGTTTGTTGACTTGAAAACTTAAATCTTCCTAGATAACTGACTGCTTTAGTATAACCACGCTGGTTTATTTCTATCCAACCTTGTATTTGGCAACTATTCTTCACATATTTCTTTCAAATTTTTCACATTTTTTTTACAACACTAAAAATCATAACATATAAATATATATATATATATAAGAAGATGTGGTATGATTGCCATTGGGACAACTCTCCACCAGCGACCAAATGACGTAGAGGGTTAGCAACTATAGTTCTTATTATGTATTTTATACCAAGCTAATATTTTGACACATTCTCATATCTTTTTTCTTATCGCACTTAGATGAATTTATCACATGATATTTAACAGGTCACAAAATGCATAAAAGATTTGGTGCTATTGAAGAGTTTTGCTTTGAGCCAATGATATCTGGTGGTGCCTTACAGAGAGCTTCTATGGCTAAACAGTTACATGTTACTATTGCTGTCACTGGCTGGCTGTCTCACACAATGAAAGGTAAGGCAACACATATTATACAGATATAATTTTATCCTACCGTCAACCAATTATCGTACAAATTGCGGGTATACAAATACATTTTTGCTTTATGCTACTTGTGCTTATAAAGTCTCAAATGATCTTGCTTCTCTGCTGAGTGATCGGTAATGTTAAAATTACTGTTTGTGTCACAGTTCATTTTGAGGTCCGCCCTTTGTCTGCGTTTAATCCATGTCAATTTCTATGTAATTCAAAGGCATTTGTTGGGGAAAATAAAAAAATAAAAGTAGTGTGTCAAGGTTAAATTGGAGGATATAAAACAGTACTTGTGTTGAGAATGGATAAACCATCGTGTTGAGAATGGATAGACCATCGTGTTGAGAATGGATAGACCATCGTGTTGAGAATGGATAGACCATCGTGTTAAGAATGGATAGACCATTGTGTTGAGAATGGATAGACCATCGTGTTAAGAATGGATAGACCATCGTGTTGAGAATGGATAGACCATCGTGTTGAGAATGGATAGACCATCGTGTTGAGAATGGATAGACCATCTTGTTGAGAATGGATAGACCATCGTGTTGAGAATGGATAGACCATCCATTCTCAGCACAAACGTTGTGTTTTCAGTGAATAAAAAAAACAAAATCTGAAACATCACTTATCAGATCAATTAAGGTGGTACCTAACACTACAGGGAGATAACTCTGTAAAAATCAGCTAAACGTTTTAATTACATTGTATTGTTAAGGAAATATTAAGCTTCTCAATGATCAAAATTACTGTTTGTCAAACTGCTATATAACCAATGAAATTTTTCTGATAAAGTGGTTGGTTCAAATTTTTTGAAATTTTTAAATTTTTGTCAAAGGGTCAAAGTAAACATTTTGTCAAAATTTTATGAAAATTAAACGAGCCAAATTAATATTAGTCAAGGTGTTGGGTACCACCTTAATACAAGACTTTAATTTCTAATGTCTTCCTTCATCTACATGATCTATGAAATGCAGTTTATCTGAATGCATGAAACTAGTTACAAGCTTCTAATATGACGATGTTTTCTAGTGTCTCAGTATTGTTTTTAATCATTTATCACTAAACTGAACACTGTAGGGACTGGACATTTATACTTTGAAGCTTGGTACACTGCATTACTTCTGTATGTATGTCTGTTCTTTCACTCCATTAGATTATCAGGAACTACATTTCACAGTTTCCTGAAATTTGGTAGCAAGCTTTATGCAATCATGCTTTACTATGTGATTATTTTTCACATCTATCTTCATCGATTTTTTGTTTATCATATACTTATATATTCCAACACAAAGTCATGTATGAAATTTATGTCAGGAACTGCCAATTAGAGCTTCCTGAAATATTGCATAACGGGCATGCTTCATGTGTTCACACTATTTCATATGATGCGTTTTCACAGCCATTGCTCATCAACTTCCTGTTTTCCGAACACTTTTAGTGTGGTATCATTAGTTAGTAATACCTTTTCATTCAGAATAGACAGATGTTTGTTCTACACAGGTAAGATAAGTAATATTCAATGTAGGCTGTGCTACAAGGGATCAGTTTATGTAAGTTTTTGTTTTACACATTCAGTGTAGCCAGATTTCACTGTATCAATTTTTCAATTTTAGATGTAAAGATTCCGTGGAAGAATCTGGCAGAATCACATGAACAGTATTGTTTACGATATGAATCTAAACATCTCTGTATCCTTGGTGATGCCTTTGAACTGTTTTTAAGTGGAGCTGTTTCCATGGCAACTCAAGAGGCATTAAAATATACACTTCTCTCAGGTTAGATGAAATTTTCTTTTTCATAAGATTCCTCAAAGTTATACAAGTAATCAAAATTTTTACAGATATATCATTAGTTATTTTAGCAAGAGTGCACACGTTGAAATGTCTCACCTGCTTTACTGACCATTGATTTTATGTTGATAGTCCTAAATGTAAAGCTTTACTACAAGTATCACATAAACTTAACATGATCCAAGAAAATTAGGTCAAGGTCGGATAAACTAAACCGGAAATACATGTACACCTTACAATCATTCCATAAACCAAATATAGTTGACCTAATGCTCATAGTTTCTAAGAAACAAAGTTAATCAGGAAAACTTAACATTGACCAATGAACCATGAAAATGAGGTCAAGGTCAGATGATACCTGCCAGACAGACATGTACACTTACAATCAATCTATGCATTAATTTAAATATAGTTGACATATTGTTTATAGTATCTAAGAAACAAACTTAACCATAAAAACTTAACCTTGACCAATGAACCATGAAAATGAGGTCAAGGTCAGCTGATACCTGCCAGACAGACATATGCACCTTACAATCATTCCATTCACCAAATATAGTTGACCTATTGCTTATAGTTTAAGAAAAACAGACCAAAACACAAAAACTTAACACTGAGCAATGAAAAAGAGGTCAAGGTCAAATAAAATCTGCCAGACTGACATATACATCATAAAATATTTCCATACACCATATATAATTGACCTATTGCATATAGTATTAGAAAAAAAGATGAAAACACAAAAAACTTAACTTTAACCACTGAACCATGAAAATGAGGTCAAGGACAGATGACACCTGCCAGTTGGACATGTACACCTTACAATCATTCCATACACAAAATATAGTAGACCTATTGCTTCTAGTATCTAATATATGGACTTGACCACGTAAACTTAACCTTGTTCACTGATCCATGAAATGAGGTCGAGGTCAGATCAAAACTGTCTGACAGGCATGAGGACCTTGCAAGGTACACATATACTTAATATAGTTATCCAATTACTCATAATAAGAGAGAAATTAACATTACAAAAAATCTGAACTTTTTTTTCAGTAGTCACTGAACCATGAAAATGAGGTCAATGACCATGGACATATGACAGATAGAAACTTCATAACATAAGGCATCTATATACAAATTATGAAGCATCCAGGTCTTCCACCTTCTAAAATATAAAGCTTTTCTTTTAAGTAATTAGTTAACACTGTTGCCCCCCGATCACTATCCCTATGTTGAGCTTTCTGCGGCTTGGCAAAAACTACTGATAGCTGTTGAATGAATAGGAAATGCCAAATGTAGTTGAAATAAGTCTATAAGTCATTTCTATTGTTCTGCTTCAGTAATTTTGATTGCCAAGTATTCAGATTTTGATAGCTATACTGTTATATTAAGAATACAATTGACTGCCTACAAGAAAATTTGTATGAGGTCGAATGGTCTTTACGGTAATTTTAATAATAAAGAATTACTTAGAGGAGCAGAGGAATTTTATCCAGTAAATTAGGTGCGAGTCATGTATTTTGCATGAATTTTGCCAGCTTTTATCTTTTTCAATCTTTTTATATAACAACCCTGCTCAATAACCAATTAATGAGCACTTATTCCTAATTGTGTGAGTTTGAAAAAAAAATGATGGAGCATGTATCATTAAAATGGACTTTATTTCCTTTTTTAGGGATAATAACTGCTATAGCCTGGCCAGCGACTCTGATATCTGCTGCTAATATTATTGACAATCCATGGAGTGTTTGTTTACAGAGATCCGTCACTGTGGGAAAAGAATTGGCAGAAACCTTGTTAGCTAGAGAACAGGTACATTTAACATGTACTTGTTGTACAATAATGTACACCTTTAATTATTTACTTCCGAATGTGATGTAGGTATTCTACTTTAGAAATGTTGTACAAAATGTATCAGCTTACTTTTTGTTAAAAGATAAACAAAATTGAGGTGCATCTTTTTATGGTAGGATTTTAACCAAAATGGATGCATAGGTATAATTAGCTATTCCTAAAGTGATTTTATGGGGTAAAAACTTACTTTTTAAAGCAATTGCTTTTATGCTATCGCGTATGGCCATCTTTGTGACGCAAATCAGAGACTCCGCCCAGATCAAGCCATAGTATTTTGTTAAACAGGCTCCTGGTCTGTCATTCTTAAACACCTATGTATGTTTTCTAATGCAATACATAGCTTGAAACTTTTGAAAAACGTTAGTGGATTTAAGAGGTTTCAGCATTTGTTCTTGTAGATGTATTTTTGTATTTAGGGGGACAACCGTTTAACTATCAAAAAACATAGAATTAGTTTGATGAGTTTGTTTGTCTAATTTTTACCTGATTTATCTTTTTCCCAATTGGTTGATTATTGTCCCCCGCGCAAACACATTGCAGGGGACATAGAAGTACCGTGCACCAGTCCGTCTGTCCGTCCGTGCTTCCGTTGGTCCGTCTGGTCTTGTTAGCGCTCTCAGGTGTACAATTCTTGCCAGATTTTTATGAAACTTATATCATAGGTTTGTATCAGCAATGTCTCGGACAAGTTCCAAAATAAGTGCCAATCAAATATTTTTTAAAGAGTTATGCCCCTTGGAAACATCAATTATATAGAAAATTGCATCGTTAGGGCTCTTATTTGTACAAGTCTTGCCAGTTTTTATGAAACTTATATCATAGGTTTATATAAGCAATGTCTTGGACAAGTTTGAAAATCACTGCTGATCAATTATTTTCAGAAGAGTTATGCCCCTTGGAAACATTAATTATATGGAAAATTGCATTGATAGTGCTCTCATGCATGTGTACATTTCTTGCCAGATTTTTATGAAATTTATATTATAGGTTTATATCAATGGCTTAGACGAGTTCGAAAATCAGTGCTGATCAGTTTTTTTTAAAAGAGTTATGCTCCTTGGAAATATTGATTAAATGGAAAATTGCATTGTTAGCGCTCTGCTGTGTACAATTCTTGCCAGAATTTTTTGAAACTTATATCATAGGTTTATATCAGCAATGTCTTGCTCTCTCGAAAGTAAGTGCTGATCAAATATTTTTAATGAGTCATGCCCCTTGGAAATGGAAATCACATTGCATTTGCTCTGAAGCCTTCATTTCTTTAAGATATTTATAAAAAGTTTTTTAAAGAAAAAAAAAAGTGTTTTTTTTAGTTATTGTCCTTGTAACTTGGATAGATAAAATATGTGCAAAGCAGGGGACATTAGAACTCTTTTTTTTTATTTATTTTTAATCAACATGTGGTTTCGTTTTATCTCAGTTCTTTGTTGGTCAAAATTCAATTATGACTTCAAATTTTCTGGCTGTCCTTTAAAATCCTATTGTGACGTCATGAAAAATGGCAAACATGAAGAACACATCTTTTTTTCAGATTAATGAATAAATTTGTTTACATGTCTAAAAATCATTAGAGAAACAAAAAGCATGAAGTACAGTCAAGTAGTTTTGCTTTAAGATAATGCATTGTATTCTTTCCAGGGAAACAGACCAGTAACTTTGATAGGATACAGTTTAGGTGCTAGGGTTATATTTCATTGTTTGGAAGAGATGGCAAAGAGAAAGTGTAAGTAATTTTGATAATATAATTGAGAATGGAAACGTGTAATGTGTCAAAGAGACCACAACCCGACCAAAGAGCAGAAAACAGCCCAAGACCACTAATGGGTCTTCAACACAGCAAGGAAATCACGCATGGGTATTGGAATTCTGTATACCTGCTATCACACCAGTTTAATGGGGTAACTCCCTCTTTTTCCTTTAAAAATTTGAAATCCTCAATATCGGACCTGTCACCTTTGAAGGTGATCAAATATCCCCCTTGACAATAAATCACCCTTTTCTCACCCCCTTTCATCATTTTAGATGCATAAATAGTATTTTCTTTGGTTGACTTTCATTGTATTGCAAATACAATGCATATGCTTTAATATTGGAATCAGTAAAAATTTTGAATTATTAAATCCATTTATAGATAATTAAATGTGATCTTTATGTGCTGAATTACTTTAAAACACTCAGTACCTTAATACAAAATTTTTAACGAAAAATGTTGTCTTACATTATTCCCCCTAAGTGGAGCTGGAAAAAGGGAAATCTCCCACTTTGTAGCTTCGAAAGGTTGGCAGATATGGTTCTATTCTATGTATACTTTAGTTGTGATTCCGTTTAGTATAATATACATAGACTACCCTGTCAAACTAGTGATGGATTTTGTGTACTGCATACAAATTGAACAAAAGTTTATTTTTCAAAAAATTTTGTTTATAATAAGATTGCATTACAATTATTGAAATTCTTCTGATATTTATTGCATACCAAACGAAACTCTTCCACAGAATCATCTCCTCTTGAGCAAGATATTTAAACTTTTGTCAGTTCAATTGTCCTATCGAATAAATACAATAGCTTTTGTTCTCTTTGTAGTTTATTCATTGGGACCTTTAAATTTCTTCTAAGAGTTGATTACATGTATTTTCATCTACTTAGAAGAAAAGTTTTTGCTTCAGGTAAATTAATCAATGAGTGATGTATTTCTCTATAAGTTTCAGAACATTTGGTTGAGGGGAACTAAAAGTTAGAGAACAGAAACTAATTTTGGGACGATAGGGACAGACGTACGGACGTACAAGGGTAACACTTAATGCCCCGGCATAAAAATGTATCATTTGAACCAAATCACGTCCAAAGTCAGGTGAGATGTAAAACATTTGAAACCAGACAGGAGTACAATGTAGCGGCTTTTTTCCTTAAAGGGCCATGGGTTGAAAAGCTGTACTCATATCAGCAAGGCAATGCCATCAGTATTTTACATGTTGATTTATCACTTTTAGAACAGATTTGATCATATCATTTTAATAATTATAGATTATCTATGGTTTTTGAAACGTGAGGGTGTTTCTTGGCTGCTATCTCATTGAAGGGCTATCGCTCTGAGATGAGATATAGCTGAGAAACATCCTAGAGTTTGAAAGATTATTGATAATCTGTTTATTATTGTTTTTCTACGTAATTTCAATGAAGCATGCTTATGACGTCATCCTGTTTTCACTCTACTCGACTGAGAAAAACCCTTTTCAGTCGAGTAGCATATGAAAAATTTTCTTAAAAATGATGAAAGCAAAATTATAGGTACAAATAGGAATAACAAGAAATATTATAACAACCGAAAATGTTGATCTTTGGGATATTTTATAGACCTAAAGTAAAACCATTGATGCATTTGTACTTTTTTATGCCCCCGCCATGGCGGAGGGGGCATTAAGTTTTACCCTTGTCCGTCTGTACGTACCTCCATCTGTACGTCCGTATGTCCCAAAGTTGGTTTCCATTCTCTAACTTTAGTTTGCCTCAACCAAATGTTATGAAACTCATACACAATGCTTATTACCACATAATACAGATCAAGTTCGAAATTGGGTGGCGTCACTTTTACCGTTCTTGAGTTATGCCCCTTCATAAACATAAAAATTGCTGAATATTTTGTTTCCATTCTCTAACTTTAGTTTGCCTCAAACAAATGTTATGAAACTTATACACAATGCTTATTACCACATAATACAGATCAAGTTTGAAATTGGGTGGCGTCACTTTTACTGTTCTTGAGTTATGCCCCTTTATAAACATAAAAATTGATGAATTTTTCTTTTCCGTTCTCTAACTTTAGTTTGCCTCAACCAAATGTTATGAAACTTATACACAATGCTTATTACCACATAATACAGATCAAGTTCAAAATTGGGTGGCGTCACTTTTACCGTTCTTCAGTTATGTCCCTCTATATCTTTATATGATATGCAAGCGGGGCACCATCTGTGTCCCATGGACACATTCCACATTTATTCACCTATAGGGTTGGCCAGACATTCATTTGTACTTTCCAAGACTTTCACGTCAACCATTTTGTGCTTTATAGTTTGAAACAACTCAAAATCTCATACTGATTTGATGAGAAGGTGATAAACAAATGAACAGATTGGCTTTAAGTATATTTCCCTTCTGTTCTGAAATTATCGTATTTTGAGCTCTCCCTTTTTTCATTTACGCTTCTTTTATTCCTATTTATAGGCTGTGAAGGCATAATTGAAGACGTTATCCTTCTGGGAGCCCCAGTTTCTGGTGATGCAAAAAGTTGGCAGAACCTGGGCAAGGTAGTGGCAGGAAAAATCATCAACGGATATTCAAAGTAATTATTTTTGGAATATTTTAGGCAAGCTATGAAAAACAGAAAACAAAGTATTGGATTTAACAAATTATTATAATCTCATAATTGAAATAGATATTAAAAGTATAGCACAAGGAAAGATATGTCATTAAATTTTTACATTATTAGCATCAATTAAAAACTATAATGGAAAATCTAATCAAAGAAAGCTGTCTGATTATTCTGATTAATCATTATGATATTCACCCATTCCATACACTATGAAACAATGAGCAAACAAAATTTTTGCTAGAACTGATAAAAGACCACCAGACATTACTGAAACTGAAAAATATCTCAACTTATGTGATTTTTTTGACATAAAAGAGTTTGATATATTGAGATATCCTGACATCCCTTAAATGATTTGAAATTAAATTATGTATCAAATGTATTTATTTTTATACTACAGGGCTGATTGGTTTATGGAGTTCCTCTATAGGACCTCATCAGTACAATTAAGTGTTGTAAGGTTACAGCCAATCAAATGTATTTATTGATATATTACAGGGCTGATTGGTTGTTGAAGTTCCTCTACCGAACCTCATCAGTACAATTAAGTGTTGCTGGGTTACAGCCAATCAAATGGAACGACAGAAGAATGCACAACATAGATCTCTCAGCAATTGTAAGTGTCCATAGGAAATCTATAAATAAAAAAGATATTATTTTAACTATGGGTGGAAGTTAAATTTAGTGTTGAATGTACAAATAAAAATGTTAGAATCTCCAAAATTGCTTCTACTTTTGGTTCCTCAATTTTCAAAATACCTTTCCTGGGTACCATGTATGTATCTAAATCAACAAAAAGAACAAGCCAATGAAAAGATCAGTTCAAAATACACATACTGTCAAAATATCTTTTTGGACCATGGATTTGCTCTAACTTATTCCTAAGCATGCATAAATCAAGTAGTCAAGATTTTGCATATATTCACCATTTTATTGAATTTATTATTATTTTAGGGCTGCAAATGTATAACTATTAAAAAGGGTATATTCTAACAAAAACTTGAATGTTTTATTAACGAAAAAAGTCACGAGCCTGTAATTCAGTGTTATCATTTGTTGCTGTATATCATATTTGTTTTTTCGTTCTTTATTTTGTACAAAAATCAAGCCCTTAGTTTTCTCATTTGAATTGTTTTACATTTATTATTTCAAGACCTTTTATAGCTGACTATGCGGTATGGGTTTTTCTCATTGTTGAAGGCTGTACGGTGACCTATAGTTGTTTATTTCTCTGTCATTTAGTCTCTTGTGGAGAGTTGTCTCATTGGCAATCATACCACATCTTCTTATTTTTATAAAGATTAAACATTTGTACAATCTGAAAAGTACTGTATATGTACTTTTTATTTTTAATTTATTTTCACGAATTTTGCGGTAGGTAAATGTCTGCGAAAATAAATAAACACAAATATAAATTTATACAATTGACATATATATATATTATGGGAAATACAGTGAAATCAAGAACATACATAATCATCGGCAATATCAAAGTACACACGAAAAAAAGTACATATACAGTGAATATGATGAAATTGATTATTTTTAAATTTATTAACTGATCTTTTTCAAATTTTTATGAAAGAAATATTAATACACTTTTTTGAGTAATGTTATGTCAAAAATCATGATTTTTATTATGAATGAAAGAATTCTAAAATTCGATCTCTATAATGTGTATAAGCAAACAATTAATTCATTGTTTTCACAGGTCACTGGACATGGTGAATACCTGAAACAGCTGGACACAGTCATGAAAGTTGTTGGGGTCAGAACAAAGCAGGATATAGTAGTAAGACCTTTGACCTCTCACACCATGATGGCTAGCAGTGGGGACAACCTTGAGAGCTTAACCAGTAGTGAAGAAGAAGAAGAAGAGAGTGAAAAATCATCTGAAAAAAAGAAAAAGCAGAAGTCTCATAAGGACAAAATGCAACCAAAGAATTCAACATCATGTGATGCAACCAGTACCCTTCAATCAGATCTTAATACTCATGATGAGCAGGTTCAAACTGGAATACACCAGTTACAGCTAGATTTACCTTTGAACTTAGACCCAGAAAAATTTGTCATGTATACTGTTAATCAAAGTCCTGTCAAAGATTCTAACTTCAATGATAAAGCAATGTTAGAATCAAGTAGTGCTAAAGATGATTCTGTTTCAAAACAGGGGATTGATTATCAATTAGATAAAAATAATCAATGTTCAGAATCAGAATCAGAACCTACTTTGGAACTTCAACATCCAGAACCAGTAAATACTAGTCCAATACAGCAAGAACTAGTAAATACTAGTCCAGTCAAGTCAGAACCAGTAAATACTTGTCCAGTCAAGTCAGAACCAGTAAATACTTGTCCAGTCAAGTCAGAACCAGTAGAAACTAGTCTATACAAGACAAATGAACTATCTTGTGCAGATGATACTGATGATATAAAAGTTCTTTCACTAGATTCAGATACCAGTAAGAGTTCAACAAATGATAAAATCCAGGAGATTGATGTAAGTCAAATTGAAAACAACAACCTCTAAAACAAAGATATGGAAAGCTTTGAAATCCTTGGAAATGTTTCTGATAAATCGTAATATTTACGTCATGTGATGAAGTAGCAGACTGAATTATACTTAACTTAAGCATTACTTATGTTTTTTGAAAGTATTGTTATTTTTATGTTGCTACTTTAAGCAGAATGCTTAGTAATATGAAAAATTACGAAACTTTGAATTATTTGAAATTATCAATTTAAGTACATAGGTCTTAAAATGGAAAGCAACAAAATGATCTGTAGAAAATTACGAGTTTGTTCGACACTGTCAAATATGAAAATTTATGAATTACCAAGATTAATATTTGATGATTTGCATGATGAAAAACTAAAAAAATCATTTAACAATTTTCATTAGTTAACTTATTTTCTTTCAAGTTGTGAATTATATTGTAAATTTATCTAGAGCTATATAAGACAAGGTATTGGAACTGAAACTGCAATGTTGAGCCTAGGTGAATCAAGTTTAAGGTCACCATGAGCAAGCTATATTACCTGAACAATGTGGATTTACGTATCTAATAATTTTTTAAATAGCTCTTGATAAAACTTGAATTGAAAAGACCATTTGCAAGAAAGTTGGTGAACATATGTTTGCTTTATGCTAATGCAACTTAAAAAAAATCCTAATCTGGTTTGCAGGAAGTTTGATTCAAACACATTTTGAAGCATGTATTAAATGTGTAAAATGTTCAATTGATTTATTTTTGTGTCTGCTTGCTGTCAATCACACCTATGTTCAGCTCAAAAAAGTGCATTTTGAATTTTGACTAAAAATAAAATTTCAATTTCAATTCATCAAAATTCAAGTTATTGACACAAACTCTGTATATATAATTAATTTGTATTTTACTTTGGAAATACATTTCATTTATCAAAAAGGATTATACAATGTTTTGAACTTGTTTTAGGTAAAATTTTGTTATTTAAATGTCTTGTCAAAATGCCAATTTTACCATGACCCTACAGAGTTTTTTTTCAAAAGGGGATATAGCATTTTATACATTCATGTTGGCAATAACAAGTTATAGAGGAATGATTCTATCAGGGCACACATTTTGGTAACAAGCCAAGGTTTAGGGAAATTTTTGATCCCATGAATTCATTTTTTACTTATAGTAAATCTCAGGAAGGTTGATATTGAGATTCAGAAAGTCATAGAAGGATTTTGGCTGTCTTCACATTTTGTACCTTTGTAATGCACATAAAACTTGCATACTTTTCCTTATTTCTTGATACAGTTTTCACACAATTTGAAAGTTAGAAAAAAAATAATGTTTTACTATATTTTAATATGTAATTTATTAAAGAGATTCACTTTTTTGATAAAATAGTTTGGTGAATAATTAGCTATAAAATGTACAAATGATGTAGTAAAAGAAATATGAATTTATTATTGTTTTCTGGATGCCTTTTACACAACTATCATATTAAGGATAATGTTCGCTCCTCTCGTTTTGGAATTTCTGTCAGATATTCGGATTCCTCTGGTTTTATCCCTGTAGTGCCATTAAAACATTTTGCCCGCTAACCCCTACTTTTCTTTTCATAATATTATTACATATAGTTTTATAGCTATATTCGAAAATCTTATGAAATCCTTGTTATTTTTTCATAGTTTTTGAAAGAAAAAAGTTGCCAATGTTAAATGTATGAAAAATCTAGAGAGAATTATTTCCCGCCAAATTTTCCATGGCTTATATCTTGAAAACAAGCACACTGACCCTTCATTTTTTTCTGCTTTTTTAGTTCCGTTATTTATATACTATCAATTTATAACAGTCTTTTAAAAAGCTTGTTATTTTGAAACAGAGTAGCGAGCATCCTTAACACCTTTAATATTCTGTACAATACATAGTTGTTATTCTGAAAATTAAATGTTTGAATATTAAAACTATTTATTGGGAGTAATTTAATTATCTGAAGTCATCCATTAAAATGTAAAATAAGCAGTATGTAGTATGTTGTATTTGCATTACTGTAAACATCCATTTCATAGACATTTTCCTAGCATCCATTGAATGGGCCTTTTTTATATATCATACATTATGTATTTACACTGTTAAATTATCTGTGATAAAATGCTTTAAATGCCTTCTACAGTACGCACAAAAATGAGACTATTTAAAGTACTCTTGTTGGTGTGTGGATTGAGTCACTGACTATATGAAAGAAGGTGATTGTTGCGAATTGAAGTTGACAACGCACTAATTTCAACTTAATCATAAAATATTACACCGTGGTAATATGCAGAGGAATACATTAGAGTGTATCAGATACAATCGCCAGCATTCACTGTGAAAAATTACTACCAAAAATTGGTTTAACTTGAACTAAATCTAATATTTGTGTGTCCTAGATCACTATTTGCCTTTTGTACACAATGCAGAAAGAATACATATATTTAAGTCATCAGGTACTGTAAAACAGCATAATCTAGTTGATAATTTTTTTTGAGTTTAGCCCTTTCCACCCGTCTTTGTGGTGATTTATTTTCATGATTTACAATTTTATTGGTGTATTTGAATGAGTGACGATCCTAGTTTGACTCTTTCGTGACAATTTATATTCATGTTATGTTTCTGCTTGCGAAAATAAGTTGGTTTACTGTATGTATTTTATTATAAGAATCGTTTGTTACGGAAAAGTGCCTCAGAGTTGCCAAGTCACCTCCATCTTTCATTTTAAAGGAACCATGTTGTTTTTTGTCTATCCATCTACTCATCATGCTGTTTGTTGGTCTATGGTCTATTTGTACTAATCCTTTAATTTTGTGTAAACAGTACTTTTTTTTATCATACTCTGGAATCAATATTATTAGTGATGTACCAATTTTTGTGGATTTTGTGGGAATAGGTGAATCACAAATAAAATGTTTGATGAAAAAGAAATTTCCTAAATCTTTATGTATGCATAATTTGTCAAAAACATGAATTTAAGTATATTTACGAATATACAATTTTCCTCCATCCACGAAAATTTGTATCCACAAAAATAATTCATTCCTTAGTAGTGCAGCAAGATCGCTTCTGTATATTTTTATTTTGTATTGTCCCACCAACTTAAACATTTCACGGGTTATTAGGGTACATCCAATATCATAGATTTTTTTGTCTTATATCATGTTTATAGGAAGAATTAAGGATGTGTAAGTGCTATTTTCCAACATTTTTTGTTTGGAACACTAAATTTTAGGATTTTTGATAATGTCCTTTTCAGAATAAATATTATTTATATGCCATTGCTATATTGATATTTTGTTGCATAAGCATCTACATTTTTGTTTTTTAAGGAGAGTATACAAAAAAATGTGTCTGCTACAGGCTTCAATTTTTTTAACTTTTACATGGTTTTAATGTTAAGTTTTTTATTTGGTAGTTGTTAGAAAGTTCTTAGGATGGAAATAATTAACATTTGCTGTGTTTATGGAGAAGTATCCATGATAGGCCATCCGATTGCTGATTTTTATTTTGCTGCTAAGCAGGAGAGTCAAATCTCTGGTTTAACATATAAACTAAAAGTTTTTTGGGATACCAAGAAGCTCATTTTTTTCATTTGACTGTTTGATTTTGATTTGATGCTGTTCGAAAGGTATTTTGTTTTTGTATGTTAAAAATATTGCACCATCTTTAATAGACCTGTCTATGCAAATTATTTTTGCATACACTGTCCAAAATTTAATGGGAATTATTTTTTAAATTAATCTCCATGTTTCCCTAATGCAGCTTTAACCAATATTAAAATAAGAAGAAACTGTAAAATGGTTTATTTGAAAATGTGACAGTGACAATGAAATATTATCATGATTATTGTCTACTTCATGTGATTGAAGGATGTTGAAAATGTCACAGTGAAACCTCTCTAAAGAGACTGTCTCATTAACCTATTGACCTGAACTTTTGTATAGAGGTACTCTTTTATTATATATATATATTTTTGAATAAAGAGGAGGTATGGTAAAAGCTATTATTTGGCCCCTGAAATTTGAAGAAAATAGTATAATTCATCAAGGTTTTCAAAATTGTATTTTTTTTTTATTTATGACTTAATTGGATGATAATGTGAAAAATTTAGTGCAGAAATGTCATTTGTATTGTGACTGATGAATTGCAATGATCACCTCAAATGGCCATTTAACAGATAGTTTGTTGAAAAAATAGGTATGAAATAAGGCTTTAAATAAGACATCTTGAAGCAAAATATAAATTTTGTAAGGCCTTGGTTCATATCTAAATATAAATTACAAGATCTAAAAGTGATGCTCTTTTGGCAGTTTTTGCTGTTTTGTATTAATTGCGTGAAGTTTGAAGCTGTAGTAAAAATATTAACTATATGATTCGAAATAAGAATTATACTTTAAAAGACTTATGGAAATCTGAAAAATGTTGTTTGATAAATTTATAATACAGAAATAAGGAAATCTTGCATATTAAAAAAAAAATTGAATACTAGGGACCTATAAAGTGGCCCTATCATACCTTCTCCTTCCATGTTTGTAAAGTGAAAATCTATCAAATTATCTTCATGCTTAAAGGTTGAGGCAAGTTTCTCTGTGTTATTTTTTTTACAATAGTTGTTTTTAGCTACGCTATGAAATGATAAATTAGTCTGTTTTATGTTTTCTTTGAGTGCAATATAATTACCTTTATTTTTTTTATATTAACTGCTTTTCTTTGAAATAAACAAATGGAAATCTGCTACGTTGTTTTATTTTCTTCTTGTTTTTAATGGAATTTTATCAAATTGATATGAGACAGTCTGGGATCATCTGAGAAAAAGAGGCGAAAATACCAAAGGGATATTCAAACTCATTAGTCGAAAATAAACTGACAACCCCATGGCTAAAAAAGAAAAAGACAAACAATAGTACACAAAACACAACATAGAAAACTAAAGACTGGGTGATCTCAGGTGCTCCGGAAGGGTAAGCAGATTCTACTCCACGTATGGCACCAATCGTGTTGCTCATGTCTACAATTTTGTTGTATTTCGAAACATGTAGCTATATAGGTGGATCAAACCTATTAGAACTTGTCCTTCAATTCTGCCTCCTTGGATTTATAGACGTACTAACAAAGATTATAATTAAACTGATGTTGGGCAATCAATTTGTCTTTAATTTTTTGGGATAAATATCAATTGGCTTATTTATAGTTTGAAGGAATACCAAATTTTATAATTTTGGCTTTCCAAATTTGGACATACTTATTAATGAAGGTAATTACAACAAGAGTGCACACACGATCATGCTCGCCTGGTTTACTTATTGTTGAATTAGATGACCTGTTGCTTATGGTAATTGAAAAACAGACCAAAACACAACAAGAGTGCACAGGCTGAAATGTCTTGCCTAATATACTGACCACTGATTTTATGTTGATAGTCCTAGATATAAAGTTTTACTACAAGTATCACATTAACATTTATGATCCAAGAAAATGAGGTCAAAGTCAGATAAACCAATACGGAAATACAAGTACACCTTTAATACAATCATTCCATACACCAAATATAGAAGACTTATTGCTTATAATATAAAAGAAACAGACCAAACCATGGAAATTTTATATCGGCCAATGAACCATGAAAATGAGGTCAAGGTCAGATAAAACCTGCCAGACTGCAGACATGTACACCTTAAAATCATTCCATGCATCAAATATAGTTGACCTATTGCTTATAGTATCTAAGAAACATAGTTAATCAGGAAAACTGAAAATTGACCAATGAACCATGATAATGAGGTGAAGGTCATATGATACCTGCCACACAGACATATACACCTTACAATCATTCCATACACCAAATATAGTTGACCTATTGCTTAAAGTTTAAAAAAAACAGACAAAAACGCAAAAACTTTGTTTAAAAGTTAAGAAAAACAGACCAAAACACAAAAACTTAACATTGAGCAATGAACCATGAAATGAGGTCAAGGTCAAATAAAACCTGCCAGACTGACATGTACATCGTAAAATATTTCCATACACCAAAATATAGTTGATCTATTGCATACAGTATTAAAAAACAGACCAAAACACAAAAACTTAACTTTAACCATTGAACCATGAAAATGAGGCCAAGGTCAGATGACACCTGCCAGTTGGACATGTACACCTTACAATCATTACATACACCAAATATAGTAGACATATTGCTTATACTGTAGTATCTGAGATATGGACTTGACCACGAAAACTGAACCTTGTTCACTGATCCATGAAATGAGGTTGAGGTCAAGTGAAAACTGTCCGACAGGCATGAGGACCTTGCAAGGTACGCACATACGAAATATAGTTATCCTATTACTCATTATAAGAGTGAAAATAACATTACAAAAAATCTTAACTTTTTTTCAAGTAGTCACTGAACCATGAAAATGAGGTCAAGAACAATGGACATATGACAGACGGAAACTTCATATCATAAGGCATCTATATACAAAGTATGAAGCATCCAGGTCTTCTACCTTCTGAAATATTAAGCTTTTAAGAAGTTAGTTAACGCCGCCGCCGCAGCCGCCGCCGCCGCAGCCGCCGCCGCCGCCGGATCACTATTCCTATGTCGAGCTTTCTACGACAAAAGTTGCAGGCTCGACAAAAACATAACATTGACCTATGAACCCTGAAAAAGTGAGCAAGGTCAGATGATACCTATCAGACAGACATGTACACCCCACAATTATTCCATATACCAAATATAGTTGACTTATATATTAGTATTTGAAAAACAGACAAAAACACAAAAACCTAACATTGACCAATGAACCATGAAAATGATGTGAAAGTCAGATGATACCTGCTAGACCGACATGTACACCGTACAACCATTGAATTTCCATACACCAAATATAGTTGACCGATTCTTATAATACTTGAAAAGCAGACCAAAACACAAAAACTTAACATTGACCAATGAAATGAGGTCAGGGTCAGATGAAACTTGCCATACTGACATGTAACCCTAACCATCATTCCATACACCATGTTTAGTTGACCTACTGCTTATAGTATATGAGAAACGGACCTAATCATGTAACGTTAACCTTTGATCCCGGATTCATGAATTGAGGTCGAGGTCATTAGAACCCTGTATGACGGACATGTAGGCGTTGCAAGGAACCCCTATATCAAATATAGTTATTACTCATATTAAGTGAAAAATTTACATGACAAAAAAACTTTTTTCAAACAGTCGCTGAACCATGAAAATGAGGTCAAGGACAATGGACATATGACAGACGGAAACTTCGTAACAAAAGGTATCTGCATACAAGGTATGAAGCATCCAGGTCTTCTACCGTCTGAAATATAAAGCCTTATCCAAATAGTTTACGCCGCCGCCGGATAGTAATCCCTACATCTTGACAAAAATTAATAGACCAATGAACCATGAAAATGATAAAAATGAGGTCAAGGTCAGATTAAACCTGCCAGACTGACACGTACCCCTTACAATAAGTCCATACACCACATATATGATCTACTGCTTATATTAATCCTATTCCTCATAATAAGTGAAAAATTCACATGACAAAATAAACTGTTGACACAGAGATATCTCTCGTCTGTCAGCATAAAATTAAGAAAAAGACAATTTGATGGACAGCAACATTGCTAATTAATTCAAAGCCGCGCGACCACCAACTAGTGGGCAGGACCTCAAAATGGTCAACAAACTGAGATGTACAGAAAGTATAATGTAACTTTCTAGAAAATATCGTTGTTTATTGTAAGCTGTTCTTATTAAACTATCAAACTAACTTAAGCAGATAACTTAACATTAAACCTTGATAATTATTTCAAAGTCACTAGACCATGACCTGCGGTGACAGGGAGTCGAAATAGTCGTCAAACTGATATGTACTGATAGTAATGCAACTTTATAGAAAATGCCATTGATCTAACACAAGTAGTTCCTATTTAAATGACTTAAGCAGAAAACTGAACATTGAAAATTGCTTATTAATCGAAAGTCGCTTGACCATGACCTTGGGAAAAGTGCCTCGAAATTGTCGTCAAACTGAAAAGATCTGATAGTAGTGCAACTTTATGGAAAATATCATTGATATTCTATCAAACTAACTTAAGCAGATAACTTAACAATTGTTGACGCCAACGACAACGACGTCGTTGTCGCCGGAAAAGCAATATATACCTATGTCTCGCCTGCGACAAATGTCGCGGAAGGCGAGACATAAACAAAAATAAAGCTTTATACAATTAGGTTACGCCGTCGCCTACGGTTTCACATTATTTTTGTGTAACTGGAATTTCGATTTCTGAAATAAAAACTTCTATATGCTCTTTCTCATTCCTGAATGTTATCCAGTTCCGTGGAACTGTGATAATTAACAGTGAAATATAAAATTTTGCAATTATTTATTCGCTGTTCTAAGCACTTGTTTGCTTCGCGCATCTTGTAATGCAGAGGGACATTCTAAACTTCGTCGTCAGGTTCAACAAGATACGCACCGGCCTTTTTGCCGATTTTTATACTACACGCAACTTTTTGCATAGGGTATCATGTTTTGGTCCGCCCGACCGTCCGTCTGTCCATTTTGCCGTCAGTCCTATTCTTGTCATTGAAACTCCTCTGAAACCACACTTTACAATTTCATGAAACTTTATAGATTATAAGGACATGCAATGTAGATGTGCATATCGATACGAAATTATGATTCAATGTTTTTTTCTAGGAGTTTTGCACCTCTGAATTTAGAATTTTTGGCCATGATATCCTACTGCAACAGTTTGTCAGCGCAACTCATCTGAAACCACAAAGCATAATTTCATAAAAAAAAAAAAGCATAAAATCATTGTAGATGATAAAGACATACTATGTAGATGTGCATATCGACAAGAAATTATGATTTTTTTCTAGGTGTTTTGCCCCTTTCAGTTTAGAATTTTGGCCTTAATATACTAGCTACTACAACAGTTGGTCATCGCCACTTCTCTAATACCACACAACAGAATTTCATGAAACTTTGTAGATAATATTAGATACTATGTAGAGGTGCATATCGACAGGAAATTATGATAAAACGTTTTTTCTAGGAGTTATGGCCCTTTGAATTTAGAATATTTTGGCCATGATATACTACTGCAACAGTTTGTCAGCGGAACTCCTCTAAAACCACAAAACAGAATTTCATGAAACTGTAAATAACAAAGACATATTACGTAGATGTGCATATTGACAGAAAACTATGATTGGATGTTTTTCCAGGAGTTATGCCCTTTGAAATTTGACCTAAATATACTACTGCAACAGTTTGTCAGCACAACTCCTCTGAAACTACACAACAGGATTTCATGCACTTTGTAGCTAATGAGGACATGATATGTAGATGTGCATATCCACAAACAATATCAGTTGACTGTTGTTAAGAGTTATGAGTCTTTGAACTGAGGAATCTGGTTAGATATTGTTTGCCCAGTGACAATGTGTGGGCGTGGGCGTGCTCACAAAAGTTCTTGCATCTACAATGAAACGAACACGTACAGCATATCAAATCAAGAATGCTTTTAAGATTCCAAATAAAAATTTAACCAAGATTCTCTGTTTGGAGACATCATAACTAGAATTGCTTCTTGAAGTCTCGAGTGTTATATAAATAAGTATACATTTGGATACACTGAGATTATTTCAATTATTTAACAAACTGGACGAAGAAGAACCAACATGACCGTTT